GATCACATTATTTGAATCGCCAGTGGTTGTCTTTTTTTAAATTTTTCAACTCATTATAGTTTTAAACCAAACCAGATCAGAATATAAGTGAGAAAAATACACTGGTAACTAACTGTGAGCAAAAATCAATAAAAGAAGCTAATAAAACTACTTCTTTGACACTGTTTTTATAGAAACTTTTTCAGAAATAATTGATACAAATGTATGTATTTTCGGTACGCGGCGCGAAGCGCCGCGCATAAATTGGCCGGAGGCCAATTTTTTTTTCTTGTTAATGTTTTCAAAGGCTGAAACTGGGTTTCAGATTATATTTATCGTTGTTCTTTTCATTTTTATTCCTGTAATGTGCATTGCTAGTGGTTGTCTTTTTTTTTTAAAAATTATTCAACTCATTTTCGTATCAAACCAAATAAATTGGTACCTTTTAAACTTTTAAGAAAAATCAACATAAGATGCTTAGAATTATAGAAACTATTGTGATAATTACCTACACATAATGTGATAAGTACCATGTGATACTGACCTACACAACGGTCTTTATAGAAACGTCGTTCGACAAATTTTGTACTCTCATGAGATGTGTGTATTTTATCTGTTTTTTATTGATACTTCTTCTACGATCAAATTTTCAACATGTTTTCAGTCATTGTGTTCTTATTAATGTTTTTCTAATTCTGAAATTGGGTTTCAGATTACATTTTTAATTGTTTATTTTTTCACTCTAATATTATAAATTATTTGCATCCGTATTTTTAGTGGTTGTCTTTTTAAAATTACTCAACTCAATTTTGCATCAAGCTAAGTCAGCATAAAAATGAAGAAAATAAACTATCGCCTGTGGTACAAAAAGTGACGGCTGGAGACATAGTTAATGATTGGCTTGGTGAATCGTTTAAGGGTAGAATCTCAGATACCTATATTGGCAAAGAACCCAGAGATAGTTATTAAAAAAATCCAGGCTTGCTGAAGCCAATCAACTCTTGAACAATATTTCAAGCCACTCACCTGACTCCTCCTTTTTTTGTGTCATTGGCTGTAGTAACAAACTGTAAACATACATATCAATAAACAGCGCTTACAGTGATAACGTAAATAACATGTGATCGTCCTAAAGATTCCTGCCGACTTTGTATCCTGCATACTTGTGCGAACAAGTAGGTTGGTTATCATTTCAATGACTATCTCTTAGTCTTCTTATTCAAAAGTTGAAATGAATCATTTTCTTGGTGGTAAAGATTTCATTTTTATATTTGATTCAAGTGAAAGGAATGTGCAACTGTTATGTTGTTAGTATAGGGAAAAATCGATTGAGGGATTGTTACCCAGACTGGGCAACTACATTTGCCCCTACAATGCTCCTCCTTAGACTACAGACCTACCTATCTGATTGATTTTTTTTTTTTTTTTTTTTTTTGGGAATATTTCCTCTTTTTTATTAAATCCTCACTGGATGCTAACAAGCGCTGAGATGTTGGAAAATTTTTCTTAAACACTGCCTTTTTTTAAAAATTTTGGCTTAAAATGGGTCTGGTAGTCCTGAGACACGTCGTAGATGTTCCATTCACAAAATCTCTTAATTACCCCCCTAGATGAAGGTTGATGTGAGCGAACGCGCAATCAAGAATTTGATTTTGTAGTCACAAATTGAAGGCGAATCCAGTATTTTAGTAAAATCTGTCTGATGTCTCATTGTTTACCCACTTCCGCTATTGACACACCTTGTGGCCCCCCTTTCGAACACAGTGTTCGACAGCCGAATTGCCGCCGAAGGGGCGCGCGTGCGCTTTCTCGCGTTTACACGTAAACATTAATGCTTTCAATTTGACAACCCTGGAAGTCACCCTATTGCCAAACTGCAGCCGATTAAGATAGGAATGACTGAATGAAGAGCGCGGAAAAATAACTTGATAGTTTTGTATACCGGCTTAAAACGTTTTGAAAAATTGTAAATTGGTTGCCGAAAGTAGGTACTTATGTACTTCGAACCAAGATGCAATGAGATATTCTTCTAATTGAGCTTTATTACACCAGTACGTGTTGGGATTGTGAGTTGACCCAGCACCTCTCTCCTGGGAAAGAATAGTCACATGAAGGCATGACAGACCTAGAAATACAAGTTTTGACTTTTGACGCTAACATGAAGCACAGACGACGAGACCAGAACCAGGAAAAGACCATATTTTTAATATTCAAGACCTTTTTGAGCACGGCAACACTGTTGACTTTTACTGAGTATTCGGCCTCGATTGCGAATTGCGATTCATAGTTTGGCAACCGCGCGATTCGAGTGACAAGTGCGGATTTTCGCTGTTTATCAATTCGCATTGAAAACAAAAGTAAAGAAATTTGCAAGAATCTTTAAGCTCATTTACGTTCAGTGATATCTTTTACAACGGGATTAACTCCATCTCTTGTTTACATCCGAGTTAATTGCAACGTACCTCCAAATTTCCTGACGAAACCACTTGAATTTTCGCTCGTCGATCTACATTCTCATGCTCGGCGTAAACTTATGTGCGAACTCGACTGCATTTAATGGCTGCTAGTGTCATTGTTATCAATTTTTCTCGTCTTATTGATAATGCGACATGGACACTTCTGTCAGTTGTGTGTTATGCGGAGCTGTAGACAGATTATGGCGATGTGCTAAGTGCAAAAGTGTGTTCTATTGTAGCAAAAAACATCAAACCCAGGATTGGAAAAATCACAAAGCTAACTGTGTGAGCCATGCTGAGCATGTAAATTCTAGCAAGAAAGCCGAAATATCCGAAAATAACGCTGGAAACGTCCACAGTAACTCTGTCACAAGTGTTTCTACAACAACTGTTCTATCTTCTATCGAAGTTAATGATAGTCAGAAATCTAGTCGTGCAAGTAAATCACTAACCTCAAAAGTAATAAGTACTAGTCCCGAAAGTAGCTCTGATAAAAGTATTCTAAAACCACGGGCTGAACCTGGTAACATTAAATTAAAAGATAACGACGCAAGCGAACATAAGCCCAATAATCTTAAGTGTGCAAAATCTAATTTTGCTGATGTTCCTTTAGATGCTGAATTGTATCAAAAGAGCAATCTAGTGCTGAAAAATTTTTCGGAAGTCAAATTAGATAGCTCCACAGCAATGCCACCTTATTTACATCGCGAAGATGATGTAGCGCAGCAGACGTTAATGGAAGAAATCTGCCGGAATGTGATCGCAGACATGGATGCATATGGAGTGTGTGTAGTTGACAATTTTTTAGGAGCAACACGAGGCATGGCTGTATTAGAGGAAGTCATCGGAATGTATCAAACGGGTATTTTCAAAGATGGTCAGTTAGTCAGCAATAAAGCAAGGAATGATCTGAGAACTATTCGAGGGGACCAGATCACGTGGATAGATGGTACAGAAGAATCTTGTCACAACATAGGAATGTTGATAAGTCGAGTGGATTCAATTATTATTCGTGCAAACCAACTTCCGAACAACGGTAAAATGGGCAACTACACCATCAATGGTAGAACTAAGGTAAAGTATTCACACATTTTATTATTAGACTTATTTCTTGAAAGTACTTAAAGGAGTTTGATCAATACATTTCCATATCATATCTACCATGCACCTACCGCTGCATGCAACCACCCCCCCTCTGTTTTGTACTGAAACATACTAAAGTTTCATTTTTAACTTCAATTAATTATGTCTTCTTTTAGCTTTGTCTCCTTTTGTAAATTTATAGACTCAGCACCACCAGCAGGTAACATCCAATTCAAGCACCTAACCTACTCGCTTTCACTTCTATCTGCATGGTTTGACTTGGATGCCCACTTGGGTGCATTATCAAGGAAATACTTCATTCCTCTCTGATAAAATAACTGTAGAATACTTACTCTAAAATTTTGGAATTCTCAGTTTTTTTAGTGGTAAAGTCCTCAAACATTCAAGATTAACATCTACGAAGTAAGTCGCTTTTGAAGCCTTCAGTTCGTTTTTGGCCTCAATGTAACTGAATTACAAACTATGAATCACGTCCTGGACCTTTCTGCGTAAATGCACAAGCTGAATGCAATTTTGGAACTATTTATTTGTCATATATCATTTGTGTATATCATTAGATCTATTTGACCCGGCATATCCCTATTAGACTGCTGGCTGATGGAAAATTAATGACTGTTAACTTATCCTACTCAAGAGATGCGTTGTCGGAGTCAGTTGTTTTGGACCGTTTGGAAACGGAATTACCTGATCCCAAACAGTCGGCGTTATTGGACTCCGTTAGAATTACCTGATGGCTTGTTTGTTTACATCCGAAAGCCTACCGTTTCTACCAAACGCTCATCAATCTCAGGTGGTCAATGGGACCATTCAGTTGCGTTTGGAAACAGAAGAACCCAACAAAATCGGACAAGTTGACTTCGACAGTGCATCTAGGTTCTACATATTTTTAATTCACATAGTTTGACCTTTCCCTTAAAGTTAAAGTGAAGCACATCCTTGATTTTGAGGAAATATTTGTGCCCTTAAACTCTGGAAACTTGAATTTTTTATGGACTTCTGTCTTATAAGAGCAAACAATTATCTTGCTCAAAGTTCCCCCAAAACTCTGCTTAACTTGCTTAAATAATGCTTTAAAGAATTGGATGCTTTTATGCCAAACAAATCAATCTACATCAGTTTTTCATAGCAGATAGATTTTGTTTGCATCACCCTGACTTCCTCTGGGTAATGAAAAAAATAGGTGAGGGAAAGCAAAAGATCTTCTTCTTGAATAGCTCCAGAAAGCACTCTCTGCAAGTTCATCGCAAAAATTATAGAGCGATCACAAAGAATGACCAGTTTCAGGGAAGAGGACCAGTTCCTCCAAAGTTTCAATTCCTTCACCCTTTATTTTTATTTTCTGCATGGATCAAGAATAATTACTTCATGTTATTTCAAATTCAACTTGTGCAGATATGCTTATTTTATTCTTCTGATTCTTTCAGGCAATGGTAGCTTGTTACCCTGGACATGGATCGCACTATGTGAAACACGTTGACAATCCTAACAGAGATGGTCGCTGTATCACAGCAATTTATTATCTTAACAGGGACTGGGATATTCAGGTATGCATTCCTCTCATAGATATATATATATATGAGTCGCTTTTATAGCGCTCTTTGGCGCTGTGCGACGCCTAATCGCCACAAAGCTCGGTCATCCCACAGGTCATCAGGGAGTTGACAATCTCTTATCTCATTTAACACCCCCTGTCGCCAACCTCTCACTGGGCGTCCCCTACGTCTCCTCCCAGGAGGAACCCAATCAAGCATCTTTTTTGGCAGCCTCTCTTCCGTCATCCTATTGACATGACCATACCAAACAAGTTGTTTGGTCATGACGTTGAACACGATGTCATTTTCGACTTCCATTATCTGACGCACTCTATCATTACGGACCCGATCTCTCCTAGAAATTCCTGCTGACCTTCTCCAGAAATCCATCTCCGTTGCTCTTAGCATATCCTGTGTCCGTTTCTTCAGCTGCCAAACTTCACATCCGTATGTTAATATACTTTTGACTACAGCGTTGTATATCCTCCTCTTGTTATCTTTGGAAATCCGCTGATCCCAGAGGATTCCATTTAACATCGCTATAGCCTTCCTTGCTAAGGTGTTCCTTTCCCTGATAGCTTGATCCGTCCTTCCATCCTGGGTCAACCGCACTCCCAAGTACTTAAAGTGCTCGCAGCCTTTGATCTGCTGCCCATCCTCCAACTCAATGCTTTGCTGATCACCGCCAAAAGTCATCTTCTCAGATTTGGATATGCTGACTTCCAGACCCCACTTCCGATACTCTTCTACTAGCTTGCGCATCATGTATTCCGCGTCATCTTGATCTTGAGCAACCACCACCTGGTCATCAGCAAAGCACAGAGTAAACAGAGTTTCGAGATCACCCAAGGGGACACCCATACCAGAGCATTTCTTTTTCCATTCTTTTAGCACGCACTCGAGATAAATTTTAAATAATGTTGGCGACAAACAACATCCCTGTTTTAAACCCTTAGTCACATAAAATCCCGCTGACAACCCCCCATGGCACTTAACTTTGGTAAAACTCCCTTTATAAAATCGCTTAACAGCGTCAATCAACCCCCCGTTAAAATTCGATTTTTCCAAGGCCTCCCAAAGTTTCACCAACGGCACGCTGTCATACGCCTTCTGGAGATCCACAAAAATTAAATGCAGTTCCTGAGCTACGGCCATTTTCTTCTCAATGACCTGGACAATAACAAAGAGGTGATCTATCGTAGACCTGCCAGCTCTAAAACCAGCCTGCTCCTCTGCTTCGTGATCCTGCCATTCGTCCTCGATCTTTGCTTTCAGTATCTTCCCGTACACTTTGCTTATTGTCCCGGTCACTGAGAGCCCCCGGTAGTTGTTACAGTCGTCCTTCCTTCCCTTCTTTTTGTAGATGGCCTTGATCCAAGACTCCTTCCACTCCCTTGGTACCTCGTCACCCCTGATGCATTGTTGCATCAGTTTTCTGAGGCACTCAAAGAGCTTGGCAGTCCCGTACTTGACCAACTCGACAGGAATCCCACCAGGACCCGGTGCTTTGTCATTAATTAGCTCTTTAACCGCTTTAATTATGTCACAAGTGTGGATCTCCAAGTTGTTCATTCTTCCGTTGTCCGTGCTGTTGTCACGAAACTCTGGGCGCCTTTCCGTCAAAAGATCTTTAAAATGATCCTCCAGTTTTTTAAGTGATATCGGAGAAACGATGTCGCGCTTCATGTCTCTACGTAAACCTTTAATTAACTTCCAGCTCTCAGCACTTTTTCTCCCCCCTAGGTAGGTGTTAATTCTAGAACAGTTGCTTTCCCAAGCTTCATTCTTCTTCCGTGTTATGAGGCTCCTAACTTTAGACTGAGCTTTCCTGTAAGCAACTTTATCTTCAGTCTTTTTAGACGACAGAAATATAAGGTGTTTTTGCCTCAAGCGTTTCCGATACAGAGCCTTGACACTAGGGTGCTCCAAACTTTCGATGTTATACCATACTTCATGATTTTGCGTTCCCTGACTCTGCTGTTGCTCAGGCATTGGCTCTTTATCTTTAATCCCTTTAACGGGAAACGCTATATCTGCTCGGAGGAAATGATGATCACTGCCGCAAGAGAGTCCCCTGCACACTCTAACTTGCTGCAATTTCAACTTAGTAGTGTGCTTTACAATTACATAATCGATGATGGATTTCAATCCTCGCGTTGGCTGGACCCAGGTATACTTATGGATGTCTTTGTGTTGAAAAAAGCCATTCAAAATTTTCATCTCAGTTTGAGAACAAATTGAGATGAGCCGATCACCGTTATCATTAACAGCATCCTCCCCAAACGGTCCAACAACTTTACAGTTTACTCGTCGTCCCGTTCTGCTGTTCAAATCACCCATAAGAATGGCTTCCCTGCCAGCACCAACGTTCAGTATTTCATCATTCAGATCTTCGAAGAATTGGTCCTTACATGCGACAGTGGCATCATCATTTACACCGTATACTCCGAGCAGCGTGATCTTATGTCCGTACAGGTTAAGGTTCATTTTGATGATGCGCTGGTTGACGGCCTCCCAAGTGCCCACGAACTTACGTAGGCTTCTCCGCAAAAGTATTGCTACTCCTTGCTGAGCACGCTGATCTTTGGCTACGCCGCTGTAGAATAGATCATAGTCACCGTAATTCTCTGACCCGTGCCCTTTTTTCTTGGTCTCAGTAAGAACAGCGACATCCACTCCAAGTTTCTGAATCTCCGATATCACTTCCGGTAACTTATTTGAAATGCCTTGGACATTCCACGTCCCAAATACCATTGTCCGTTTTCTCAATTTTTGTCGACATGTCCGTTTAGTTCTAGTGGTACCGAGGCTTGTATTGTTAGGTCGTTTAACAGTAAAACTTTTTACAAGTACCGGGGAGTTAGCCCGATGACTCAACCCCCAACCTGGAGGACCAGGGTTTGATTTCGGAGTTGCCTCTCCTAGACAGGTTGCTTTCACTTCAGCTCAGAGCCCTGTCTGCCCTTCTAGCAGGTGGTTCATACGCCCAGAGGCCGGTGACCATCTCCACTGCCCCCTTTGAGGCAGGGGCTACCAGCTGGGGTCCGCAGGATTGCTAAACCTGTGACAACAGTCCCCCATACGGCCCTCTCATAGATATAAATCTGTAATTAATTAATAATTTTTGACCATTGTGGTAATGTGTATGAATTTACCTTACAAACTTCCAGTCATCATTTTTTCGTCCTCTGCAAATGTTTCGGTAATTAGGTAAATTTATATCTGTAAATATAGAGGGAAAATCTTAAATATGAAATCTCAAAATTTAATGTAAGTATTCTCCTTGACTCTGACATAAATAGCCATAGCTGCTAATCGTCTTATTAAATTAACTAACTAACTATAACTAAGAAGAATCTTGTAAATGCACATTTTCACAGTAATTGAATTACGCAGAAATTTTCGCAAGTCTTTAAACCTTTTATTTCAAACACATTTGATGAAATTCAACGAATTACCTCACATACAACACACCAACTATTCGAAGCCTGATTAGCTTCATCATCAGCGCATGGTGATGCCTGAAGAAGTACACAAACAAAAAGAAGGGAAATACTTGCAAACCATCTAGTAAACTGGGAAAGAGGGAGACGGGGTACCAAAAAAGCTATGACTACTTATGTCAGAGTCCAGGGGAATTCATTAAATTCTGAGATTTCATGTACAAGATTTTCTTTGTCTTTATACAAGTTTTTTCTTGAATATGTTTCTTGTCTTCGTTGCTGAATGTCTCAAATAAATAATAACAAACTAACTAACCACAAGTTTTTTCTTGTATGTATACAAGATTTTACTTGTATTTATAGGTACAAGTTTACTTGTAAATTTGATAAGTAAAGACAAAAAATTTGAGCTTCTTGTCAAAAAGTACCACTGCGGGCCAAATCCTTCCAAGCCTTCTTGTGAGTGAAAAATTACAGAGGGCTGCAAAAAATTTAATTTAATTTGAAATTTTACATGAAATTTCATGAGACTTTCCTGTGGAATTTCAATTAATTTAAATTTCAGGCTTTTTTCATGAAATTTCAGAAACCTTTTAAAATGTCTAGTGAATCTAGGGCAATCTCAGTTTTGCTTATGTGTGTGAAAAAGGGACGTCAGGACACTGAGGCATTTTCAATGATATGTTTTTTGTCACGTTGGGGTCCAAATATCGGATTTTGAGTTTTTGACAAACAATGCCCTCTAGTTTTTTTTTTTAAGAATAAACTGCCAGCAGCTATGTATTTGTTGCCAATGAAGGGTGTAAAGTTATATTCAAATCTAGGAATTTTGTGCCCGGAAAATCGCAGGTTAGAATTTTGACTAATGTTCTGATTTTGGTACTGACTTATCAAAAAAATCATCATCAAAGTGATATTTTTTCTCCAGCCGCTAGTAATTATCAGATTCATACCAAAATTGCCAATTCCCCTTGTTTTCATTTCCATCGTCCTTTTTTTTTTCAGCACAATGGAGGGTTATTGAGAATTTTTCCAGAAGGATGGAGTCACCAAGTTGCTGATATTGAACCTCTGTTCGACAGGATTTTATTTTTCTGGTCTGACCGTCGCAATCCCCATGAAGTACAACCAGCATTTAAAACTAGGTGAGCCTTGTGTTGATTTTTTTTCATTCAATCATTAAGGAAATCATTTTTTAGAGGCACAAGGTTCCTACAATTTTTGTAGTGATGAATGTGCCATTTGCTTTAAATTGCCACAAAAATGGCCTAGCCTCTCTTAAGTTCTTTTTTTCAGACTCCTGTCTTTAAAATTAAACACTGAATCAGTTTCAGTTGGTTCTATCTTAGTTTTATCTTAACACACTCACCCATTGTAATAAATCATGAAACCAGTTTTATTTTGTCACCTGTTAGTAAACTGAGGATTTCAATATTGGTTTGAACAAAATATACTTAAATGATGGAATTTTTGGCCCTGTATTGTCTAACCAAGGGTTTGGTGTGTGTAGCTTTCTTATAAAAGATTTCCCTGAATATTTTTATGTCACTGCTTTTATACAAATCTTTGCTTACTTGTTAACATAAATAAAAGATCACTAGAATCGCAGATTGGTCTCAAGGAGAAATCTCAAAAATTCAAAGCCTTTCCTAGAGAGGAATTTATATTTATATCAGGGTGAATTTCATTGAAGAATATCATAACTTGAACAGTAGAGGTTTTATTTTTCACTCCTCTATTATTGTTTTAACTGTCTCAACTTAAACAACTTCAAAAGTTATCAATATACTACTTTTGAGGCAAGTATCTACTCGCAACAGGTACAGTATTTTTCAGAATGCTCCCTGTAAAATTCAGTAACTAATAGTTTAAATGTTTCATTAATGTTTACTGCACTTTATTCTTATTGGTTGTCCTTTTTTTCAAGATATGCAATAACGTTGTGGTACTTTGATGCAACGGAACGAGCAGAAGCAAGTAGGCGATATCAACAAAGTAAGTGACAGTTTCCATCCTGAATTTTAACCAATATCTTTAGCTTACCCAAAGTTGAGAAGTGAAATAATTTTACGTAGAAAGGAGTGTCTTAAAATACTTACTCACAAGTATCCGCTTTTGAAAGCTTTGTAAGGAGCCAATTTTCTTTTTTATCTTTTTATACCTGACAAGTGGAGAGAAACGGAAAGTAAGTCATAAGGGAAATTCATGAACCTACTGTGTTGTCTTTTCTACCCTGCAAAGCCTTCAAAAATTAATTTTGAAATATCGATCTGGACTTAACAAACTTAAATGAGTCTTAAGACTGTATTCCTAACTATTCTTTAACCACCCTCTTTCTTCAGCAAGGCCTGCGTCGTTTTTAGTCTTTTCCAAAAGAAATTCACGAAAAATTCACTATTCAACATAGTGACCCATGAAAGTTTACAAAGTCTTGAATACGGAATGAGATGAAAGGATCCCATTTTAGCCAGAGAATTGCTAAGATTAGTCACTGCTAAATTGGAGTGCACCCAAAAAAAATATATAATTCTAATTTAATAGAATTAATATTAATACTAATTCTAAATTTCAACAGTAGTTTGTAGCCACCTCAAGTTTATTAGGTCATTGACATTTTTTTCAATTTGTGTATGGCAGACAGGTAATTTTTTATCTCCAAGGTATTTTTTTAATGGAAAGATATTGAGATTGCTCATATTCTGATTCTGAATCATGGGCATCCTCAAGTCTCCCTTCAATCATAATGCCAACTATGGTAGTCTCCCTAGAGACAGGAGCTGTTCAACATGTTGGTAACGGAAGCCTTTTTTGCTGAAATAATAGGACTATGAATGTACCTGTAAGATGGTGGAGGCTTTTTCATTATAACATTATTAACTATGGTAGTCTACCTAGAGACAGGAGCTGTTCAACATGTTGGTAACGGAAGCCTTTTTTGCTGAAATAATAGGACTATGAATTTACTTGTAAGATGGTGGAGGCTTTTTCATTATTATAAAAGCCCAAAAAGCATGTTTGCGAGATGCCTTGTAAAAATATGAGATCATGACTTGTGAACAAACAATTTTCATAATTACATCTTTTTTACAATCACCCATCAAGCGCTAACATCCACCTAACACTATCATCAACACACAAAGAAAACAAACTGGATTGAAGCTACAAACCATTGAATGCCTCTAACTAGAATGGACCTCTAGACAAGGTAATAATTTAAACACTTTAACATGTATCCTCTTCAAAATTTCACGCAGAACACAATTCAGGCAACGAAAATTACTGAAATCAAATCATAACCAACATATTAGCGTTTTTATAATACACTGGTTACAAAAAATTTGAATTTCCTGCTCACGAAAAAAACCAGAATCTAGAATCGAGTGGTGCAGCACAACAGTTTTAGCAGGCGTTTTAGTCAAGCCTTGTTTTTTCCCTGCCCTGTGTTGTTCCAAATTGTTACAGTAACACTTAATGCGCAATTTAACTCAAGTAGATGATGGTTTTCTTATGAGCCGGAAGTTTGAATTCTTGCATTGGAAAGCGTTAATATCATGGTTACCTTCAAAAATTTTCCTTGCACGAAATTTTGATGAAAAAATATACATTATTTTGCTTAAATTCGCACCTTGTCTAGTGATCCATCAATCTAGCTCCATTGTACATTTCCTAACGGCCTCCCAGGTTTAATTTTCTTCAAGCAAAAATCAAGCAACAACAATGCCTCTCAAATTTTTGTGAATTTCTCCTAGATTATGAACAACACCCCTACCTCATTTTAAAATAGAATACGGCTTCTGATTTTTTGACAAAAATTAAGAAGTTTGGCTTTGTTTAATGTTGTTAGACTGATTCTGATCCAGCTTAAGTCTAGTTTGTCAAAGTCACCAATTTGAGAAAACGAGATCAATTTATTCAAAGATCCTTTTTTTCATAGTCAAATTACTTGAATTCTCTTGGGGAGCAAAGTAAAAAAGAAAATGTCTGAGCACAATAAATTAAAAAGTGTGATGTTTTAAATTATTTTTAAATCCTTGTTATGTTTTCAGGAGATATGAGTGGTGTCGCGCAGAACTAGCAGTACTGGAAGGAGCTCAGAGTCTCTCGACAAGTCAAACGAATTAGATCTGAGTCATGAAGGTGGCGCCTCCTAAAACTTAGCTCTAAGAATTTTCGTATATTTTAAAACGAGTGTAAATAATGTGTAAATAAGCAATGTTAACTCTAAGATTTCTTTATTTTTTTCAAGCCTGTACAATGTGTACTTAGTTTCTCGACAGAGTATCTTGCCCAGGGTTTTAAAGGTCAATATTTCAGTCAGATTTTAACTTAAAATTAGTATAATTCCCTATTGTTCATCCGAATCTCTACAAAAATTGCCTTTTTTCATCAAGTTAAAGGAGTTCAATGAAATATATGTAAATCAAATGAAGATTAACGGCCAGGCAAATTTCTCAGGAAATTTTCAGCTTGAGGCAGCCTTTTGATTAGGTTACCCAATATTTCAAATCTTTCTTAATTTTGCAATTTTCAAATTCTGAAACCATTTCTTGGAAAGTTAACTGAGAGGCAGTTTTCATAGAGAGAAGAAAATTATGTTTCGTAATTGCAGCACTGTGATGAAGTTACTCAGGCTTAGAAGTTAACATGGACATTAATTAAGAATTGCTGCCAATACTTTTTCTTGGGTTCCATGTCAACTCAACCAGGTTCGGAACGGACCCCCTCCAATTTTGCTTAATATGGGAGCACATCACCGCAAGAATTTCTTTTAAAGAATTTTCCCCTCCAACACTCTGTTCGTGAGATATCAGCCCTTAAAGATCAGGTGAATCCTAGCAAAATTCATAAAAGTCCATTTTTGCGATTTTCATTTTCTCGACTTCCCGCTCTTTGTCTTTGCATGATGGCACTTGACGTCATGGAACGACAAAGAGATGGAAATCAAGAGAATGAAAGTAGGGATAACAGGTTTTTCAATTATTGCTAAAATTCATATCATCTTTATGGGATATCTTGAGAACGGAGTGTGGGAGGAGAGAACCCTTCAAATGAGCCTCTGAGAATGATGATAAACCCTGCATACTAATATTAAGCTATGTATATCGGAGGGAGTGGGGTTCTGAACCTGGTTGAGTTGACATGAATAACCCTCCTTGGTCTAATGAAATTCAGCGGACTTAAACAAGTGAACGCTTTGCAAGGAATTTTTTTTTATCGGAATCGGAGTATATCATGTTATATCTTATGAGTTTCATCTTGAGCTCAATATTTGCTGCATCCGAGGGCTTTTTGAAGCCCTGGGCTAGAGACTTAAATAATCATGAATGTTCTGTTTTGTTAAATGTTTGGGCAACAAACATTACAGAAATTTATTACGTTTGAACTTTTTAACCCTGGTTGCTCCAACTATTATATCTTTTATTAACCATCCATGTTTACACTGTTGATGCTAACTGAGAAGAATTTTACTTTATTTTGAAACTGCCTCAAGTGAGAGTGGAAACTTAAATGATGCATGGTCTCGTCAGCTATTATTGGTTGTAGCAACTTGGGTTCAGCTACATCTCTCAACCTATGACACATCTGTTCGTCAGCTGAGCCAATTTATTTCGTGGTTGCACTGGTATTGCACATAAGTGACCTTTGTAAACCCTGCTGAGAGGAGAGAAGGGTAATTTGTCTCTCTGACATGTTGGATCATCGCAGGCTTATCAAGTTTGGCCTGTTTCCTTGGGATATACTTAAACACGCTTGTAAGCGTGCGTATTTCATTTGTATCTTTTTTAACTGGTTCTCTTTTCTTAAATTTAGCAAATAAAATTGTTTCAACGTTACATACCTGTAAATTTTTTCCAGACTGTCTATATGAAACCTTTGAAGTTTCAGTTGAAAAAAAAAATCATTCCAAATGATTGTCTCCAATTAGGATTTCGTAAGTTCTATGGAATTTGTGAAAAAGAGAAAAAAATGACGAAAACCAAACTTTTAATAATGCATGGCATTTTATAATGGTACAATTTAAAGCGATTGTAGTAATTTTGATTTCCAAAACTCCCCAAATGATTTTTGAGAGGTAGCTTAATTTGAATGATGGAAATTATCTCAGAAATTGATCCAAATTAAAATAGAAATTGAATCAGCATTTGCTCCTGCGGGTAGCAATAGAGCTTGTTATGCTTGTATCACTGCACAAATGTTCCATGTTACAAGAACTCATAAGGTACAAAAGCAGGATCTGAGTTGAAGAAGGAGAGAAGAGCAGGGCCTCAACTATTTTGCGAAAATTTGTGGGGGTAAGAAAATTACATTGCTATAGGGAGATTGTTAATTGTGACCAAGCATTGTGACAAATTCTCCTGCAAGAAATCATTTTCAGAAGTTTCAATTTGAGACAACAAGTAATGAACTATAGAGAGCTTAAAAGAGGCCACAGCTGCTGTTTTTTTAATGCATAAAACCAAGTCTTAAGTTAGGGTATGGAAGGTAAAATGAATAAAAACTAGGTCAATTCTGAGTCTTCTATACTTTTAAGAAAAGTTAAATCCTAGGTAGAACTAACACGGAGGACATGCGGCTTCTCTTTTCCTCCATTTCAGTCAAAATCAAAAAGGAAATTCTTTTAAGTATTTACCCCCAATGAAACGTGAAGTCAGTACCTACCCATTCAGGCAGTTTCCACTCAAAGTATCATACTTACATTAGACATCGATAGCTAAAGTGCGACACCATGCACCTCCATTGCTATGTTCCAAATTTTCCGCTCCTACTTTAGTTTTCGAAGAGGAGCAAGTCAACTTTATAGGTTGAAATTTATACAGAGAATTCTTCTAATATAAAAAAAAATGTAATAAGTTTTCAAGAAATTATTTTGACTAGTTTCCCAAAGAAGAAATAAAGTATGTACGACTCGAAGTTTAATACATCGCAACGGGAGGTACGTGGTTTTGTACTTTCGCCACCGATATTGTCTGATTGCACATCCTTGTTGGGAATCATTTTTGGCGCTCGCAGTGTGCACACATTTTGTACAACTAAATCTCATGGATACACAATTATGAATAAGTGATTTTATTATCTCTCCGGTTAGAGAGGGTTCTTCTTGTCCTAATTTTAAGTAGGTCACCCTATACCCGCAAAGGTGCAATCAACCCCTCCTGTACACTTCATTCATCCGTTATCCAGTGCTTTCTTGTGGGGCTTTACCAATTCCTTGAATGTTCTTTTCGGTTAGCGTTCATATGCATGCATTAATTGTTGGAGAAAAGATGCTTGCTTTCCACGAAATAAGGTATCATTTTGTTCTCAAAAAGGGTAGAACTACACTCTGCGCATGTATTAATTATCCATTAGTTTCCCGTATATTTGAATTAGGCGCGCAATTTTAAACGTTGCCAAGATTCTGATCTTAAATTGTCATAATCACAAGCATACACAATACAGGCGAGATGGACGCATTTGTAAATTATTTTGGTTTATTTTCTCTTTTTATTTGCAGTTGTTCATCTCCTCCCTCCATCGAGTCAATACCGACCAATTTTTCTGAAAACTTGATGCTTTCTTTTTAAGTATCATTAAAGTTTTCAACTGGCAACATTAAAAAAATTTCTCTTTACTGCAGTGCTGCCGTCTATCGGCCTCTGACGACATTTTAATCAACCCTAAACCCTAACCAACAAAGCCCAACTTCAGAGAATTCGTTACATTTTCTGATATTTATTTCTATTACTTCGATTTTATTATCTTGCATCCGTTTCATTATGTTTTTACAATATTTCGCATAAGCCGGTATTTTCGAATCATCTCTTCAAAATTCTAGTGTGTGAATATGTAGTGTTTATCTGTGGGTTTCCCGTCAGTATCAGGGCTTCTCGTGGTTTCTCCATTGCCGACCCCCAACCATCACTCTTTGCAGGATGGATTCACTCATACCTGTTATCAATAAATTGCAAGAAGTTGTAAATACATTAGGAACGGATGCCATAAAATTACCCATCATTACCGTCGTTGGGTCTCAGGTAAGCACGCCAAAACTCCTCGAAGCAAATTAGCCTTGTGAATCATTATCAGTCATCTCTGTGCCTTTTCATTCCTTTCTTTTCCTTGTTTCATTTGTTCTCACAACGCAGCCTCTTGGCATCCTTTGGAAACCGCACTCTCATGAAAGTTCTTCTCCCAATTTTCACCGTTATTTACTTTCCCGTGTGCATTACCAGCCTCTTATGAGTCATCGCATTCCTATCCAAGGGATGGACTGATCAATATTCTCTGCACGCTCATGTACTCATTTATCCCTCAAGTATTTGACATTCCAATCATTTCTAGCAAGAACAGTGCTCTTTACTCATACGAGTCTCTTAATTCATATGCACTCAAAATTTACCAAAAATAAGTGTAGCCAGTTTGTGTACCTACTAGGTAGTCCCTTATGATCATGACGATTTTTCCTTTACACTTTGCTAAGCACTCCTCTATCTTTATACCATCCCCAATGATCGGTACACTCTTTCTCATCAAAAAGCCCTCATTTATTTTCTATCTTAGGACAAGAAAGATGGCAAAAGAATTAAACAGCCTAGCGCCGTGGGGTGCAATGATATTTCATATATATCTAACCGTTGCCTACGAGAATGGAGAGGCCGTGACTACGTTTCTGTGACGTCATGCTAGTAAATGAAACTCAGCCGCTGTTTAACATGTGTTCTTATGGGAGAACGCCTGATGCGTGTTTCTTTTGTGCTGATATCCTCTCGGGGCAATAATTCATAAGAACCTTTTCGAAAGAGGATGAAATTTCACTCTAGGAAACTAACTAACCCATATGTGACGTTGTCTAATAATGGAGGAAATGATAACTTTATACCGAAAATTGTTACTCCACTCAGATTCAAACGGGCTGCTTGCGTAACTTCGGCCGATTGAGGGCCACTCTGATTGGTCTAAGCAGCGACTGCCTCACTCATCAATGCGTCGATGACCCAGAGATGCTTGTTGTTTTCGGTAAATATCTACTAGCTTGACGTCACAAAACTGACTAGTTACGGCCTGTCCATTCTCATAGGCAACGCTTTAACTAGTTACAATTTAAAAATCACTCGGTGACCCGATTGTCTCCTGTATATCTAGCAATTTTCCTAGTTTTGTGCCTTGCATCTGGCGCTCAATATCAACATTGAATTTTTTCTCAGGTCGAGAACCCTCTTGAACATACTGAAGTACTCACTGTGAATGTTAGTAACTTAATTTTCCTAAAGATTTTCCCAAGGGCCACCTTGCCCCAAACCTCTGAAGTGGGGGCAGCATCCAGGTCTCCAAGCTGTCTTTTAATTTGAATTAGATGTATAATTTTATTCTTTCTGTTACGTGAATTTATAATGGCCAGTTTTTTTTTTTTTTACCTCAAAATGAAATGAGACTGAAATAATTCAGTTTTTACTCGAACGCTTAGATTATGATTTGTCTTGGACCAGCACCACTAAACATCATCATCTGCACTAGGATGGTGCCTTCGATGAGGATTTCTAGAAGCAAGATTTGAGTTACCTTTAAATGTGTGATAAATTTGTTCTTGCATTGAAGATTTTTCTCCCGAATGACTACTGGAATAGCTTTTTACACTGGCGCTTAGTTTGTACAAAAAGTGCACAAGACATTGATGTATTTTGTATCATCACGTCTCTATAGATGATAACCTTCATTTGTCTCTCACCGTCCAGAATTTCTCTCCTGCTAATTTTGAATGGAATCCCGTCTTTTTTCCAGAGTTCTGGTAAGAGTTCTGTCCTGGAAAGCCTCGTTGGTCGCTCTTTTCTTCCTAGAGGAACAGGTATTGTGACACGTTGCCCACTCATTTTGCAGTTGCATTACTGCCCAAAGGAGGATAAAGAACATCGATCCTCTGATGAAGGTATGTACCAGTCCAAGGTTCATTTATCAATGTTCCACTTAAACTGAGTGTGCAGCTAATTATCCTTTTGTGTAGCAGCTTATGGAAGAAAATCATTTTGAGATTTTTTTTTTTTACCAATTTCAAATAGCCTATTGGCTAATCCGATACTTATTACCCCAGCCCCGGGTGACCATTGCCTGAGACCATCAAACTCAGATCACCTGGCCAGGAATTGAACCCGGGGCATCTTGGTCATAGGGGCAGCGCTACAACCTTTACACCACAGGAGGCCGACAATGGAGATGGTTATTAATGCATCACCAACCATCAGTACATCTTGAATATTGTCTGTGATTATCAATCCGTGATGGTGTGATGAATTGATTAGAGGATAAATTGGTTCCATTTTTCCTTTAAAACTTCTGCACATACTTTCATGAAAATTTCAGGGATTAATCTTGATGTCCATCCAAAAAATCGGACAAGTTGGAGCAGTTTAGCAACATAGTGCTTAATCACAAATGGGGCTTGTGATATTTTGACCGGAAGATGACGATGTGATATACCACTGTACCAGATTTGCTATCACCACTACCTTACTTAAACATGATGTATCTTTTTTTCATTTCAGGAACCTTGAGTCTCGAGATTTGGGCCAAATTTAACCACATTAAAGGTAAAATTTTCAAAGATTTTGACGATGTTCGTAAGGAAATTGAAAATGAAACAGAGAGAATTGCTGGTCAAAACAAAGGCATAAGTGCAGAACCAATCACATTACAGGTTTTCTCCACAACAGTTTTGAATGTGACTCTAGTTGATCTTCCTGGGATCACAAAGGTATGCATCCAATATAACATTTTTACTTCGACTCTATATGAACCTCAATTTGCGGTACTGAACTACCATTTTTAGCTCATCTTTTCTTTAAAGCACGTATCTGCGTAGGGAAATTCATAGAACATATGACATTAGGCATTAGGGCTATTACAAGATGCAGAAATGGTTTTGAGAGGTGTTTCTAATGAAGACCCTGTTACTTGGAAAAATCATGAAGCTGAAAGCACATCAAAGAACTAATCTAAAGAATATACAAGCAAGTGCCCAATTTGGTCCAAACTACTCTGTTCTGTTCAGCTGATGAATAGCCACATAACTACAGTAAAAATCCGCAAAAACCCTACCAATGACCTTCCCATCTTAGCAGATAAACCAGGAGAATATGCAAAAACTTTTGAGAACGCCAAAAACAATCACATGCAAGCCTTGAGAAATTTGCAAAATTCCTCTAAAAATCATGCTTAAAACAGTGAATACCTATGAGCCCCTGGCAAGGAACAATAAAAATCACACAGACAAGACTTGGAATTTCCAAAGGGAGATTTTCAAATTAAACGGAACTTGAACTGCTTCAAATCCTCTAAGTGGTTTCCCCGGCCCAAGAGATAAGTTGCAATGTGTTTTGACTTGCAAGATTCTTTGAAGCCCCTCGGTATATTAAAATGCAAGAAATTTGTGTACACCAGTTAGTAAATCAATTTAACTTAACTTTTTTTTAAAAGATATCACTAATTATGACTAATTTAAAACTTTGATGCCCTCACTTATAAAATTGTTGTAACCTCGGTCTCTTTCAGGTCCCTGTTGGTGATCAGCCTCCAGACATTGAGCTACAAATTCGTCAACTCATACTCAGTTACATAAAAAACCCCAACTCAATCATCTTAGCAATATGTACGGCAAATACAGACATGGCTACCAGTGAAAGTATTTCAATCGCAAAAGAGGTTGATCCAGAGGGGAAAAGAACGTTAGCTGTTGTCACGAAGTTAGATTTGATGGATGCAGGTAAATTGATGATATTTGAGGTGCAGGATGGAAGATAGTGCAATGAAAAAATCTATCAATAAAAGGACTACAAGTCCTTTTGTAGTCCCAAAAATACTACAAAAAGAACACTGCCGCTTGCGGCAGGGTTTTTCAGATTTGCTATCTGGGAGCAGCAAACATTTATTTTGATCCCTAAAAAATCATAAATGGCTCCAAAAATTTTGAGTTATCTGTCCAAGATTGCTTCTAAAATTTTAAGGCGATTGCAGAACACTACTTAATAGGCTTTGGCTGGGAGTAAGAGGAGAGTTTACCAAAAACTTAGACCAGCCAATGGGACAATAATTGCAAGAGGGCTTCAGAATAATAAGCAACACTATTGTTCACCATGAAAAATAACAAACTAGTAGAAAGTCATTCTTTGCAGTCTTAAAAAATTCCATTTTTCGCTCAAAAAGGGACTTATTTTTATGAAATTAAACCATGGTAGCCAGTTTATGCTTGATTTCCGGTCAATGTTGAGTTATTTTGAATGAAAGTTTTCATAATTATGTATTTTACGCATGCTTCCTGATGTAATAGAAGTATACAGTTCTATTTTTGATATTGTTATAAAAGTAGAATAGCAAAAAACTCTCTTCCTTCTTTACAAAAGACTAAATTTTGTCTTTTTAATAGGTTTTTTTTAAAAACTTTAGGCCCACCCATGATAACCTCTTGTGTGTGAACATCAGAAATCTTCCTAACGATTGCCCCAAGAATCTATTGATTTTTGATATTTTTTCAGGTACCGATGCCATTGATATTTTATGCGGTCGAGTGATTCCTGTCAAATTAGGAATTATTGGTGTAGTTAACAGGTCACAACAAGATATTATAGACAAAAAGGTAAACAAATTATCTTCTCTTTTTTTCCAGTTGCGCTTCTAAATCATTTTATTAACTAAACTGTTGCATGCTTCACAAAAAACATATGTCAACATGTAAGTATAGAGCTAACAGTACTGTAAATTATTGATAGTTGGACGAACTTAAGACTGGCATTCATGTTCAACTTGAACAAAGTTCTCAGTAATGTCATTTTCATTATAAAAAACCATGCACCGTAGTGTGTAATTTTTTACCCTGTCTAACGAGTTCATAGGATACATTTTGCAATTCAGAGCTACAATTTCTGGCTCATTGGTAAAAACACTTATGTGCGGAGAAAAATAAATGGTACGTAAGTTGTTTCTAAAGTGAGACAGAAATTGTAGTTAATGATTGCAAGGTGTAATGTGTAGTCCAATTCATTATCCACGAAGTTTGTATTTTCAGCAAAACTTAATTCAATACATTCATTTTGTATTTAACTGTACACTTTTCGTTTTATAATGTTATTGTTTTGTTCACAGTCAGTTCAAGATGCACTGAAAGATGAGGCCTCTTTCCTGCAGAAGAAATATCCTACTTTAGCAAATCGAAATGGAACTCCATACCTCGCAAAAACTTTGAATAGACTTTTAATGCATCGCATCAGGGACTGTTTACCTGAACTCAAGGTGAGTTTTTTTTTTCCTTTTCCTGAGTTCTGCTAATTTGCTCCAGTCATAACAGGAAAATAACACTTGGCTTTGTCATCATTTTTGGAGCTGAATTTTTTGAATCTCAGAAAAAATTGTTGAGAAAAGCTTGCCTCAGTGGCCGGGTGACAGCTTGCAGCGTATGCAAGTATACCTGCAAGGGTATGAATGTATGCTGCTAGTCATCTCAACCATGATCAAAATTCAAGTTCTAATCATCCTTGTTTTAATTTTCAGACCAGAGTCTCGTCAATGATATCACAATTCCAACAGCTGCTGACTTCTTATGGGGATGATGTTTGTGATAAAAGCCAAATGCTCCTACAGATAGTCACCAAATTTGCATCTGCTTATTGTGCCACAATTGAAGGAACAGCAAGAAATATTGAGACTTCCGTTTTGTAAGTTTTCCTGGATTGATATGAAAAATTCCATTCGCACTGATTTTTTTATATTTTGTTTCCAACAAAACTCTCTAATTGCCAGGAGATTCCTTAAGGGAACATGTCCTCTGATAAAAAATCATATCCAAAAATGCACCATTTGTACACAATGACATATTCACTAAGTGAGTCATGTATTAATAATTTTTCTAATCATTGGTAAAAAGTAGTGTCTGAATCAAAGGAAATTTTACTTTTGTTTAAGGTGATTCCAAGTTTATTTCTCACCTCAAATATTAGCAATGTATGTGGAATGTAGAAAGCGGTAAACATTCAAAATAATAGTAAAATGTTTGAAAGTGTCAGTATCCAATTTTTTAAACATATTACTTGCTAAAAACTTACTTAATTATCCTTAATTCACCACTAGCATATCTTACTGTCTTCATTTATTATGTTTTCCAAACGTATAATTTTCTATAATTTTTTTCTTTCTTTTTTTTGCATGTAAACAAAAAGATGTGGAGGAGCCAGAATTTGTTACATTTTTCACAAAAGTTTTGGAGATGCCCTTGACCTAATCCACCCCCTAACCAACCTGGGAAAGTGGGATATTCTGACTGCCATCAAAAATTCTACTGGGCCCAGACCTGCATTATTTGTTCCAGAGGTAATTTTTTTAAACATCTTCCTACATGTTTTAAATGTTCGTAAATCCACCTCTTTCCTCCTACTTATTCTTAAGAGCACTTTATATGGGTAAAAATGTTTAGATTTTTTTAATAATTCATGCAGAATGAATGTAAATACCATCAGCTTTCTTGCTGGAAAGAAAGAAAAACTCCTATTTCTCTTGCCCTCTCTCTCTTAATCTTCTGGCCGTTAAAATTTTTATTACTGTTAGGCTTGTGTAAAATTTTTTCTTAGCAATGTCCATGCTGCATTAAGGTAACTCCCTGTTATTTTTAAGAGCTGCATTTCACAGGAATCTCTGAAGGTCTTCTGTCAATTTAGCGCAAGATTACTTCAAACAGGAAATTTGAACTTGACAAGTCCAACAAGTGTAATGATGCTCTCTCTTTGTCGTGTTTAATCAGATTAGTTTATAGGGAAAAAGTGGAAATCCTCTCTAAGAAATGTATGTCTGTTAAACATCTTGTTATCAATGCATCCATGTTTGTTTTGTGTATGGTTTTATTTTTTTTCCCAGACCCATTAAAGTGCTGAAAGTGAGTCTAAAGGTGTCTTCCGAAATATTGTGCCCCCTCTCTTGGCCAATTTCTTGATTTTTGTTTTTCTCTTGTCTTTATGGCTTGTCTATCCTGTTTTATTGGTTGTTCTCATCAAACTTGTGTCCATTTATTGTATCTACCAAATAAATAAATGAATGAACACAGTTGGAGAAGACCAAATGACCTGAGCCAAAATGGATACAGTAAGACCTCGAATTATCGGATCGCAATTCAACAGATTCCGCGATTTGACGGATCGATCCTCTGGTCCGTTAAGCGGGACACACTAGCGCGATTTAACGGATTCGGCCTCCAGTCCTGTGAAATCCGATAAATCGAGGTCTTACTATACGTCAATTCTTGTAGTGATCGTTCGTCTAGAAGAGTTTTGCTCATTTTAAAGATAATTGTCAGACTTTACACTAGAAAGATGATATTTTCTCACGCTAATTTTATACAACAGTGAACGAAAATTTTTAAAAGATCAGCATTTTTTATTCTCTCATTTTTATAATATGATTTGATAGCAAGTCACTTTAACTCTACATGAAAGTATCAAATTTCTCAATTTCTGGACTTATAATTTCATTTTTTTATAGTATCATTATTTCTTTGAGGTTTTTTGACGCATGCCTGTGTGAAGTAGTTTTTAATTTAGTATTTTAATGTAGCTGTTCTACTCCCAGGTTTCATTTGAACTCTTGGTGAAACGACAAATTAGAAGGCTGGAGGAACCAGCCTTAAAGTGCGTTGATTTAGTTCACGATGAAATGCAAAGCATCATCCAGCATTGTGGAATTGAGTCTCAACAAGAAATGCTTCGCTTTCCAAAATTACATGAGCGTATAATAGATGTAGTTTCTCAACTTTTGAGACGGCGACTCCCAACCACCAACCAAATGGTAAACTTACTTTTAAAGACTCTAATAACCTCTAAAATTTTGTCATCAAGTCTTTTTATGCGCAGAGCAACTTTAATCTGTTCATACAGGTGTTTCCAGTGTGTAAAACCAGGAAAGACTAATTTAAGATGATCACACTAATGCACAGTAGGGTTCCCTCGCAAGTGTGTAATTAATTCTGAAACCAGTTGAATGAATCCAAGATTATGGTCTTTTGAAGTTGAAAATCTATTTTTTAGGAAGAACTTATGGAAGTATCAAAACTTCCTCACAGCCAATTGTAGTTGAACTAAAATTTTGCAATGCACTTTAAGATAATTTATTCCAGGTTTTGATGTAGTCAAACTGGCATGCAATATATCGCATTCATTAAGTAAAAAATCTTAGCATATTTTGACTTTTTTCTCTAAAAAACAAAGACGATAGCTCCTGCACATGAATTGGGAAAATCATTCTCAACCAAAAAAATTGCAAAACACTGAGAAATGAAAGCAGGAGTCTCCGAAAAAAACCTCACATTTCATATAGAGGTCGATTGCCGTATTGAATGCATTGTTTTTTCCTGAAGGAGAATCTTGCTCTTATCTCCCTGAAAGTTGCGATTTTTTTTTTGATCGAAAATGATACTTAAGGCTCAGGCTAAAAAGCTATCGTTCTTTTTTTTCCGCTAGAAGGTCAAAATCTGCTAAGATTTCTGACTTAATTGATGCAATTTACTGCATGTCAACGACCATGCCAAGAACCGGTGACAAATCACCCTAAGATTTTTATCCTAAAATATTTTGCTGTCTCGTTCAATTTTAAAGTAACTTATGTTTTTCTACATATATTTTTTATAATTATTGTAACCATCTCCAGAAGAGTCTACCAATTTTTGAATTTTTGATGGAGCATTGCAATAAGTAATGTACTTCTAAACTTAAAGAAAAATCGTGAAAAGTTATTTATTAATGTACTTCGAACCCTAGAGTATATTATGTATCTTTCTTTTTTATTTTTTGAAGAAACTCAAATTTTTTTTTTACGTCATTTCAGGTTGAGAATTTAGTTGCAATTGAATTAGCATACATTAATACCAGACATCCTGATTTTCGGAAGGAGGCCCTTTATGTAACATCAACTTTGAAAAACATGATGGATGATGGAAAGGTGAAAAGAAATGCCTACAATAGCATAGCTCCTTATTCAGGGGCAATCTCAGACAGTGAAGAAAGCAGTGGTGCCACCCTGAAGGTAATGAATCTCATTATTGAACACATTCCCTCTCGTTTTCTGAAATTGCTCAACTTCATTGTCTTTTAAAGTAAAATCTAGAGTTGGGCCGGGTAACCAGCGATTACCCGGCCGGAAGCTGGACACGATTTTTGCGGGTATCCGCATCCAGCTGGATAATCGCGCTATCCAGTTTTTTGGACACGCCGGATAGTGTTTTTTCAGCCGTGAAAATTTTGGCACTTTTTGGCGCTCTTTGACTAGTTATGGTACTGTTTAACTTTTTGAAACTTGTAATCACGGGAATTAGGCACATTTTCCATAAATTTACATAATCGCAACGTGATCCTTAATTCTTTAAGGCCTTATGCTCCATTTTCAAAGACAAAGAATGCAGGTAGAAGAGGAAAAAAAAACAATGCCACCAACAGATGCATAAGTTACCCGTCCGTAACGTTTTTACTCCAGCTGAACTCTACAAGTATTGTAATGTTGCAGTTTGCAGTTTTTCATTGCAGTATCGAAACAAAGGCCAATTGAATGGACGCATGCGAAAACGTCCGCTGTCCAATACAGGGTCTCATAATTGCGGTGGGTTTCTTTTGTCCCACGACACTGATGAATAGGATCGATCTCTTTTGTAAACGTTCAATTACACTCAGGCGATTATTTATAAAAAATTTTTTCAAGCTTTGCATGTTGTCATCCAAATTTTCAAAAATATTGTTGAAAACAAATTTTTTGTTGAATTTTATGTTTGCAGATGAACAACATTGATGCTGCTCGAGGTTACCAGCATTTTAATCCAAGTGGAACAAACAGCATAGTTGATTCTACAGAAACATCTCCAACTTCGACGCCTACTCACCAGGTTGCTTTAGTCTCCAATCCCCCCGGCGGTATCGGTTCTCAAGGCAATCCCAAATCAATCAACCTCCTTCCGGTAGTTCCAAATCAGCAGAGCTCCCGGACACTCACTGAACGAGAAAAACAGGAGTGTCAAGTGATTGGTAAGTCTTGTAGAAGAGCAAACACTTCAAGGGTGTGGCCCAGGTACATAAACGTCCCTCATGTCACCAGTGAGAGCGCACATTGTTTCAGACCTGAAAATACAGAAATCAATGGAGAATTTGCGGGCGTCTGAAATTTCATGAATTTCGTGTTTAAGTGGAAACTACAGAGTGAACTGAACAGGAGGATACCCTTGGTTCATGAATTGAACAAATATTGGAGATGATATGACAAAATGAACTAGTCTGCTAAAATACATGTGTTTAAATGGGAAATGCTGCCAGATAATGTCATTAGGCGGTGCATTTTCTCACTTTCAAATCTATTTTTATACTATTTCCCATATCAGAAAAAAAATTATAAAAAATACTGTGAAATCAGCTCTGTAAGCACTTTAAGATGAAGCAGTAAAAAATGTGCATGCAAATTCTCCATTGAAGAATGAAAAATCTCTATATAAATTAATAAATTCTATCTAAAAAGCAAAAATTTCCTGCTCTTTTCTCTGCAAAGGTAATCATAAAGTACTGAAAACTTTTATCAGGGAGGCGCTTGAAAGCAGTTATCAAACTACAGTTCGGGTGCAACTAAAGCTCTAGTAATTACCTAGGAAAGAAGACCATTGGGACCTCTCTAGATCAAAAACTGACCGGGTTGATAAGTTTTGTGAATTCGAATATTTGAAAATGTTGGTTGGAAAATTTGTTATAAGCCATGGTGCGAATATTCGCAAATGACGAACAGTACGCGAGTCAGCCAAAGCGAATATTCGCGATTTCCAAATATTCGCACAGCTCTAGACTTCAAGATTTCATTAGATAATCCTCTTTTTAGTTCAGTTTTGTACCAGTAGCAAATGTAAACTTTCATTTTAAATCGACAAGTTTGAATGACAAATATGGCAAAGTACATCTTTGAATACAGTGCTCTTTGAATTATTTTTTTATGAACTGCAAACCTCAAAGTGTCACATCCTTAGTTTCGTTTGATCTTTTATTTCTGAATGTTCTTTGTGTTCAAATGTTTGTCAAAACTTTAGTAAACTCCAGTATCCATATAATTTCATAGTAATCCAATTGTAATATTTTGGCACAAAGATCCCTTTCCCTGTGAATAGTCACTTTTGTTTCTTTTCCAGTAAATGTAAAGTTCTCATCAGTTTCAAGGTAAATAACTTTTCAATTATTTCATTTACAGAGCATCTTATCCAGTCATACTTTTACATAGTTAGAAAATCGATTCAAGACTCGGTACCAAAAGCAATCATGCACTTTTTAGTGAACTATGTAAAAGACAACCTACAGTCAGAGCTAGTGACTCACTTATATAAACCTGATCAAATCGAAGATTTACTGAAGGAATCTGAAAATATTGCCCAACAAAGGAAAGAAGCCAGTGATAAGTTAAAGGTAAGTGAAGTTGTATGAAAAAAATTCCAACCATAGAAAAGTTTTAATATTAATGATAGGAGTTAAGCTGGATATTTGGTAACTATAAAATATGCTGGACAGAATTTTTTCAGGTATCATCTGGTTTGATAATTTCACTGTACGGTACTTAGTTGGATAGTGCTTTTTCAGTTGTGAATGCCAGTGGGTCGGCATGAGAGGAGAGAAACCAAATTCTTTCAAAAAAATGCAGGCCCTGAGTAAAAGAGGGAAAATGAAAGGAAGCAAGAGTGAAAGAGAGAGAAGTAAAATTAAAGTTAGTTAATTAAAAGACGTTCACCAATCGCATGATACATTGAGAGAAACATTCATAATTATGTTCCAAAAAGATGGAGTAGATACTTCAAATTCCTCTAATCGGAAGGTTTTGCTCACACTATCTGGATCCAGCTTTGGCTGGATATCATGGCGGATCATCCTATATCTGTACCCGTGGACACAGAAAATCAATTTTGGCCCTACTCTAATGATTAAGAAAATGAGCAGTGCCTGAAAAACCGCATGAAATAGCATTAAACACAAAATAACCAACAACAAGTACCTTTGTGTGAAGGGAAAGGGGGGGGGGTTAAGTTCATCTGACAAAATTTGTTGGTTTGAAAATATAAATTAAAAGAGCCCTTTTTCTTCAATGGGGGTCAGAGGGGAGGAGAGTTTTCCCTGACACTGAAAATCTCATTGTCAAAATAATAGCTACGTCTGTGATGCAATACGTTTGAGATAATAATTGTATGCAAAACATAAATGGAAGAATAAGTACATATTAACTCAACATCAAAGAGCAAAAATACAATCGAGATGAAATCAAAGTGAAGTGAAAAACGTAATTGTGGGGAGGTTATTAGATTCATCCGGCACTGTATCTGCAATATATCTGTCGCGTTGATATTGCTTCAAATAGTATTAATTTAAGATTTTTCTGGTTTTCTCACATTAAAATGGAAGTGGAACAAAAGTTTTCAAGAATAATAATGGGTTTCTTCTGGTAATCCTAGTTGCTGTGTTTGGAAAAGCCCTCAGTACTTTTTTCATTGCTCACCATTTTCTGGAGAAATCAAATACTCCAAAACCTTAAGTTTGTTGGGAACAAAAGTCCTTGCTTTTTTAAATATTTTGAATTTTCTGGAAAAACGGTAGGCTATGCTATAAAGTGAAAAATGTTTTGATTTCAGCAAATTTTGAATTTCAAACCCCACCGTTTTCCTGGAAAAATTTTGTTTCATTTTCCCCGAGCTGCAAGACAAGCAAGAAAATCTTATATAGGTCCATGTGAGAGGGTAGGTGGAAAAAGAAGTAGAGCTTGACTCACAACCTATTTCCAAAGGGTGGCCATTTTAATTTGACTGTACCTCAGACTCCTGTCCGTAATTTTTCGCAATCCAGCTGCAAAATTGTGAATTTTGGACATCAAGGTTGGGCTTAATTCACTAAAATGTTGGAAGGAGGGTAAAGATCAGCCAGAACATTGAGATGAGATAATGTGAAAAATGAACGCCAATATTAGACCATTGGCCATGAAATTATGACCAAACAGCCTAACTAGTATGGTCTTGTTCAAAGAATGGCGGATGATTTGTGGGTTTTTTTACACTTATTCTATCATTCCTTGACATTTACGCATATTCAGAGGCCAATAATCTCTTTTGTTTCTGTTTTTACAGGCTCTCCAAAAAGCCAACACAATTATTAGTGAAATTAGAGAAACTCATGTCTGGTAAGAATTAGGATCGCAAATAGCAGGTGTTCCATCTGCTCTGTAGTTGTTATTTAGTCTTGTATCATTGTTGATTCCTTGAATGGTGCATTTTCTGTAAGATTCATTGTTGGTAAGTATTGCGTTGAGTTCCATTCATGTATTTTGTCATGAAATCATAAATGCAACCAAGTGGATCAGTGAAGCTAATTTAAACCTTCTTCGGAATTGATACACTCTCTAGTCAGTTTTGCACTTTTCTCCCTGTTTCCTTTACATTTGGAAATGCAGGGAGCGGCAGTCATCATCAGAATAACCAGTGAATTGGGTCTAGGCGAATCAAGTTTTTCTCCGTTGAAAGTTTAATTTTTGCTGCAGAGTTATTTCAAGGTCATCTCAAAACCGAAGGATTTGGCTCTCTTCTAGTCCCACCATATGAATGTTTGGTTTAATTTGCAAGATTTGTGTATCGTTCAATCGATTTATGATGTTTAAACTATCCTCCTATTGTAATTCTTAAAAGTTTTTTTTAATAAAGAACAATTTTTTACACTATCACCCATTTACCAAACTCTCGCTACATTTATGCAGAAAATGCAGCTCTAAATCTAGAATTATGAGTGACTGTAGCTAGAAACCCTTAGATATACTTATGGGGAGGCTGATCTCTTCTGTTGTTAATTTTGTTTTGCAATGTAATATTTCCACAAGATCGAACAAAAAATTTAAAATTCCTCACCAAACGTAAAAGGTAAATTTTATCCACCCTTCAAAAAAAAAAAAAAAAACAGATTCAATACTTTTTGCCTAAAACAAAAAAAAAGGGGCTGATACGTATGAGTGCACATCCATTCTTGAATTTGGCAAAGTATTGCCCTTGGATTCTAATTTTTCATCCGTTCGTCTGAAGTGTAAATGGATGTTTAATTTGGAAAAGTACGTTATTTTAGTGGAAAAAAAAATCGAGTCTATCATCTTTAAGTTTTAGCCACACAGTGGTGTGAGAATATTTCTGTCTCCATAATCTCGGTGAAACTGTAAGTACAACTTTTTTTTCCTGTTCAGCCGAAAGCTTTGAACAAGAATATGAAAAAGATAAAAAACCAAAGTCAGCAAACCATCATACCTATTTTGTAATTGTCAAGTTGTGTGAAGTCTTCTTCATTGAAAAGTAGCTCTTATTTCTTTTCCCTTGTTATTTTAGCTATCGCCTTTTTATTTTATTGCTAATCTGAAGGTCTTTAAACAATCTTAATTTCTGTCCTTACATCGTTTGAAACCCTCACCATTTTTAACAATCTGTACAGTACACTTTCTAACCTCAGTTATTTCTGAGATATGAGTGCACATTAAGTCTGCGGATATTGATGTCAACTCCCAGAACTGATTTTTCATTTTGTTGACCTGTTTATTTTAAAGCCAGAATTCTTGGCTGGTTTTTTTTTTATAATTTTAGGTTGAAATTCCTTCGTTTTCTTTTAAGAAGAAACCTTGTTTTCTCTTTTTGCTTTTTTATACGATTTCGTATTATTTTCTCCCTGTTTAGTTTAAGCCTTGTCGTAGTTGTAGGTTTTCTTATTCAAGAAGCTTTTATGTCTGTCTCTGTATTTGTAATTGTAATAAAGTCAGCTTCCTATTCAATTAAATTCTTGCATTATTTCTCCATGTTTTTCACCCAAAAGGTCTTCAGAAACCTATGCATGGTGTATTTGTGCATATGAATTAAAAATGAACACACAAGTTAAAACTTGTAGTTTGGTGTGTTTCATAAATTTTAAATTAGATCAGGTAACAATCGCTCCCCTAAATAAACCAAGTTTAGCAGGCAAGAATTAAAGTACAGCCTCAGAAAAATCGAGTTGTGCGAGTGATACTAACTATGAGCTTAACTACATAGACTATCTTACTGCAGGTGACAATGAGCCTAACTACATATCGACGGTGAAACTACCAAACCACGTATCTCGTTTGCGGTGTTTAAAAATCTACGCTCACATTTTATTTTTTTGAAGTCGACCAAATCAATATCATTCCTTGAAATTTTTACAGAATTTTCTCCGCACGAAGAGGAAAAATCACAGAAATTTTCAAGACTGGACGTTAAGTAGTTTTTCATTTAAAAAATAAAGTATGACAGGAAGTCTGCGACGTCGCAAACCGAGATACGTGGTTTGGTAGTTTCACCGTCGATATAGAATATCCTACTGCAGGTTGGAGACCAAATAAATCAAAGCTTAAGTATCTAGCGGATGTGTGAACATAGTTCATCTTTTACAGTTACTTAATCAACTCATTGCAGCTGTTAGCCCCTATGTATGAACCAAATCACCCCTCTCTGAGCAATTGCAATGTTTTCCTTCTTTCTTTTTGACGAAGAGCTACCCCTCTTCTATCAAAATAATATTTTTCTTTAATCACCCTCCCATTTGACTGACCACTACTTGCGCAAAAATATTTATTTTTTCAGTAGGTATGTAATCAGTTTTTAATTCATCTGGTAGGTATGGCAATCATATTCTGGTCATGGCGTAGAGTGCCAGATTACCTATTCAATTTCTTGATACGCGAGGACTACAGTAGGACCAAGAAATTAAATGTACTTAGGAGTACTGCAAGTACTATTGTGGGAGGGGGAAGGGGGTGCACCGGCACCTTATCTAAATTAAAGTCCGAATATTTGCTATTTCTTCGATTGGCTCAGTTTCTTTTAACTAGCTTTCTTTCACGGTCATTTTCTGTTTCTCCTCAATAATGTTATTTCTACGTGGACAATTTTCACAACGTCTACGACTGGTACGACTTAACGGGCGCGCAGAATTGGTTTGTAAGGATATGGAAATAAGTTCAGAGATTTACCTAACATTGACGTGAGGAAGCATTGAATTTCCCCCTTCTCTGCAATTTTTAAATAATTCCAGAGTTGATTTTAATCTGCAGAAATGTTTCCGCCCATTTACTTAGGCATGCAGACAGAATTAAAATTCAGTTTTGAATGCGATGCGGAACGTGACTGACTGACTGATCGACGTTTTCTGTAGACCCGGAGTCAGACCACGCGATATGACGTCATGTTTGCGTCATTCGAAATTCGTCTTATCGAAATGCTGCGTGCAGTGGTCCCTCGTCAAAACAAACGTAAATAATATTGAAGTGATAAAGGGATTATTATTGCGTGTTCCTGTTTAATTAAGTGTCTATTAAATTTCCCGAGTGTCTGTTCTTGTTACCGGTAAGTTCTTCGCTATTTCTCACCTTCTTCTTGAAGTTTCGTCAGTTACTACTCGTTAATTATGCAAGGTTTACTCTAGAAATTTCAGAACATTACGTTTCAGTTTCTAACCTCAAGGATGTCTGTCAAAATCCAATCGCCCTCATTCTTTAACTTTGCTCGGGGCAGAAATGAAGAATATCGTTTATTAATTTTCACCAAGTCTTCCTAATGTTTCTTCCGCAATCTTTTACTAAACTGACTTTTTTCAATAATGTCAGGAACCCCCAAGATACTACTTCATCTGTGGCATTGAGGGTGGGACTGAACTTGGTTGTTTTCTCCCTTTGAATATTCTTGCTGTTAGTAAGTAAATTCTTATTTTTAAAGAAAATGACTCTTCAATCATGTTTCCCCTTCTCTAATTATCTGTCCAAAAGTTATTCTTCCCATCTTGAAAAACATGACCTTGATACTATCTAGCAGGATGTTTTGCTCTTGCATCGTGTATTTTTAATCAGTCTTATCACTTTCTGTTGTTAATGTATTGTTTTTTACCTCCACCTGTTATTCTCAAAATATTCTATCTGAAGCTTATGATATGAACGGTTTCATTACGTTGTTTATCCTTGTTTCCCGCAGAGCTCCTTATCAGCTTTCGTTTTAGTATGTGTCTGTGAATTTATGCTTGAAGCTTGGAGCCAATATTTCTTACAGAACCTTTTTCTCAATACGCACAAACAGCTTTTCTAATCAGCTTTGCCACTGATTTTGAAGCAAGATATGATGAGTGTAGTTCAATACAACTCTTAAGCAATCAAGCCTACCTCATAGCTGCCCTTTTATTTAAAACTGGACAGCACCTCTTCTGTTCTTAGTATGAACGCTGCAAATTTGCCCTAGATTACTTATGCAGTTTTTTCCCAAAAAAATATTTGATTACAAGTAAAATATTACCTACCAATGTCATGCCTAACTTCTTTATTGCGAGTTCTCTCAATGCCTAAAGTGCGAAATCACGCAGGTATTTCCGTTTGCGACGTTGCAGACTTCCTGTCATACTTTACTTTTTCTTTAGAAAAGTAGTCAAAGAAATTTCTTGAAAATGTCCTTGATTTTTCTTCTCCGTCAGCAGAATATTCAGTACAAATTTCAAGCCATAGGGCCCTTGTTTCTCATCACAAGGAGAAAATAGGAGTGGAAATCTTGAAACTTTCCAATGGAGGTATGTGGTCTTGCACCTGGGCCTTCGAAGCATTAGTTTTTTCATAAGTGAATAATCGGTCAAAGAGAAAATTGAAAAATATAGGACCGTACACCACTTTATCTTTGAGCTGCAGACACATCCCTATAAAAATTAAAGCATGGAGTTTTGCTGTACCTTTTGGCCAATTGCGAGTCAGTCTAATTATGTGCTACTCTTCTTTTTTTTATCACTTGAATCTCCAAACTTCAATCTTCTAAAGGCCTCGATCCACAATCAAATTCCCGAACCAATTACCATCATATTGTAGGGAGTCATCAGTCTTAACATTGTTACTTCGCCTAATTTTCAAATGAAAACCCAGCAGAAATATTTCGCTTGGCAAGAAATGATGTATGGGGACTCGCCATTATGATGAATGGGGACTCGCCATTCTGATCAAAATTGGACAGGCCGTTCAATTTTGATCAAAGAGGACCGTTGCATTGTGACCATCAGTCATCAACTGGTCTGGTTAGATTGGAATTGGTTCAGAATTTGACTATGTATCGAGATCTTAAGCGAATTTGTATTTTTTATATTATTTTTATCACCTTAGTTTTTAATGTCTGCCTCTTAAATTTTGTTTCCAGAATTTAGTAGCTGTAAAAAATGACAGCCACTAGCACAGGTTCTGCTAGCGATACAGCTGGCTCTTCCCCAAAAGATTACAAGGAGGAGGAGGAAGAAAAAGAAAAGGATGAAAAATTATTTGAGTGTAATATTTGTCTAGATACTCCTAAAGATGCAGTCGTCAGCATGTGTGGACATTTATTTTGGTAAGGAAACTGTCATCATATCTTTGTTACTGTTGGTCATCGAAACTTGAGCTCAGTATATATTCTTCACTGTTTAGGTCCTAGTAAGTAGATTATCGGCTCATCCCAAGAATTTATGTTTATTTGTTGACATTCTTCATCTTCATAACAATTTTAACAGTACTTTATATGATGAAGAATGCTACGTTGCTCTGTTTTTTGGAGCGAGAATGTTTTAACTCCATCTCAGATTCTGCAATTTTGTCACAAACAATATTTTCTATCACAAAAATATGTGCTTACTTTCATGCCCCATTTTTTAAGTTTAAGATCTGAATGCCTTCACTTTGGAAACTTTTATATGATTTCGGCACTTATTATGTTACATTTATGGAATGTGGTTATTTCAGCTGGCCTTGCTTACATCAGTGGTTGGAAACTAGGCCAACCAGACAACTTTGTCCTGTGTGTAAAGCTGCCATTAGCAAAGAGAAAGTCATTCCATTGTACGGGAGAGGTAGCGGAAAGCAAGAAGACCCTAGGTAAGCTAACATTTTCTGGTCTAATTTTTAAGAGTCAAATTCTAAATTTAATGCACCCAAGAAAAACAAGAAGTCAAAAGAATCATTATAATTCTAATCGCATGCATCAGTTCGAGACTCCGAGTTTTCAACATTGTATCTTCCGGTTTACTGAAAGGAGTCAACCATTGCTTGCAGGTTTGCATTTGAACATTTCTTGACCAACATAATTCTTAAATAGGTAAAAATCTTTAATGCTTCTGATGTCCACAAGGTTTGTCAGCAGCTCACAAAGGCTCTTTGAAAAGCACTGATTCGTCTGTCCTCAAAATTCAGTATTTCTCCTGCGATTTTTGATCATTCAACTGCTTCAAACTGGAACAAGCTATGACAGAAAAGTTCCTCTAAATGAATGTCATACTGGTCATTTTTTCATCTCTTACCTACTTGAATTTTTCAGAAATAAGGTCCCTCCTCGACCACCCAGTCAGAGAGCTGAACCTGAACCTATGGGGGTAAGTCAAATTCTCTCTCAGTCTTTTCTCACCCATTATTGTCGTCTGAAATTAAAAGAAAGTTAATTATCATGGTGAATGCATTTGGAAGTATAACAGCATTTTGCAGTCTAATTGTATCTCAACAAAAAGGAACCTAGAGCCAAGTATTCAATTTTCAGTTGTAGATGGATTTGAAGTTTATACAAAGCCACCCTGAGATATGAGTATGTCTCGAAAAAATTATTTTCGTCCCGTGAGAATATCGCCTGAAAAATTGTAAAACAGGAAATCGGGGATGACAAATTAAATCTAATGGAACCATAAGTGGTTCCATTTGATTTAATGCATTAACCAGGATTTTTATTTAAAGTAAAAGGAACTATGTGCAGAAAAAAATGTTCTTTCTCGGCGCGGACTCAACTGATTGTAGTAAAGTTTGGTTCCCACGGGTATATTTTGACAGGAAACTCGAATTTTCAGTCAAATTTCGAAAATCCAAGATGGTGCATGTGGCCTAAAATACTACCTCGGCTCCTGTTCAATTAATTTAAGTGAAATCTTCGTATGTAGACAGAAAAGCTAGATACATTTTCTAAATTCTAAAATCGAAGATTGCAGATGGGGGCTAAGATGCTATCTTGGGGCATCTTTTCTATTGATTTTTGTGGAACTTTGTAAGTGAGCATACTTTTTGACAGAGAATTTGAAACTTAATTCAAAATTTGAAAATTTCAGATGGCGGCTCATTAATTTTTTTACCAAACCTGACCAATTTAAAAAATTGACACCAACTTGAGCTCCTCTATCAATAATTTTTCTAAGAGATCAAAAATTACAAAAATCGGCTAAGCATCCTGTATAGAACTCCTGCATTTCATCTGATTAATTTTGCATCTGCAGGTTATTTTCAAAATTTTTTGGGGGGTGTGAGCATTTTTAATGCAGGACTTTAAAGAAAAAAGTCCAACAAAATGTTTCAATGAAAACCTTGTCTCCCAGTCTATCCAAGCAATGTACTCTTTTTTTTTAAAGTTTTTTCCTATGGACAATGTTGTAACTAACCCAAGAAAGAAAACCAATTGTTTCTTGCTCGGATTCTTTTAAAATTTTTGGAGAATGAGAAAATTGAGTACTTGCTTCGTGTCGTATTTGAACTGATAATGATATGTGTTGCAGGGCTTTCCGGGGTTTGGTTTCGGAGAAGGTGGATTTCATTTGTCATTTGGGATTGGTGCATTTCCTTTTGGGTTCTTCACATCATCGTTCAACTTCGGTGACCAGAGACCTGCGGCAAGTGAGTACATTTGCACACTGAGTGTCATTTTTCTATGTCTAAGTTATTATTACTCTTCAGCAATGGTGTTGATAACTCTGCATTTTTTATCTACCCATCGTAGAAAACCTAATGGCAGGACTGGAAAATACGTCTAAGTTAAACAAACTTAAGATTCTGATTTATTGGGAAATTTCTCTTACTTTTTCTAAGAGGACATTGATGGGATTCCTGAATATATCTGACTTGGATTAAAGCAATTCCATTGTATTAATTCATCAGTAATATAGCGGGTACTATATTGTAAAACAAATGGAGATCATGTGGCTACATACAAACTGCTGTGCTACGTAATGCATAAAAAAAATGCACCTGCTGGTGCCCTGATAATAAAACACAAGTGAAACACGAGGATGGTTTCAGTAGTTGTAAAAGAGTATGCGTAAACTGGGTTTAATCTGGCTCTTAGTGGATGCCTTTGAGACTTGATTTATTCAATCATTAGGTAATGATATATTTGATGTCTCTTTTCATAGTTCTGAGCCCCCCCTTCCCACAAATAAATTTTGGGGAGGCACAGTCGAGGGTGTTGGTTCATATTCAGCAAAACTTTTATTGAAAAATGATGGACTTTAATGAAATGGAGTTGGCTGAGGCTTTTTTAGCGCAGAATAAAGGAAATACTTACTTAATCGTGTTGTTCATTTTTTACAGGTTTAACCCTGTCACTCGAATAGTCTAAGTATCTAATAAGGCACAAATTTTGTTAATATTTAATGTTATTTCAGCTGTTCGAGGAATGCCGCAGTACGAAGAAGATCAATCTCTATCTCGAGTATTCATATGGGTCGCTGTTGTTTTCATGTGTTGGCTCATCTTTGCGTGAAAATTCTAAGGATACCGTGAACTCTGATGACTTGGTTTTTTTGTTTTTAAATCTATCAGTTCTGTCGCATTTCCCGAGAATACTGTATCATATGTGTATGTATGTATATATTAAATTTGTTCTCGTTATTATTTGTCACAGCGAAGTTGGCCCAGGCTACAACCTCTGACAGGGCTGCAAGACACTGTCTGTTTCTTCCTGCAAATATTTAAGCAAAAGCATGGCCAGTTCTTTAATGAAAATCTAATCGTTTGAGCCAGTAGTATATTGATATTGCTTAGAGACCGGAGATCATTCAGTACAAAAGGTTATTGTAGGATGTGCCGGTTTATCAATCAAATATGCTGTCATCTTCTTCTTGATAATTCCCTGTCATTGTGTCTTTGCTTTCTGCAAGTTCAGTTCTTTCACCGTTAAACCATCAATTTTGATGCGTCACATCAGTTATTATGGTAGATCTATTGCTGAGATGAATCAAGATTGTGATTTTTTAAAATCTCACGGTAATACAAGGGCAGTGTTCTGCTTTCCTTGATAAATTTTAGGAGCCACCTTGGTCAAGAAGCCCAATTTTTATGAGCCATTTAACATTTTTTAGGAGCAAAATTGACTTTGCATCTGCATCATGGTGCATGAAATTCCGAGTTTGATAAAATAAATGTCAACCTCTTTAGAAACCATGATGGCCCAGCTCACCCATTTTTAAACACATTTAGAGAATGGCACCTGCGACAGGCAGAGAAACGGTACCATGGTTGCTTTCAACTCTCACAATCATTTAAAAGTGGGTCCAATACATTTAAAAGCATAATTCTGTTGTCACAGATGAATTTCAAAGCTTCAAGTAAGGCGATAAAAAAATAGATTTCCTGAATAGTTCAATTTACTTTTAAATGATAAGCAGAAATAAATGAAAAAAAACTCAATTTTGCAAATTGGACACTATAAAACCAATCCTGAAACGTTTCGACTTAATAACTTTATGTTTGGTTCGTTAGAAATTTTATCAGTTCACAGTTTTCATTTTTTATCGGCTCTCTTTGTCGAAGCTTTTTTCTTTCATCATTTATCAGCCTACAATTTTTTCTTCGTTACTTTCTATTAGTTTTACTTTTTATCATTTTCTTGTTTGGTTCCTGCAAACATAGTCTCCGTTTATTTTTGAGGGCCTTTCATTTTGCATTCTTTGAGGAGCTTTTATCAAAACTAGGCAGTTCGTGTGTGTCTTTTTATGGTTTGGCTCTGTTTTCTGTATCAAAAATCGAAAGCATACAAATATTTAAGGAACATGTGTTGAGTATCTCAATCTTTGTTTATCTTGGCCTCAGATTTCCATCAATTCAACCACTTCTCATCACAAATTATCTAAAAAAATGTTTTCTGTGCGTTATTCCTAGCCCTTGCCAACCAAATGGCAGCGGACCACTATTAGCAGTAAGCTTGTTTCTAATAAGTTTCAAAAGAATTAAATGTCTTGTTGTCAACAAATACTACTAATTTTAATGTTTGCCTTTAAATTTCCTGAGAAGGTAGACAATTATATATAAGCTCAACCGTTTTATTTATTAGATTTTTTATTTGCCAATGCTAGCATATCAAAACTATTTAATAATTCTCATCTGACTAATAGTTAATTTTGGTTAGTATCTTAAAAAAGTAACATTTTGACAGTGGGTTTGCCCTGGTCTAGCTCTTAATTTAATGATTTTTATAGTAACAGAAGCATCTTTTTTTTCAAACTCTTAAACTATGTCTCAGCAAGGGAAAGCTGCATTTAGTCAACTGTTCCGAGGGCTGAATAGATCCTCTTAAGTTTTGGTACGTTAATCTCACTCAATGCGCCTCAGGTACGAAAGTAAAAAAGCAGCAGCTCTTAGTAGAAATTACTGCCTAGTTGAAAGTCTTTTGAAAAGCCTTTTTTTCTCTTCGACTTGCTTTGCTTTCCTTAGGATACGCCCATCAAAGGAGTAATTTGCCGTCCTATTGTCTATACCCTACACTTTAAGTACCATATCATTCATTTAATTCTTATACCTTTCCTAAAAAGTATTCTTGATTGTCATCGTTCTCATGAACTTTAGAAGCCTGAAAGTTTAGCATGATCGTAAGTGAAGTGGTTCTAGCCATAAAGGAACATACTGGAGCTCTCGCATGCATCAGGGATTAGCGATTTAACCCTACGTACGTTTTCTTATGTAAAATTTGCAAGAAAACGATGTTGCTGGTTTTCACTGAAACAAACTCCCAAGCTCACAAGAGCTCTTAAAGTTGAGGCTGTAATTGAGGGGACTCCCCTCACTATGTTAAGACTCTACTTCCATTTTCAGTCAAATTCTCCAAGGAGCAAATACTTTAGCAGGGTCTTTGTTTGGCAACTCCAAGGCTGGAACCGTAGCAACTCTGCTAATGTATTATCTCCATATCTATGCATGGAAAGTTGGACAAAATAAAGATGTGGACTCTCAGAGGAGCATTAGGAATCCCCTCCATTACAGTCTTAACCTCAAGATTTTTCCCTGAGCTTGAGTGTTTGTTTCAGAGGAAATCAGTGGCACCATTGTGTTTCTCACAGAATTTGACCTAAGTAAAGGTCGCATTCATCGCTAATCCCTGACGCATGCAAGAGCTCCATTGCATTGTAACATGCTAGAGTTTCACTGAACAATTCGTTTTTTTTTACTGTAGAACGATAGATCTTTTTTAAATTTTCCTTGACTTTCTTTGCTGGTCTTACAAAAGTTCCTTGTAATTTTCAATGTGTAATTCGTATTTCTCAATGAATAGAAAAATAAGTCATCAGGTGAAACTTTGCATTATTACAGTGCAATTTTTGCTTCTACGGCTCTAACCACTGTAAATATGAGCCTTCACGTTTGTAAAAGGAACTCGTCTATTTCCAGATGAGTCTCAAAATTCCTGTATCCTTTTGTATTTAATGATTCGTCTAAATTCAGAAATCTTCTCCTTTGAGAAACTTACGTACATGGTGGTGATACCGCAATTTTCGTCTACAAATACAAGTTCCTTCTGCCCTCCTTCTCATGACTCTTTCCCTAATCTGCCATGCTAAGGAAAAACGCTGTATGAACCCACACGCGTTGCAAAATTTCCTTTCATAAAACGCGAATTTCCTGGTAAAATGAATATTTTCCTCCCAATTTTTCAGACAATTTAGTTCACAATTTTACCTAAAGATTCTGAAAATTCAAAGGAAAAACATTCATGACTTTCGTCAAAAATGAACATTTCATTGAAAGGAATTTGGCAACTGTCGAATGTTCATACAGCGTTCTTCCTTGGCACGGTAGGAATGCACCGAGCAGGTTTGAATTTGCCGACCTGAGTTTGTCTCTCAACAATGCTGTTTTGTAATTGTGGCCTGGGTTACAGTGACTATGTCCATATACTTTAAACGTTTATAATAAGGTGTATAAGGTTAGAATTGTGCATTAATACTGATCGTTTTCTATTTTTACTTTGTTATATCATTATGATTATTGTTTTAGCATTTTATATCTTGTGTATTTAGGTTTTATTCGTATGAGAAAACTGAATGCCTTGTTGAAAACTTGTAACTTAATCACCGACTGATAAATATACAATATCCGTCAGAAGTTTAGTTTTGACTAATGTTTGCCTGTCCTTCATGTCTGTCTTGTTGATCAAGAACAAAATTCTATTCAAGATTTCTAAAAGAGCTCTCGTTTAAATAATTACCACCCAATGCTATAATGTAATCTAAAAAAACAAGTTGCTCTCATTACATTTGCATACATTTTTTTAAAAAAAATTGGCAAAAAAATGAATTGATTTAATGTATGAATCTTCCAGCCGAGGTGATTTTGCAAGGTTTTGTATTGAGCATTTCAAAATTCGTTTTTAGCATTTATACTGTTTGTTGGATCTACAACTCCCAAACAATGAGTCGGTCGGACCCTTTTTTTTTTTTTTTTTTTTTTCAATTCATTTTATGGAAGCACGAGTGAACTAAGCTTCTGGGAATTTTCTCTGATACCTAGACCAGTTTGAAATGATATTTTCGTGGGCTCTGATGATGCTGCGAGTTGGAAGCAGTGGCGTATGCTGGTTGGCTGAACTCTTCGACAGCTAAAAATCATTGCCTTGCTATGTCAACTCTTCTGTTGTCTTTTGATCTGTTGGATTTTAATTGGCTTTGCTTCTCTTAGAACTTATTTTTTGAACTTACAATGAACTTTTTGGTTTGTTCAGTGAAATTTTATGCGAGAAACCCAATTAAAAACCCTGTTAAAATACCTTCCCACGACTTGCCCCATTGCTTTTATGACGAAATAATAAGAAAAGTCGTGAGTCATGAGTTTGTAATACCAATTTTTTATTATGTTTTTGAAAATTTTATGTGTTAATTTCAAAATAACGATCTTATCAATTTGAAAAAAATATTTCATTCAAGTTATGAACATCAAAAGTCACATGAGGAGTGATTTTCGGAACAAATTTTTCAAGTCTCATGGCTAATAAGAACTTTTTTTTTGTAATGAGAAGAAAGTAATATCACTGATAATGAGCTTTCACCGGTAATCTGTCCTCTTCTGACTACTTCTTACCACGACAGAATCCTGGTTAAGAACAGAAATTTTAGTAATAAGAGGTATTCGATAGTAATCCCAGACAAAGAAAAAATTCAACGAGGGAGAGAAGTGAGTTTATTTTATTATATTATATTATTTTACTTTAAATAGATCTACGAAAAATATAATAATTTTTTTTAAAGTAGGTCTACGCTAAAGTTCAATATATATTCAATTTCCATTGGAAAAGGTCCGCTTGGGGTGGGGAAACCCACTTAGATTTTCTGGAACAAGGAAAGTTATTAAAGGAATCTGCATTTAGTGCCAAAAATTGAATGAGCTGAGTCTGAGTCATCTCTCTTTGGTAAAAGAATTGTCATGAGAGTCCTCCTGAAAACTTGCAGCCATCGAGTGTCATGAAATATGATTTAATCAAATTCTTATATCAATAGCCGATCATTTAAAATTACTGGTAATTTTGAAGTAAAAAGTTTGAATCCCTGTTTGTGGAGAAAATGTGATAACAAGCAGAAACTCAGGCATAATGCCTTTTAGAATTTTGGAGCGATAGAACTGCAAAAATACTCATGAAATACTGCGCTGCTGAAGACTGCCTGTCCTAATTTATCAAGTAGAGAAATACTCAATGTCCTGCAATGGAGATATCGTCACCTTCCAGGCAAAGTATCACAAGCGCCATGCGATGTTTAAAAATTTCCGCCGCCATTTTATTTCTTTACTGAGAAATTGTTGGTTGAATCTGTTTGGAAATTTCACTAAATTTTATCGGCAGCACAAAGAAAATTCAGTGAAATTTTCGGACAGCTTCGTTGTACAATTTCTCTGTAAAAAAATATAATGGCGGCGGAAATTTTTAAACGTCGCATGGCGCTTGTGATACTTTGCCTGGAAGGTGACGATATGAGGTTTTACACTTTGGCCCTGGATTGGTATTTGTCAGCCTTTAGTTCAAGTTTGACCATTAACAGTGCTTGCTTGACAGTTGAACCCTCGAGGTTATAAACAAAAAAAAAAAACTTATCATTTTTTTCTTCCTCTTCTCGGCTAAGGCAATGCAGTGGTAAAGAAACTGATACCTGTACCGATGTAATTAAATTTTCGCGGTCGAATTTCATTGAAGTTCGTAATTGCAGTGTTGTCAGACTGACTCCAAGTATCATTTTTTAATTTATGATACAGATTATTTACTTGTGATCAGCTCGTAATCGTAGAGTTACCAGCTACCTCATGAATTTTTTGATGTGCTTATCTGCTTGTTTGAATTTTGGGCTTTCTTAAATCCGAAAATGAGATCTCTCTAGTTCTTAATAAAATATTAAAAAAAAAAGTCCAATTTGACAACAGCAAAAAGAGGGAGGAGTTTAATTGATTTAGGTTAGGTCGGGTTTGTTTTTATTTGGCGTCTTATCGGTACCTTTCTGTTATCAGTGAATTTTCATGCATTTTTATGGCTTTCTGCTGAAGTTTTCCCCCCTGTCTTCTTTCATCCGAGTTTTCTTTTGTGTCAGCTCTGTAGCCTCTTCATCAACAGCTTTTACAGCCTTGGAATGAGATTAGTCATTTTGTTACGGTCATAAAATATCGGAAAAATTCAAGGACTCGTCACCTTGTGTGTTTGTTTACTTACTCACCGTCCTCACTTCGCCACCATGTCCCGTTGAAACTTAGAAAGCTCAAGTGAATCCCGAAGTCCGAGGATTTATACGTGGAAAATTCACTCGTTTCTGCTTACTCGACGTTCTAAATCTCTTGTGATTCATAGCTCAACCTAAGTAAGTGGTTTTCTGGTGAATTATTGCATAATCTTCGCAAAACTAATCCGCCCAGTTGGTGCATAGTTGGGATTTTTTATTGTATAGATCATGCCTGCCAAGAATCTAAAAATAACTTTCAACAATAATTGTGTCACTTGAGTTCAGTTCCGATTTTTTAACGTTTCCCATTAAAATTATTCTGAAGCTAACTGTCTTGAAAAGCCACCAAGCCATTCTCATTCATTTCAACACTTTATCGGACATCAAGCACATTTGCATCCATTCTGAATTAAAAATTCTGCAGGTACTAAGCTAGCACCTTTTTAGTTTCTAAATTTTTTGTCTATTCAAATGTCTGACTAAATATATAGATATATTAAGATGTGAAATGACCTAAGCTTGTGTGGACTGTATTCATCCAATATCATTTTTAAGTAGGTATCATCGCAGAAGATGGTGTGCTCAGCTAAGATAACACATATGTACTGAGACACATATTTTAGGAAAAGCATACAAATTTTGTGTAGTTCTATGTTTTTTTGAAGATTTATTTATGACAGAGGCTTTTCAGTGCCTGCCGTAATCACTAATAACGGTCCAATTTGTTTGAGGTCATTTTGACCTGAGGAAACTCTTTTCCCTCCAAAACTGTTAGAAAATGTTTTAAGCTTTTTTTACAGTCAACATTCAGGTTTTATATCAGCTCTTTTCTTGTGCTTTCCATCAAATCTAGATGAAGACTCCAATATGGCCTACGTCCGTCCTTCACACGCCAAGAACCATGACACAAGCTCAAGCAAGCAGTCAACCCTTCCAGAACACAATCGCTCAACTGGATTTCCTCCGACTCAGATCGTCATTCAGTTTGCAGCCGACATAAAAACGTTGACCATCAAATGGGTTCTGCAGAAAATTCGAGGCTTGAGGAGGGAAGGAGGTGCTGAATGTTTAGTTCGTCGGCACCCCTTCTCTGAAAATGAGGTATTAATTTACCATATTCAAGAGAATGCAGTTGAATAATCTTAACACGGTAGACTTATATACATTAGAGGTAGTGCTAGATCTTGTAAGCAAAATTTCAAGTGCTGTTTGATCAAAGAAGATCAAGACTCTTTAAGGTGTGGTGTCCAGGACTTTGGGGAGCGTTCAGGAGTGCGTAATGCTTTAGGGGGGGGGGGAAGTGTTTGAACCTGCGTTATAAGGGGGGAGAGGGGATCAGTGTAAGTGGTATATAGTCCTCTCTATTGGTATAAAACGCACAAAGTCCAAAATTTATTATCCTCATTTTTTCGGTGTTATTTGTCACTGCATCATTAAAATTACTTCAAATTTTATCCAGCTATTTGTTCGACAGTTTCCCACCATTTTTGAGATCCTAAGGCGAAGAGTCCACCAAAAAATATGTCATCATATCAAAGGGACGGGTCTTAAATGCCAAAAAATTGCGTTTTGTAATCTATGAACACTGTAACTTTGTGATAAAAACTATAAATTTAGGCAAGTATTGATATGACTGCCCAGAAGAGTGTTATGCAAAATTAAAGCCAAAAAATGATAAAGTAAAAAATGAAAACGGGAATTATGACCATTCGAAGTTTGCTTTTCAAGATTTTAGTTTTTAGAAAAAGTTAATGTGAGTATTAGTGTGCCATTTAAAGATTTTAATGCATGTTTACTCCTACTATCTGGACAAAACTGCATTAAACAGCAGACATCTTCCTAGAATACTGAAGTGTGTTTTTGGTCAGAAATTCAAACTCTAATTTTTCCTCCTACCTTGACCATAATCCGTTGCCTCTGTAGCATGAGGGCTTTTTAATGTCCATGTGAACCCTGTTTTACAAATAAATCTATGAATTCCGGGGCTCATGTGGAAATTGATGCATGATCTTTCGTCCGATGAGCGACGAATTGCTTCCTGAAATACTTTCCCCCTCGCGCTGAAATCTCCTCACTCATTATCAAATCAATCATTAGTCAATCTATCAATTGAGTCACATCTATCAATCATTGTATTCTAGGCTGAGCTCTTCGTCCACGTTGCTGCAACTTGTAATCTCCTACTTGAAGTAGCCGAAGAATTGGAAATCAGAAAAAGAGATAAACGAGGTATTCTCAGGCATTTTGTTGTTAAAGAACTGGAGGAGTTTCTGCTGTATGATGGACCAGTTGAGGACATTTTTACCAGTGCTGAGAAACAAAGTATTGTCCGCTACGAACTTGAAAATATCAGAGCGCTTGCAGAGGAGTCCTATTTACCAGGGTATCCTCATTTAAAGTTTTATGAGGGACAGTCGATCAGTAAGTAATTGTTTTTAAAAAATTTTCCTATCTCCTTGTACCAGATACCAGATTGTTGTCTCATTGTACCAGATTGTTGTGTCAAAGATATCCCATCTTACAGTGAAGGTGGCTCATCAGCTTTTATCTGCAATTTCTGTAATAGAATGGGTCAATCTCAAAAAGATTTAAATGTGAGTAATGAGAATTATCGAGAACAATTTTCATCAGCTTTTATCTGCAATTTCTGTAATAGAATGGGTCAATCTCAAAAAGATTTAAATGTGAGTAATGAGGACTATCGAGAATAATTTTCATCAGCTTTTATCTGCAATTTCTGCAATAGAATGGGTTAATCTCAAAAAGATTTAAATGTGAGTAATGAGCATTATCGAGAACAATTGTAAAAGCTGTTTCAATGGATCTGTTTCTAAACATCTGAGCTCAGAAAAATTAATTTAAAAGAAGGAAATAGAACAGATTGCCACTTTTTTAGAAATGGTCTCATGATATAAAAAAAGGAGACTAAAACAAACTGTCACTTGCTTATTTTTAAAAATTGATGGACATATTTTACGATTTTCCCCCCATCTAAATTAAAGTTTATAGTATCCCAAGGTTTAATGTGCCCAGAAACCTCATCTCACACTTTCTCTACTTAATGTCTCAATCATAATTTCCTGGTAATGCTTTTTTGAGGACTGTTCTCAAGTTTTATCACTAACCGTACAATGACAATTCATAATAAGAGATCCTACCTATGTATAGTATTTTGCTGAAATGGCAAACTTGAGCAACAATTGGACCGCGTTAAACAGAAAGGAACCAAGCCACATCAGCTATTGCCAAATTTAATCGGCTAATTAAACTTTTTACATGAAAACAGTTGTGCGGATTTTCGTGCAAATTTCAGTGAATTTTCTCCATAGTGCGAAGCAAATTCCTGGAATTCCTTCCAGGGATCCGCACAAAAGTTTTCTCGTGAAAAATTAAATTGTCCAGTTAAAATTGGCAATAGCTGATGTGACTTGGTTCCTTTCTGTTAAACGCGGTCCAATTCATTCTTAATGAATGTCTTTTTTCATCTTCTTTCAGCTAAAATTTTTTAATGTACCTATCATTTTTGATCAAGAGCCAGTGAGGTAGAAAATCAGCCACATTATTGGACCACTTGACTCAGCATGTCAGGCATCCAATCGCATCAATGCAGAAAACCTGTTTTTTTTTTCTTTTCTGCAAACCAGTTCCTATATCACATATTAAACGTTGTAAAAATTGAAATAGAAAGTATGGAAAAGAATATCTTTTTTGTAGATTTTCTCCAATTATTTAATTTTCATATGTAGTTGAAAAACAGGACCAATCTGCATTTGATATGCAATTATTAGTCAAGAATCAATCACTTAAGAGCGCAAAAACTTACTCAAATCTCAAAAAAAAGCCATCTTTGGTCTGAAACAACACATACTTATCCCCCCTCCTTAAAAATTCGAGATCATTACACTTTAACATTCCAAATCAAACCAAGGTAAGAAAAAACATTTTTCTGTATAATCAGAGGCTCTTACATACAGTTTTTAAGAATCAATGTCACCTTCCACTTTTACCAAGTCACTTATCTCATCTTTCCTTTGATTTCAGTCAGTGCTCTTCTTCATTGGGGACTTATCATCCAAGTTTTTCCTCTTCATGATGAAGAAAATGTCCGAAAACTTGGAACACAGTGGTACCTAGCTCCTTTTGGTCATCAGCCGTTCAATGAAATAAAGTTGTACTTTGGAGAATCTGTTGCTCTCTACTTTCACTTTTTAGGATTTTACACCACTGCACTTGTGCTACCGATGGTTTTTGGCTTTTACCAATTATTGCTGTCTCCGGAGATGCTCGCATTTTTTTGCGTTTTCAACGTCCTGTGGGCCACTGGATTTTTAGAGGTAAGTCTGTTCAAAGTAATAAAAGTGAATGTTTGTTCACGGAAACTTCTTGAACCACAAACTTTTTTTTTTCGCCAGCTTTTTTCCTGTCTCATCAAATCTTCCATGTACAGAGTTTCTGGTTGTCTAGAAAACCTAAAAAAGCGAGGGACTTTAGCAAGTAGCATTCAGCAGAAATCAGTGTTACTGAAAGGAAATACATGAAAGTGGAAGCTCTCTTCAAAGGTCAGGGAAAGTTAAGGAATTCGAAAATTTTGGAGTCAGGGAAAGCAAACTAAGTCAGAAAAAGTCAGCGAATCAAAAAGGAAAGTCATCATGTAAACCTGATGTAAAAAGTGTGAAATAATTTGAGATAAATAACTAGAACTGCTGCATAAGATTCAATAGTTACCTTGAACAGAACTTCTCGTAACTACTTTTCCCTTTTAATTGTATTTTTAAATTTTGCTGACGGAAATTACTGTCCTAAAGAAGTAGGAAAGAAAAAACTCCTTTATTTTTCCCTGCTAGAACTGAGGAAGGAAAAGAAAAGACGAATTTCACATCGGAAAATGGCGCCTTCCAACATAAATTTATGTAGTAACCAGTGGAGCTTTTGTCTCCTCTTTCCATCTCCAGTTTTACCAGCAGAAGAGCGATGATGCCCTTCCTTTTACTGCACCAACCACCTATATTGGACCAGTTCTACAGAGGGATATTCTAGTTAGCTAAGTTATATTGAGGTCCGATTTCCAGAATAATCGAGTATTACCTATCAATCTAATTTATTCCATTCCATTGGAATGTATTTTCAATTTTCTATTTTATTGTATCTGTCTTCATTGATCTGTAATTTTTTTACAATAATTAGATGTGGAGAAGGAAGTGTTCAGAATTGGCATACCAGTGGGGGACAATTAGTCTGACAAGTTTAGATGATGAACCTAGGCCCAATTTCCAGGGTCAAATGGCAATTGATCATATCACAGGCCGCTTTCAGCCTCAGTATCCGAGATGGAAAACCAATGCAAAGGTAATTTAACCTGTAAAAGTTGTCCTAACTTTATTTCTTGAAACTAAACAAATTTTATCATACTTCACGACTAATTATTTTTTTGGGAGATTCTTATTACTTTTGTAAATGTTTCTATACTAGGGTAGTGCTTACAATGTGTTCGCACCACGAACTGCGGTGAACTTCACGGTGAAACTGCAGAAATGCGTATCTTAGTTTACAACATTGCAGACTTCCTGTAATACGTCATTCTCTGAATAGAAAATAATCAATGTCATTTCTTGAAGATGTAGCTGATTTTTCCTGGCCTTGTGAAAATTCTAAGCCATGATGTAGGTTCAGTCTTCTCTCGAAAAGTAGAAGAGGAGCAGAGATTTTGAAACATTGCAATCTTGATACGCATTTTTGTACTCTCATTGTCGAAAGGTTTGTAGTGGAAGGAATGCGTTTGAAGGGTTTGTGTGTTTTGCTTCTTAAAACCACTTGATTTGTCTTTTGACTTATGCATGTACTGAAAATCACAAGTATAAACATGCTCCTTTCAGAATGTGGATCATGGTTTCTTAAATTACCAATCTGCTGAAAAATATCTTTTCATTGGATTCTGTTACAAACTGACCCAAGAAAAAATTGGAACGTGTGCTCTTCTCTGTTGTCATGACCTGCTGTCGCTCCATTAACGGGAGGGCAGTACTACTTTTGGAGGTAACAAGCCTTGTCGCTCGCATAACAATGCTTTTCAAGGCACACGTGAAAATTAAATTACACCCTTACGTTAATGGAGCGACAATTATTGTGTCTCATCCATTCAATTTTGATTTCTCATTTCTGTATACTTTTGTTCAATAGGGAGTAGAATATCCAGATTCCTCTCTATCTAGATCAGAGGTTTCCTGGCAGGTAAGTGCAGGTTGAGTCCCCTCTTGAATGTTAAGCACATACTCTATCAGTTTATGAGAGATTAAGAGTATTTTCAAAAAGCCACATCATCACTTAAAGCTTTCTCACACTAGAACAAGCTTCAGCCTTAAAATATCTCAAAATGCAATGTGAATTGTGCAGATACAAAATCTTTTGTTTTACCAGTGCTTTGCACGCATGACTGCTTTTGAATTGTTGTCAGTAATTTTTTTAGTAATAGGAGATGGTTGTTGCATGCTGATTTTGGAGATCACTTTGGAATTACAAATGACAGTTTCTCTAGTTCTCCTCATCATCGGTCCCTTCTCCAGTACTAATGCCCACCTCTAGTGCACCAGTAATTTAAATTCAAACTGCCCTCTGTCAAAATATTGTGACATTCAGTTGATCGCTCCTCTCTTTATTCTCAATGCTTTCACGACTGTATGTCGCCTAAAATTTTCTTATTTTTCTCCTTTATAAGAACAATAATAATGATACACAAAAATAACCCAAATAATTTAATGAAACAAAACGCAAGAAAATAGGAAACCAAGGCTAAAAACTAACAGAATGCTTGAGACGTTTTCGCGTGGATACAACCTTCTCCTCGACCAGGAAAAGAATGATGATACACAAAAATAGCGGGAATAATTTAACAAAACAAAACGAAAGCAAATGGGAAACCAAGGCTAAAAACAAACAAAATGCCTGAACGAATGCCAATGGATTTCCTGGTTGAAGAAGGGGTTGAAACCCAAAAACGTCCCCAAAATGTCCCAGGCACTCTGTTTGTTTTTAGCCTCGGTTGCCCATTTGTTTGTGTTTTACTCCGTACAAGAACAATATTTTACTTAATGACGGTGTAAGTCGGCAATCACATAACTCGGTTTGCAACGTTGCAGACTTCCTGTCATACTTTATTTTTTAAACAGAAAACTACTCAATGGCAATTCTTTAAAACTGCTGTGATTTGTCTTCTCTGTGCGAAGAAAATTCTGCATAAACTTCAAGGAATGATGTCAATTTGTTCTCCTTTGAAAAAGTAACATAGAGGCGGAGATTTTCAGACACCACAAACGAGGTATGTGATTTCGGACTTACGCCATCCATAATTTTTTCTCACATGACATTCCCGATTTGACCCTCCATTTCCCATTTGACGCACCTACAACAGAGCCATTTACTACTTAGTACATTATGCAATTAAAGTGATCTCCATAGAAGGAAGTAAGTTTATTTTCTTCATTAAATTGAAAAGAGCTTCTATCCTCTTCTGAATCATCATTTACCATGGTTGTGATTTCTTTACATGCCTAAATCACCAAAAAATTGAGATACATTTGAGTAATGAATACACACACAAAACTATGTTCATGCTTCTTTGGTGTACAGCTAATCGATGCTTTACCATAGTAGCGCATTAATTGTGAGTTATCATCCTTTGTTTAATTTCCAGATGTACTGCGTATCTTTTCCTCTGGTGATTCTTTGTATGTGTGGTGCATTCATTGTCATGCTAGTTTCATTTTGGTGTGAGGAATCGGTCCGTTATATGAATCATTCTCATCCATTAGCGATTTACGTTCCAAGTACGATTTATGCCGCTCTTGTCTATATCATGAACAAGTACTACAGAACTCTGGCGAATTTCCTGACTGAATGGGGTTAGTATTGGTTGTTTTCCTGATCAATTTTGGGTGCGTGTAACTATCTCTTCTCAGAAAAGGGATGTTGAACATTGGTGCAACAATAATTCGTCACCCGCTAGCCAAAATATCACAAGCGGGCTATTTATGCTCAGGCACTATGTTGTTTACTTTTCAAGCTTGTTCATTTTTTTATGGAAAAACTGATGAACAGGATCACTGGAAAATTTTACCAAACGTTTCTCTTATCATTTAAATTAATCCCTGAAATTTCCTGAAAGTAAATGCGAAAGTTTTAAAGAAATAATTAAAACAATATTGAGTTGTCTGACAACGTAGTGTCCAAACTTGCCTCTTGTGATAATTTGGCCAAAGGGACGAATCATGTCATTTGTGCACAGTTTCAAAAACCTATCTCTGTCTGTATCACATGTTAGTAATGATAAAGTTGTGTTCACGGAAAAAAATGGATTGCTGATTTAACAAGTATGTAAATTGTTAAAAAATGTGTCCGACATGTTTTAAAGGTACATTTTACAATAGTGGAAAGCTAATTTAACCACAGGGGTGGTTAATTTAGCATTTTTCTATTGTAAAATCTACATTGAGGCATGTTGGACACTTTTTTTAACCATAAAATTGTTAAATCAGGAATTTCATTTTTTCCATGTTCAACAATCGGTGATCTTATTAATTTCTCTTGAACTATCCAACTTATCACAATTAATTAAAACCATTAAATAGAATTGGCTCATAATTACACTCAAAATTAATTCTCATTCCTTTCCTTTTTTTTCAGAAAACCATCGCACGCAAGCGCAGTTTGATCGGCACCGTGTTACCAAACTAGTCCTTTTTGAATTTGTAAATAATTTTATGTCTCTTTTTTATGTTGCATTTTATATGAAAGACTTGGAGCTCCTGCGAACGGTGAATATCTCAATTTTTTATTGATTACCAATCACTTGATTTTTACATTGCCTCCTCGTCCCTCTTCTTGATTTAGTTCTAAAACCAAGGGTCTGTTAACAAAGAGTGGCGAACTTAATCAACGAGTCTCAAGGAGTACCTAATTCATGGTGTTCACGACATATTAATGTTGCTAATTGATCAGTTGCATTCATCATAAAATCGTGTTTTGATGGTCTATAGATGAGCAAAAAATAATGAGATTTCTTTGAATGTCTAGTTTCTGCATTAAATATTAACAGAGATATTGCCCTTCAAAAAAATCGGTGTGTGATGTCATCCACTGCGGTAGCACACACCATGGTTTCTTCCACCTTTGATTCATCAATTACTTAGTAGTCATCTGCGCTGTTCCTCTTTTTTGAACATGGATGAACCAAGGTGGAAGAAGCAATGGTATGCACCACTATGATGGGTGACATTAGATGCTGTAGGTTTTGTCGGACAATACTTCCGTCAATCTGGGACCAAGGAACTAGGTTTTTGGACTGATCTTATAATTTTTTGTTGTTGTACAATCTGAAATTATCAAAACAAGATTCCATGAGTGGGGTAACTGACCTTTTGGTGATTACTCGAAGCCTTAAAGAATGGAACTTTTTTTGATGACCCTGCTTTTTGGGGCCGAACTAAGGGAGGGGTATGAAGAGAAAAAACAAACTCTGTCGACAAGCCTGACGAATTATTCTTTCAAATGACAGGAGATTTGACTTTTGACTTGTTATTGGTCTAATCTTTCAAAGGATCTCTCCACAGCACATCAACAACGCTTGGTCTTTTGGACTATCCTGTTAGAAGAAGGTCAGTGGAAGAGACTCTCTCTATTGTGACAGGGATTATGTTAAACGGATCTGTGATCTGTAGCTTGATGGTGCTAAGCAAAACTCTCTTGGCTGTTAACAATCGTTATAAATACCACCGCAGCAGTCAGAGTGTCGGAAAAACCATTTTAAGCGGATTTTTCAGAAAATTTAAAACCGATCAGGATATCATTGTTTCTTTAGCTTATTTCCATGAGTTCCTGTCTTAATTTTTCTTGCAATTTTGCTTCCATGGCATTTAAAGGGTATAAAAACTTAGTCTTTCACTGCTTACTCTTTTCCTATCTTAGCCTGTCATTACTTTAAAGAAATTCTAATTTTAATTATTATTCTTACTTTATTCACCAATGTCACTTTGTCTTCTTTTTCAGCAATTGGCAACTATGTTAATAATATTTCAAGCCATAAACAACGTACAAGAATCAATACTTCCATTTGCTTTTCGCTGTTATTGGTTGAAGGTAATTCTGTTGTCAAGACTTTTTTCTATTTGCCTCAAACATTTCTCATATTTGCCACACAACTTGTAGGTACAATTCTAATGACCATTTCTTTTTCCTCACTTGGAAGGACCTCTTTTATAGCCAAAATCAACCCTTTGTAATTTTTCTGTACAATACCTAAAATTTTGGAGGAAATACTTATGAGTATTGGTTTTGCATCACTGAAGTGAGCCTTAGATGTTCTTTTTTTCAACATAACACAAAGTAGCCTGCCTTCGACCAAAAATTGTAGGTTGAATAGTAAGTCAAATTACTAGTTGTCACACCTCAGAAATTTTTGCCCTGCGGACCGAAAAACTTTGTTTCTAGTATCGCATGACAACAAGAAAGATGATAACAGACAATTATATTTTAATCAACTCAGTGTCTTTAGAATTGTGCTTTTCGTTAGTCTCTTGGTAGAACTTTAAGATAGAATGAACAGCTTTCTCAAAAACCAGGAGATGATGGAAAGACTGATCATGTTCATCCTCAGAATCTCCTGTTTTTGTTATGTCGCAAAAAATGAGAGCTGAGATGTTACTTACAAACTTTCCAGCTGTGTTCTATATTACAGGGTACTATCTCTTCTAAACTGATTCAGTTTGCTTTATGTTCATGTTCAACAGTTTGGAAACCTTGTGAAATTTAAACGGAAGCAAAAATTAAAAAGGTCGGTGCATGAAGACCACGTAAATCTACTTAATCCAAAAGGAGGTGATGAGGGGAATGAAGATCTCGACATTCACATCAATTTGGACATTCCAGAGCTTGAACCCGAAGATAGCAGAATTGATCAGGCTCGCCGGGAGAGTTCAATGGACCCATATGAGGTGAGGCTTTATCATCCATGTAAAGAGTAACTCATCATGTAAGGCACTTTGATACAAAGGACCCCGCACACCTCTTATGGGAAGCTGCACCACGTCCGATTGCCTTCTGACTTATGTTTTTCGATTCTCCTCAAAATGCTGATCTAAAGTTATAATTGCGCCAACTTTCTACGATGCACCGTTTTCGCAAAAAACCGAAGAGAAGATTCAATTCTTCGGCGACTATGAATAAAAAAGAACAAAGCATTTGAGGACAGGCCCGATGTAAATAAGGAAAAAACGTAGCGCGTGTCCGTCTTCTTATCTGTGCCTGCCGACTGAGAGGCTATCTCTCTCCTGCACTCGCCGGGTAGACGTTCAGACTTTTCTGTTCTTATGCTCCTCAAGAATCTGATTTGGATGGTCCAGCAAAACGGCGAGCAGAATCCGAGATAAGACTGCCGCTCAGTGCGGGAGTTCCCCTGATTTGTTCACTCGAGTACTGAAATGAGGAGTCTTTCTGGCTTTTTATAGCCGAATAATTGAATCTTCTCTTAGGTTTTTTGCGAAAACGGTGCATCGTAGAAAGTTGGCGCAATTATAACTTTTGATCAGCATTTTGAGGAGAATCGAAAAACATCAAGTCAGAAGGCAATCGGATGTGGTGCAGCTTCCCATAAGAGGTGTGCGGGGTCCTTTCACCCAATAATACTTGTGTTTCATTTTTGAGGATATTTAAGAGAATGGTAAGCTTTAACAATAGCGATACTTATTTTAATCTGACTGTGTTGAGAGCTTTCAAGATAAACCCCTATGGTTGGGTATGGTTGAGTTCTCTCAGACCAGAAAGGTAGTCACCAGAAACCACGTTTAGATGGACTTGCTAAGATCTCATTTAGTCTTACTATCCAACTGAATATAACATGCATGTTTCTTAGTTCTTCTCTTAATTTATCTGTTACAGGGAACGTACGATGACTACTTGGAATTGTTCATACAGTTTGGCTATGTTACTCTGTTTGCTGCTGTTTATCCTATGGCAGCGTTTTGGGCTGTGGTGAACAATCTCTTTGAAATTAGATCTGATGCATTTAAGCTTTGCCGCATTTACCAAAGACCCTTATCAAGAAGGGTCAAGGATATAGGAGCTTGGCAAGTACGACCATGAACATTATTATTTTAAAGTAATTTGAAAATAGTCTGCGCCTAAATCCGTACCTAAAAGAAGAAAAATGAGAATCTATAAATTGTTGAAAATGAAGAAGTTTCAATTAAATTTTGTAAGGCATCTGAAGAGTACAATAGGATCAGCCACCATATTTTTCTCTGAATTGAGGTTTCTATGCTTCCAGGTTCATAAATGTCCTAAAAACCTAAAAAAACTGAACGAATTGCCTTGAAGACATTGAAAAATTTTTTGTTTTAAAGACTCCTAGCAATCCAGGAAGAAATCCAGAAATTTTTGAGGTCATGGTCCTCTGTTAGCATTTCCAAATCAATTCTATTTCACTTCCAGGGTTGTAGGAATTCCTTAGCTGCCTGTGACTTGCTGTGTGTAGGGGTTTTCTTTTTTTGATCGGTGGTACCGCCGATCACCAAACTGTGTTCGTTAATTGATCCGTCGGTGCTGACGTCACGACCGGTGGATTTGGTACCACCGATCAGTGATCGGAGTGATCGGTCATTTCTCCGATCACAGCTCCACCGGTGGACAACCTAACCTTACTTCAGCCAGATCTCAGGCCAAAAACAAGCAAACTAACGAGAAATCGTGAGTATTTCGCGCCTCCCGCCGTCGCTGAGTCTGATGATTCTGCTTGGATCGTCATTGTCGCCTATGTGTTGAATTATGTAATATTTTTAGTGATATTTTCCCCCGTACTTTATTTGTAGCAAAAAAGGAGTCAATGCTGGTACATTGAGTATATATTTGCACTATTGCAGTATCATTGCGGTAAAGGTTTGATGAGAGGAAGAAATCCATTTGTTTACATTGGTGGAAAGTGTGTTCTTAAACTCCCGACTGATCGCGGGCAATTTCGTACCAAAATGGCGGCCGATGGATTTCCATCGGTGGATTTAGGCAGATCTACCGATCAAAAAAAGAAAACCTCTTGTATCTGGGATTTTTCTTTGCTGTCAAATTTTCCCTCTCAATTTTCCGAAATGCTTGTCAAACTTCCATATTTCCTCAGCATTTTCCACATTTCTGAGTAATATTGTGTGTTCAATCACTGAATCTCCATGTAAAAAGTTAAGGGAGTCACATCTTATTAAGGAGTAAGGTGAATGGCACATTTATTAAGTCAGTGGATGCTATCATTTTTTCTACGCCAATCCTACTGATATTATTCGCTAGGCTTTGCAGTAATTGCCCTGTATATATACTCGGAGTGTTGAAGACAGTGGAGTAAGGAGATAAATTTGTCCAAAAAAAATGTATTCACTTCCGTGCATTACTTAAAGTAAAACTTAGTAGCTGGATATGCTTGGGTCCTTAACAGCTAGGCCATCTTGAGGACTGAGACAAACTCCAAAGTCGCTGATGATGGCCGGGCGGTGAACGACCCAAACACATCCAGCCACAAAGCGGCCTGTTTTCTAGTACATAACTGTTACCAATATTAATCGATCTCTTCTTCTCTGTTGACAGCGTGCATTTGAAGTCCTTTGTACCATTTCTGTGATGACTAACTGTGCCCTGTTGTATATTTCTCCGTCCATGTCCAATTGGAGGTCCAGTCTTAGTTCTTTCGAATGGTGTCTTGTCTGCATCGGACTAGAACATTTGCTGTTCGCAATCCGGCAAGTTATGAGTCTAGTCATTCCAGATAAGCCCCAGTGGGTTCGAGAAGCTCTCGCGAAGTTTAATTTCCAATCCAGACAAGCTCTCAAAAATCAGGTAAAAGACTATTCTGTACATTTACTTAATTTGTATTAAGATTAATTCCCATTGCTCAAATATCAACTTTGAAGATTGATTGATCTTAAGCAGGGATGTTTGGATTTTCAAAACAAAAGTTTTCTTGCTCCATTCCTATGGCTTGGTTTCCGCGGTCGAAATGAGCCCATCAAAATGGATCATTGATGAGTTTGTTGAATTTTGCGGATCAAAATTAAAAAAGGCCAATTTTTATAATCAACTTAATCCACCAACAGACAGAGCAACGATTGATTCTCTGCTTGCAGCTTATGCTGATTAAAACTTAAAGGCACCTTTCAATTTTGATTGGAAATGAGACTCGAACAGTCGCATTGATGACCTATTATGATGGGCTCATTTTGTTCACAGAAACTAAGCTTAATATGTGACCGTCTGTAGAAATAAGGACCCTAGTGCCAAATGACTGAAAATTTTGATAAGAGTGTCATCCTTTGGTTGAGCATTTTGCAAAAATTTTGGCTTGAACTGCCCTAGAATGTCATAGCAAATCAGAGGAATGCTGCCATTAAGCTCTCAGTTAAATAGGTAATTTTGATCAGAAACGCAGGCCAGTTAATGTACTTTAATAATATCTAAGCGCTGAGGAATTAGTTGAGCACCTACATATTAATAAAAAGGAAGATAAAATAAGTAGAAGTGTTGTCAGCTAAGTTGCCAGTTGTTACTTCTGTCTCGTGCATTCACCTTTCTCCATTCAGCGTTGTTCATAATAATGCCGCTGCCAATCCTTGATTGTTATTAGACGACAACATGGCGCTCGCTTGTAAACAGAAAGTAAACAACTGCCAACTTAGCTGACGACACTTCTAATTTAATAACATTTGGAGCTGATCTTTTAGTCTCGACCATATATTTTAATATACAGGGGGATCTAAAAAGGATGAAAGTTGTTTCTTTTCAATCTGTCTTATGTGAATTTAGAAATGTTTAAACTATAATGAAACTTTCTGCCTGTCGACTCCAAAATTTAATAGGACACCAAAGAGTTTTTTCTTAGGAATCCTAAGCGTTATAGGAAAAAAGTCAATGTACTGTTGAAAAGACCCTACTCCCAGCTTTTCAATGGTTCTCAAGTTTTGAGTCGCAAAAGTAGGTAAGTTAAGATGATTTTAACTTTATTTCATTCTTTTTTCCAGCGACGATCAACTTCTATTAAAGAGCAATGAAGGCAACCACATCACAAATTTAATATGTGGACTGGACAGAATCCAAGTTATAAAACTGAACATCAATGTCACAATTTTGCTTTTATCTCTAATTATAAAATTTACCATACTTTTTTTATTCACTTTTTATCACATGACTCATCTAAATGTGTGCCTTGTACGTGTTGTATTTTACTGATTTTTAATTTATTGATGATTTTCTAAAAAGCTTGTCGCTAATTGTTTCATGAGTTGTGATAGCTTTAGACTTACATATTTTGTTTCAAGTTATTTAGTGCTTCAAAGTTTTTTGTGTTTGTTTTTTGAAAGTTCAAAAATAGACTCTCAACAAAGAAAATAGTATAGCTTGTTTAAATGAGCCCAATGACCAATTTGTGTTTTCTTTTACTCTATTTATTTATTTATTTATTTATTTATTTATTTATTATATTTTTTAAAAAAAAAGAGTGATGTGAAGTATGAAATTGTGCTGTTATCAGTTTTAAGAGTTAAAAAGCATGTTATATTTATTTATTTATTCATTTTTTAAAGTAAATTTGTAAAAGAGTTTCAGTTTTAACAAATATCCACTCACAAATCTGTATTTTACTATTGTTATACCAATCCTTTTTACCTAGTTTAATATGAATGTGTCCTTTTTTAAGGAATTTTTTTTACAAAATTAAAAGAATATGCAATAATTTATCTGACAATTCATTTCAAATTTCAAGAAAAGCTTTCCCAAATTCCTTGAACTTTTGAGGCTACTTAGCCTTTGTCAGCTGACCAGAATAAGTCAGTAACATCATGGTCAATTACAAATTGCAGAACTCAGCTTGAACTTATACAATAAAAGTCAAAAATTGTTATTTTGAGAAGTCAAAAACTCAGATTCAGAAATACCAGACACTGTAGTTTGTTTTACTCTGCGACTGACAGCTTTGATACACAGTAACTACAGCATAAATATGAGATTTTCTCATTTCCTTTTACAGAATGGATCTAATTTTTAAACTTAAAAAATAATTAAGTGTCCACTTTTGTTGAGACTTGAAATTGTGTTCACCGGGTTTAAAAACTTTAGGGACTACGGAGAACCTATAAGAAAATTCAGCAGGTTTAAGCCCCTTTTTGCAGGAAGGTCTTCAATTACTTCAGCTGAAAATAAACACTGGAAATAAGGTGCATACTCACTTTTGGCAGGTGGGTGTAAAAAAAAAAAATAATTTTAAAAACATAAAAATTTAATTAGAGAAAAGTACAAGTCACGAATTCTAAGTCAACACTTTATCAGCAAGTCACACAGCTCTCATAATGGCTTTCATTTTTTACATGAACTACAGCCGTATCTCGTAATAACATACCTCGAAATAACGTTTTTTCGGAAATGACGTTCATATTTTTAAGCCCGGCAAGTCATTTCTCACTGTAGCGTCTCTCAAAATAATGTTTTCCTGGAGACAACACTCTACTCTCATTTACCCTTCAAAAACGTTATAACGAGATACGACAGTAAATTAACTAAAATGGAAGTTTTATCACATGACTTACTGTGCTTTTGCTTTTTCTACTGGGACTGGGACTAATTTCTTACTCTGTGTTAATTTCGACATCTGTTCTGTTCACAAGGTTGGATTCAGGTTCTTTCTCTTCCTTCGAAATGTTGTAGCCTATTTCATGATACCGAATTGGATACGTCAGCTGATTACCTTTATCCCAAGTATACAGCTCCTGAAAAAAGGCAAAAGAAAAATTGAGTTCTTCTTCGGCAAAAGTACATAAGAGGCTTCTAATCCTGCTGCACATAGAATAAGGGAGCAATACTGATTTTGCAGCAAGAGGCATCGCATTACCCCATTGTATCGCATTTTTGACAACTACACACTTGTCATACCCTTGCATTCACAGTTCAAAAACGATGGTTTAGGTTTCTTTTATTTTCTGGCTAAACACCTTACCCTCCTTACTTACCATCCGTGTTGAAGAACAATAACATAAATAATGAGGAAATAAAATTATCTAGGCACTCGAAAATGGTTCACCAGTAAAAAAGCATATGTATGTAACATGTTTTTGTAACCGTTTGTGCTAGACATCTACAATTAAGCACACATCTTTAAAAATATTTCGTAGGCCAAAATAATTTTGGGGTTGGAGGAAGTTTAACTATTTCAGAAAGGAAACGATTTTCAATAGTTATGTACAATACGTTTTTCTCAAAATTACCATTATTGTTGTACACCCTTTTACCAAAGAAGTCCTCAACTTCGAATTTCACTGGAATATCAAGTTAATGAAAGCTTAAGCTAAGCTAAATCGAAGCTCCAGCAGAAAGGAAAAAAGGGTACTTACTTTACTTTTGTGATTATAACTTATCATTGTTGTATTTCTAAATGGATTTGTAAAAGGCAAACTGACTTCTAGTAAAGTGCTCTTGTATAAGTCTAATGAAAACCTGAAAATCAAAGGAATCAAAACTTCAATAGGAATTATCAAATTATAATGATTGGATGCTGCAAAATGTGTAGATCCAGAGGTGTAGTGACTGAATCAAAGAGAATGGCACAAGCAGAGTTCTTCATTTTTCCAATTCCTTAACTTTTCCCGGACTTTTTTGCTTTTCTCTGGCTCCAAAATTTCCGAGTTCCCTGACTTCTGAACAAAACTTCCACTTAGATTTTTGTTTCTTTTAATTTCGCTGACTTTCAATACACGTAGGACAAAATTTCCACTCCTAAAGATTCAAATCACGAAAAAAGGATTTTGTGAGTGGTTTAAACTCTCTCGAATGGCATCTGTTGAAGTTGCTGAGCTGATGCGCTGCTCACAAAATACCCTAACTTTTTTGAGTCGATGTAGAATTCCCTGACTTTCCATGTTTTTCACACCACTAAAAACCCTGAAAAGGTATGAAATTTACGAGCCTGATTTTTAGAACAAAATAATCGTGACTTTAATATTTTGAGCCTGTTCTTGCTATCTTATGTATCTTCAATATTTTTCAAGGTCTTAATATTTCTGAGATGGAATTCTCTCATTAAAGAATTGAGCTTGAAATCAAAGTAAACTGAACACAAAATCAGTTTATTTAATTGTTGTCGCAACAGTGAGCTGAAGCAATATTCTCATCTCATCACCTTCCTGCCGAAGTATCACAAGCGCAATTCGCTCTAAGAAGCTATGTTGCCAGATACATCAATAATGTATTAATTTTTTTTAAACCTTATGCACATACTTTCATGAAAATTTCTGGGATTAATTTTAAGTCAAGATAAATATTAGGTGCAGTTTTCGAGTGATTCTGTTAATTAGATTTTCTGTGAAAAATTGGAAGGGTTAGAGTAGTTTGGCAACATAGTGCCTAAGCACAAACAGCGCTTGTGATAGTTTGGCCGGAAAATGACGATCCGACAATTTGAAGTTCCAAAATAAGACAAATTAGAACTTGAAATTACTTTCCCTGAAAATTGTGTTCTTCCGACTACATACAAACTTCAAACTGTTCAATTTCAGTTTAGTTTGACATTTTTTCTGCCAAAATTTCTGGGAAACACTCTTGCAAGTGGGAAAGTATTTAAATTAAAAAAAAAGCATCATTATCATGAAAACAGAAAGAATATATTACTCACCTAATATTAGTATTCCTGTCAGAGGCGCTATCCACAGCATATAATACACCACAAACGATGAAAGTATCTCCTACTTTTTGATGCTTAAGACTGATATTCCAGGCATACTCTATATCCAAGGAATATGGATCCATTTTCAGGACAGCCGTGTTGTTAGGGCCAGGCAGCCCATAAACCACCCACAGACCATTTTCATCGACTGAGAAGTCCAAAAACAGATCTTTCCGCTGATACAAGTAATTTGATTGGTTAATGACTAAGAATGGTAATTTTGCAGCGATGAAAGTTTCTGTTGTTAAGTCCAACCTGATAACCCGAGGATTGTTTCTTTCATGGTAATAGAATGATCCATTGTGAATTATATGCTCGTGCCCCTGAAAAGATAAAAAAAAGTTACACTGCATGAATCCTTGATTCATCTGGGAAGTCAGACAAAGTGGAAGAGAATTATTTCGGTCTTTGTTAATACACATGCCTCAAAGCTTATTTAGAATAATGAGCACACACACTTGGCACATAAAATAATATTCCTTCATTTTTTCTTGCCAGGATTTCAACATAAAGTTTACTTGCACTGTCAGTCGCTACAAATAACTCCAGGAGTGGACATACAGGCGGGAACACAAGGAAAAATACGGAAAAGCTGGTATTGTTAAGGATAATTCTAGACTCCTTTGTCTCCTTCACACAGAAGAAAAACAAGTAAAATGGGCGGATCCTAGCACTGATGGGCTCTTATTTCTAGTTACTTTTTCCGCCCCAGGGTAACTCCGTAAAAATGCCTGTAGACCACAAGAAATCTAAATCATTCAAAATCAATATTGAATGTCACGATATCTTGTTTAGATGAACTTTTGCTCTCCATTATCTACAGGGATTTGACTGTTTCATATTCATAATTCAAGATGTAACGTTACACTTTGACAAATAATCAAATAAATTTTGAAGACAAACAACGAAACGAGAGAGGGGGAACTGAAACTCGTCACTTACCATGAATGGATTCAGTAAACGGTACTTTTTAGTTGTTTTATCTTTAGTGTAGTAAGTTTTGTTGGAAAATTCGTACAAATAATTATGATCATTCTCTTTGGTGACCCAGTATTTTTCAGAACTCATTTCGTTCTTTGGATTCAGGTCCCTCATCCAGCTTCCAAAATCTGAATTCGTAAATCGATGAAACACTGGTTTCCCCACCGCATAAACCTGACAGTCTGAAAAAGAAACAAGATGCAGCTTACACGAATAAAAAAATTTCTGAATTGGGCTTAATGATTTGGGCACCATTTTACGAAAGGGAACCAAGTTACATCGTCAAAAAAATTGAGTTAAGGATAGTTTTAAGATAATTGTCAAAAAGCAAATTTACTCCTATAAAACAGTGGGTAACGTCCGCAAAATTTATTTAGTTTACAAAAAGTGAAACTAAGCTTTTTTTTCTAAATATTGAGCCTCATGGGGGGGGGGGGGGACTTTTGAAACCCATTTTTTTTGTTTCAAGTCAAAGTCACTCTGTTCCCTTTTGATTAGAACCAGATAATTTTACTTCCTTTGCGTTAAGTATAAAATATCATTACTCGTTAACTTGCCAAGAATATGAGTACAAAAACGCACAAAAAAAAAACTGACAGTAAAAAAATCCTAAATTAGAGAATAGGCCGAGCATAATACCAACCTAGTGATCTGTTGGTGAGTTTTGGATAGGTGTTGTTGCCTAGATTCCAGATTTCTAATTCTTTGTGTCCGAGAAGATTGTAGATTGAGTAGATGCTCTCTTTGCATTTGGATTCCTTCACGTCCGGACACTGCGGGCATGGCTCAACCTGCGGACAGAAGTCCTCCAAACCAACTTTCTGAGGGGCTAGTTCTCCATAAACTTTTCCCCCGCTGGATGTAGGAAGTCTTGGATCAATTTCTGAAAGGCAATAAGCAGATTACATTCTCTGAAGTCAAAAAACTGTGTCACTGCCCCTATGTTTAGCTAGTAGGAATAATTTTGAAAGGGGAGAAAATGAGGAGAAGCTGCAAAAGATTAAGTAACAACATTTCTTGTGAGGGAATAAAATGTAATGTAGTAGAGATTGCATAATTTTGTTTCTATTTAAAGACGAAAAGACCTGCTCAACACCTTTAGTATCATGTAGTTTAATAGGTGATAACTAGGTTATAGGTTCTTTTTGAAGAAGTCATTCCTCATATTGTCGACTTGACGGCACAAGTTTAAAATTTAGGTTTCAGATCAGATTCAATGGTCAGATTAGGTTTCAGATAAATACTTTTGAGAACTGCCAGCGGACAATGGACCACTAGACAAGGTACGAATTTAAGCGATCTGATACATGTTTCTTAACCAAAATTTCACGTATAACACGATTAGCGCAACGAATATTACTGAAACTAACACCTAACAAAGATATTTACTTTTTTTTTTCACATTGGTCACGAGGAATTTGAACTGCCCGCTCACAAGAAACTCAAAGCTCTACGTGAGTCAAATCGTGCACTACAACGGTTTCAGCAAGCTTCTCAATCGAGCAATGCTCATTTTCCACCATGTGTTGTTTAAACTATAAGCAATTTTCTATAGCTGAGCTGAAGCGTCAAAATTGAGGTTGCCAGATTTTTAAATCGCAGATACTGACATGATAACGTTTAGCGCATGATGTGAATCACGTAGAGCATTGAGTTTTCATGAGCGGGTGGTTTGAATTTACGCATCAAGAATGATTAATTATCTTCGTAAAAAGTTGATATCAGTAATTTTCGTTGTGCGCATCGTGTTCTACAGGAAATTTTGGTTAAGACAAATGTATCAGAATGCTGAAATTCGTACCTTGTCTAGTGGTCCATTAGTTTTTAAAATAAGTAGAAAAAGATAAATCTATTCCATTTTGCGAAGAAAAGATGAGAAGAAAAAGGAAAACTAGATAAACCAGAAAGTACCAAATGCTGAGAGTGATCCACTTTGTATTCCAACTTCATTTTTAGCGACACAATTGTAGAAACCCGCATCTGTTGCGTTGAATTTTGTGATGTTTAATTGCATCAGTGACTGCAAAAATAAAATTAACGAATCAAAAAAATTAAATGAAGAACAATAAAAATGCTTTGATTGATTAGGTAAACTTCTTGATTTCTCGGCTATATGATTAACATTTTCTGCAATTGAGAGACTGAAAAATCTTCATTTCAGGAGGCGGCAAAAGCTCCAGAGAAATGTCAAAACTAAGTACCTTTGACATCGTTGTTACTAGTAAAGCCTGTAAAATACAACCATTTTCAATCAACTTTTATATTATTTCGGGTCATATAACCGTCAGTTTGGGATTAGTTACTCTTATGATCTCGGCACCAAAAAAGATCATACCTATAAAGGCAGTCTTTTTTGGCACTTAGATCTCTTATTTATCAAGGTGCTTTATTTAGCTTAACAAGTTTGAAAAGTAATTTTTGGTAGTCAGTATTTGAGATACCATGCTAAACGTTTACAACTTAAAAATAGAATTCTTGATGTAATTTAATTTAAATTGATGAGATTGATTAACTAAATTTTCACTCTGATTGGGAATCATGAGTAACAAAAAAAGGAAAAAAGGAGAGAAAAAGGTTTTAAAAAAAAAGAGATCTTGGTTAATTAGAGTTTTGTATAAAGTGAAAATCATCTTACAGTGTATTTGTTGATTTCTAGAATGAGAAACCGGTATTTGCCACTGCTTTCACTGATCAACTTCCCGTCACCCTTTTCCCAATATCGAACGGGTTCTGGGTATGCCTGAACTTCGCACTCCAATATTAAAGAGGAACCGTTCATGACACCTAAGGGTTTTGTTATCTTTATCATAGGCTGGACTAAAAAAAATAAATTAACATTTCAGTTAATCTTTCGGAAAAAAACATCAGACAGTGACAGAAAACATTATCTGCTCTCAGTAAGTTTGAAAGTTTGATAATAGCACATTCAACCAATAAATGGACAGAGTTCATCAGAGAGGAACCAATCCACATTAAGTTGAAACTGAGAAAAAGAGGTTGGAAGTTTTATCCATGCATAAGGCTCAATGCAGAAAATAAACTTGAACCTCACTTTTCACAAGCTAGTTTCTTTTCTTCGACTTTCAGATTTTGACAGGAGAAAATAAACTACTAGTGGAACTCAAGAACATTTTTAATTCAATTTTTTCGAAAATGTGGGTTGGTTCCTTTCTGATAAACTCGGTCCAAATATACATAGTTTATGATGGACAGCATGATATTGATGGATAATATTGAAAAACGCGCATTCCTTTTGCAACGTTTCAAAATCTCTGATTGTTTCATTTTCTGAAAAGAGAGCCAACTAAAATATTTTCTGAGAATATTTATTTATTTATTAATATATTATATATTTAAATGAATAATATTTTAATTATATATATGAATATATTTAAATGAGAGAAGAAAAATCATAGAAAATTTCGAGGTAAATTATTGGTTAGTTTGCCTTAGAGGAAAAAAAATATGAATGGGGATCTGTAATTTTATAATAAAATGAGTTGTGCAAAAAGTAGTTTGCTGAATTCCGGGTCGTGACAATATTCTTTCCCTGCATATTAAATGACCCATATTCATCTCTATGCATGAGCGGGCTCCTGAACCCTATGAATATGAAATTAGAGAATGAAAGCTCCAAATACTCACAGTATACCTCCAGTGTAAAAGTTTGATTAGCAGAAGGAGGGATCCCATTGTCTGCTATGCATTGGTACACACCCATGTCCGCCCTAGTTATCATTGGAATTTTTATTACGTTACCATTGACAGCCGAGTCTACAAAACAAACAAGCAGTTTCATAGGCATTAATGTGTTTTCAGTATGATATGCAGGGTGTCTGCTTAGTACTAAATGACTTGGGGCATATTAGATTTAAGTCATTTTTATAGCAAAGTTAGGCTTGTATGGAACAAGATTTTTCAAATTTGATTACTCAGAGAGACTTTCAATGAACTCTGACTTTCACTGCTGTGACTGTCTTTGCTGAAAACAACTATTGAACCAAAACTTGTGAGGCTTCTGCGAGAGAAAGTGTGGAGAGGAGGAAGAGAGAGGAAAAAATTCAACCCTAAGCTTCAGAGCTACCGATACCCATGATTGTAAAAAGCCTGAAAGTATACAATTTGACACATGATACTAAGCCTATTTAAATGCATAAACTACTCTTGTCCCACTTGTGCTTGAAAGACTGTCACATCTGATTTAGAGGTTCTTTTTTTGCAGTTCATTGTGGGCTTTCAATGAAAGAAAACCTGAGATTTGGTGCGTCCAAAATCCCAAAATTTTAACATACAAAAATTACCTTTCCATCGTCCGAGATCAACAGTTGATTTATCTAATCTGCGCCACTGAATAGTTGGCCTTGGTGTGCCAGTAGCAGCACACAGAAGACTTACATTATCCCGCTCATGAACAATGATAGGACCAGAAAACAAGAGTGGACTAGAACCTGAAAAATACAATTTGATACTTCAAAAACCCACATTAGTAACATACTTGAACAACTTTGAAACAGTAAGAAAGTTTAAGATTAATGAAACCACAGGCAAATATGTTATATAGAAAGAAAGAGGCTATTGAAAAATACAATGTGCCAAGGTATTCCCATTTCAACACTTATCGGTTTATACCGGTATCGGTTATCGGTATACTGGTGGGAAAGGTGACATTAACTCACCAAATACGTGTTTCCTCTTTAAAACATACACTAGACATTACAAAAACAGTCTCTCTGGTGTGAAAATATGGCAAACTTGGCACATCGGCTCAACTGTTGCTCTTCAATTGTTTACTTTTTGAGCAACATTGGGCGAGGAGGGAACTCTAATTGATTGAGAAGCTTGCAAAAAAGTTTGTAGTGCCATACTTAATTTATGTATACAGTCTAATGACTCTGGTTTTCCTTGTGGGGGAAAATTCAAATTTGTTCTAACCAGAGCAACATGAAAACATTAGTGTCTTATTTAAAAGTTAAATTAAATTCAGTTATTTTCGTTGCAAGAATTGGTTTTTCTATGGAATTTTAGAGAGGTAACTTGCATCCTTAAATTTGTACCTTGTTTAGTAGTCGATTAATTAGACTTATTGTTAGTTTTTCGAGAGATCATCAATTAGACTGAGTTGTATGTTTTTTCTACATTTTAAATTATTTTACAATTCTCCATTCTTTGAGAGACATGTTGACATTCTTACCGACTATGGCAGGAGGAATCAGTAGCTCATTGCTTCCATTGACTGGTGACAGCCAGGCATTGACACCTGGAGTTCCAGGAATACCATTAGTACCCGGTCTTCCTGGTTTCCCTCGTGGACCCGTTATTCCTGGAAAATACAAGCTACAATAGTTTATTGCTAAAATAGTATTAATAATGGACCACTAGACAAGGTACGAATTTCAGCATTCTGATACATATTTCTTCACCAAAATTTCACGTGAAATACGATGCGCACAACGAAAATGACCGAAATTATTTCCTTCCGAAGACATTTAATTATTCATGATGCGTGAATTGAAACCATCCGCTCATGAAAACTCAATGCTCTACATGGTTCACATCGCGCGCTAAACATTATCATGAACGTCTCTGCGATAAAAAAATCTGGCAACCTCAATCTTGACGCTTTGGCTCAGCTATAGCAAATTACTTGTAGTTTGAAAACACATGGTGGGAAATGAACAGCTCAATGAAGAAGCTTGCTGAAACCGTTGTATAGTGCGCGATTTGACTCACGTAGAGCTTTGAGTTTCTTGTGAGCGGGCAGTTCAAATTCCTGGTAACTAATGTGAAATAAAAATGTTAATATCTCCGTTAGGAGTTAGTTTCAGTAATTTCCATTGCGCGAATCGTGTTCTACGTGAAATTCTGGTTAAGAAACATGTATCAGAATGCTTAAATTCGTACCTTGTCTAGTGGTCCATTGCTCAATTTTAAAGAAAATATGTTTCTTACTTACTAACAGAGATTCAGAGAGTTCTTGGCCTCCCTATTTGTCAAACTGGCATCCCAATCTTAAAAACTAATGTCCCAATATTTTTCTGTTTAATATGAGAATGGATTTTTAGCGACTAAGAAAGTGATTTTCTCAGCTAAAATTTGATTTAATGAGAAAAAAAACTACATTGAACCAAATCTTCAATCTTATTTTTCTTTAACTTTTTTAGGAAATAAATTTTAAGAAAAGGGCACCTGTCCCATCACATAATATTTTATACAGTAACTTACATTTCTTTGATTATTCAAATTATGAGAAAGATGATTTAATGACTGATATTGAGCATTCGTAGATTAAAGATATCATTGTAGATATAATTGCATTTGCATAAAATTGATGGTTGATATATTATTGAGAGAGTATCATTTATTTGTAAAAACGTACCTCTCGGTCCTGGAGGCCCAATTGGTCCTGGTGGTCCAATATCTCCAGGTATGCCTGGAAAATTATAGAGACAAAAAAATAGAAAAAGAGCTCTAACATCAAAAACTACTTTAAAATTTTCAAGATGGTCATTTCAAGACAAAAATTCTACAGAAAATTTGAGCCAATTTAATTTCAAGTCGGAAATAAGAGGCTGAAGCAAGAGCAAACATGATCGAAGATTATAAGACTCAATGCCATAAGATGCGATGGTGACACGAGAGAGGGAAAAAAAGAAAAAGTGCAAATTGAGTGATGCATCAAAAAATGTCTGAAAGCAAAAAGGAAATAAATGCTTTTCTTCTGTAACAGAAATTCTAAGTTTTTGAGAATCGTTTATACTGCTCCACGCTGAATAAGTTCATCCTGACTAATTGAATTGATCCTGCTACTGAGTAGATCCTAGTGTTGGTCTGACAGTAGGATTTTGGGGGAGTACCTATTCCTAATGCACCTGCTTGGACTGAAAGATGTCTTCTTTTTTCAAGTTTTCCACCGAAACGTACCGATTACATTTTTTTTTTTGTAAATCTATGATTCCAGTTTTTGGTTTTTCTGGACTTTTTTTCTCATTAGAATAGTAAGAGCCCAACTTTGTTCTGCTCCAGTTGTTTGAAGTATTCAAGGCATACTTCAGTCTTTTTCTCTTTCATTATACGTACTCATTGTTCAGTATGAATAATCTTCAAAAAACACGATTTTAATGATAGTCTTTTTCTCCATGATTCTTTTTACATGAATTTGACACATATTTTACATCAGAAATCCAAAAAAGGGTTTCTCCATTCATGTTTCAACAGTTTTTTCATATTTTTTTAAAGTCCGAACCTCACACTCAATGCTACTGGACCAATAATAACAGGATAAATTATTGATTATATGAGGCGATCTTACCATCTGTTCCGTTGAATCCAGGATTTCCATCTTTACCAGCTAGCCCATCCCGGCCAGGTATCCCATCTAAACCATTTCTACCAGGGATACCATCTAACCCTGGTTCTCCAGGTACACCATCCCTTCCATCAAGTCCAGCAACACCTTCAGATGAAATAAACTTTAAGTGAGAGAGCACAGATTTATTACTTTAATAGTAGACCGATCTCTGCACGGTACCACCATTACTTTAGTGAATGCTCGTTTGCTACAGGACAGCAGCAGCACAACTCTCTGCGAACAGAGACTGCCAACTTATCTTACAGGTTCTCTAGCTCAATCAGACTGTTAAATTGATATTTTGATCCACATACACTAACTTCAGACCATGAAATTCAGCCAACCGAGGAATTTTTAAAAAATTCTGGGGTGAATACCTAAAGATTGAAATCAATAAAAATCCTATGGGAAAAGGACTCAGTTGATACGGTGAAAGTTTTGATGCATTGCAGATCGGACCTTCCACTGTTAGACGTAAAACAAGGAAATGTGGAAGTGTCCTCTTTCTATTAAAATTTCTCTTTACGATTGTAGGTCGTGAACTTATTTATTTATTATTTTGAATCATAAATTTAGAGCATTCAGAATCATTTGATAAGCACACAAAGACTTGAGTTGATCATAAAAGTACGTAGCTGATTAGAAAACTAACCTGGACTTCCCATCTCTCCTTTAGGTCCACGAGGACCCGGCTCTCCAGGTGATCCAGGGGGACCTCTGATACCTGGTTCTCCTTGAAGCCCATGATCGCCTTTATCACCCTTTGGGCCTTCGTTACCTCGCTGACCAGGAAGTCCCTGCGGCCCTTGAGGTCCAGGTGGTCCCGGAGGGCAGTAGTTTTGTGTATCTCTGCAATACTGTTCTAGAGCAACAACCTAAGAATTTTAAAAAAAAGATTATATTTAGTTTCAGCAGAGGGATTACGAGTTAAAACTCTCCTAAATTATTTTAGTTCAAATGACGAGAGCCAGACTAGGTATATTTTCATTGAAAAGTTTTACCAGACAATTTGCTCCTTTACTCAAGTAAAGTTGCAAATTTTCTTTGCAATTTCACAAAAATTCTTGGTACTTTTCTTTACAAAATACACACCCATTAATGAATACATAAATAGATTATCAGGTAAAACTTTGCAACGATCCGAAGCGATTAAGTCTCCCCACCTCTTGACCCTTCGATTGAGATTTTGAAGCTTATTTTAGATGCTTTTTCAAACTAGGTACTTAGAAAATTTGTCCCCCGTTTAAATTATTAAATTTAAATTCTGATAAAATAAGGAAAAAGTTGGACAAAGAAAAACTTATTGGTGCATAAGTTTGCCTAGGATAAGCACCTTCCAAGTTTTGGAGTTGCTTGATTTTTTTTTTACTCAGCTTTGATCAGGGTGTTAAACTTTTTTGAAAAAAATACATACCTTCTAGTGTTAAGGACTATTGGTGAAAACGCTACTAAAATCATAACTTGTCCCCTCACATAATGCAAAAGGTTTTTGTAGCTTCTTGTTATCTTAGATTTGAGTTTAGTTAATAATATTATCAACATTTTGTAACTAAGTAGGTATAGATGTGTCAGATGACTTTATCAAAATTGTTGTTGTAATGAGAATTTCTGACTCAAAAACTCTACACTCAATTCTTCGATCTTTCACAGTATTTTCTTCTTTTTCTTGATTATTATTTGATTTCAGTAGGAAAAACTGAGGTTGAGCCTCCAAATGCTCAAAGAATATAGCTACTAGCATTAAGACGCGTTACTTTTGTCTATCCTAAACTATTCTGCATGGAAATCAAAGCCAAAACATTTTTATATCTTGTTAAAAACAAACTGAGATTTAAAAAGGGAGCATCACAATAAGCAGCATTCGGTATCCTTTCCTTGGGAAAGTAGCATTGAGCAAGGTTCAATCTGAATTCAAGAGGACGAGAGATCTTCACAATATACAACACGATGTTATATTTATTAAAGTTCAAGGCAAAAACTCTCCAATATTCGTTTGCTGATAACGCTACTCATTAATTGATTTTATGATAACGGATACAAATTTTAGAGCTTTGTTGGTAGAATTTATTGTTCTTTGGGACCCCCCCCCCCCCCCGGTTTGAAGTCCAAGCTGCCGTTTTGAAAAGAAGACACTAGGAGAAAATACAGATTAAAAACTAAAAAAGCCTTTAAAGAATAGCAATGATACCTACTCCTTCTAATTGTGATTTTGGAAATTATTTGTATGGTGACACATGGTTGAAATTTTTTTATGGGTGTGACTGCCTTGGTAGATAATGTACTCACAAAATAAATTGAATGAGGGGCTCCTTCGATGATTCGTAAAAAAGTTCAGAAAGATTAGGCTCACACAATTAATTGAAGATAATTACTGTTGATGACCTGTCTTGGCCTACAACCCAGAACAACTGATTGAGTAAAAGGCTCGATTACACTCCTCAATGAATTTGAGACAGTTCACAAGGGATCAAATTAGTTCTTGATTCATGAATGAGTGTACGCTCACTCATCATCGTTCATATGGAAATGAGATATTTTTAAACAAAAGGGGAATGAACTTTGTGACAGAGAGCAGCTCCCTAAGCAGAGGAGGTTCGTTCATTCCATGAAAACAATAGAGTATTTATGCCACTGACTTAATTTGATGTTTGTTACCACAAAACAAATGGAAAGGATAAGGAATCCGTTTGCTCATACTTTTCTTTCTTTTTCTTTTTCCCTTCATACATTTAATTTCACACATTTAATTAACAAACTTCTTGACAGGGTTACACACTGAGCAACACTGTACATATTTCAGATCAAAAGTTAATGAGGAACTGTGTGGCTCAATTTTAAACTTCTAAATTCAATTCATAAGTGATTATACTGTCCTTTCCATGCTTGCTGAATCTAACTCTTCGCTTGTGAAAAAACCAAAGATTACTCGAGTCAAATTGGGCACTCCCCTACTTCCAGTATAATTGGCGAATAATCCATTTTCATGTTTATCAGCACCATCGTAGTCAATAATAACAAGAGCATTGTGCCAGCTGATGTGATTACGAAATAAAAAGCTTTGCAGTAAAAAAAAACATCAAACTGGAAAGCTTGGGTACCTATGATTTAATTTTGTAATGAGGTTTTTGGTAAGGTTTTTGTCACTGTCATTATTCATTTCTTCTCAGTCATAAATTTTCATTGGAAAGTTTATAATTACCATGTTCCAAGAGGAGTTTGGATTTTTGTAAAATCAAACTCTGGATATTTACTGAGCGTGTGGTCTTGTTTTCATTTTCCCTGCACAGCAAATTTGAATTGGTTGATGGCAATGTGAACTATAAATATTGATATCTCACTTGAAGATTGATTTCAGAAAGTGATACTTTCAATAACTTTTGAGAGAAGTCTTGATGGGGAATTACGGTGTTTTAAAATTTCCAATCCAAGTTTGATTTTTCGAGGAGAAGCGAGCCAACTTAGTGGCTTGAAATTAAAATGGAATATTCTGCTGTCAGGGAAGGAAAATTAAGGAAGTTTTCCAGAGATTACGTTGAATACTTTTTCAAAGAAAAAATGAAGTAAGACTGCTATGTCGCAAATGGAGATACATGGTTTCGCACTTTAGCCATCTAATAAATTATTTATTAGATGATTTTTTATAGAATAATAAATCAATTATTTCACACCTTCTGGTAAAAAGGGTACAAGGAAAATAAATTGGTATAATTTGGCATACAAAAACTATCTATTGTAAACAAATTGTAAATAAATCATTAGGTACTGTAAGCTCTCTAAATCACTAAATTTTTAACCTTTTTTAAACACACATTTATTCAAAGACCTCGGCTATTCCCATGATATTTTTGGCAATCAGCAGGTAAGAATCTTAAGATGAATTTGCTGTCATCAAATGTTTTGATTAGGACTTGGGTTCATCATTCTGCACAGTTTGCTGACCAATGGCAATTTATGATTGGCAAGTCAATAAAAAATAATATTTGATGAAATGAGGGAATGCAATAGGATAGGAACTTTGCAAGTGAATTTAAGATAGAATAATACACTAAGTTAATGTTGAAAGAGTTTACTTACAAAACGAAAAACTAATTAAGAAACCTAGGAAAGTTAAGTAAAAACAGAGTATGTCAATTAGAGTGAGGTCTGAGCAATTGGATGTCAAAAGTAGGAAGGGAATGACAGATTACATGATCATGAACTGTAAGTATCAAGCACTTAGAATCAAAACAAGAAAACTTTTGGGTCATTTGTGAGTAGTGTCATGGAAGTGTAAGACCCTTTTTTTCATCACATTTAAACTTCTAGATTCAGATACATTTAGAGTGCCTTTCAAATTATAAACTTAGTAATGTAACGTATCAATGGTGAAATTAACAAAACATGTACACAACTCAACTATGCTTTTGTAAAGTTCTTGCTCTTATTTTATTCAATCAAGAGAAAAATAGAGGAATTTCCCCTCTAGAGTAATAGAACAATGTATGCAATATAGAAAACAAAGGTTCAAGTTTTTCCACTTTCAACATTGATGTAGAAGGAAAAAAATTGGTTGCGCTTAGCACTTATTTGCATTAGCTTTAAGGACTCTTGCATGCTTACATCAGAAGGTTCTCATTACATCATGCATTGTTGTAAAAGACAGATAACAACTCGACGGTTCTTCATGTTCGTGAAATCTAATATGGACACAGCTGTAAAAAAACCGATGCTTCACACTTATTTACTGTTTGCAGAGTACAAATTAAAAAGGCAATACATTTTTCTACTTCCAGAAGAAAAATAAGATAAGCTCCAAGGAATGTTTCCACTATTTCCCTGACATTTTATCTTTTTAAAAAAGAATAATTGAACAAATGTCTTTGATCTCATTAAAATTTACAGCATTATAAAGAAAATATGATAAAACTTTCTAATAATTGGTCTAGGCTACTCTGCCAAAAAATTAATGAAATGCTGGGGAAAGTTTGGTAACATTGCACGGCACTAGTAATGTTTCTCCTTAAAGATGATGAACTGAAAGTTCCCCTCATAACTTACTTCGCAAAATAAATAAAATCAACAACCATAATAAAGTACGCAGCAGCAAGGCAAATAAAGAATTTAAGATAAATTCACTCACGGGAATTCGAGAATATGTGTTGAGCCATCGCCATGGATTATCTGTTGTTGAGTTACTAGAGTAGCTAGTTTTCTCTTTTTCTTCCAACTCTGATTTCAAATTTGGGTTATAAAATTCAACATGCTGCGTCACTGAGTTGTCAGAAATAGTATCACTCCGTTTGACACGGTCAAAAACTTTAGTTTCTTCCTCGAGAACGAGGGTTTCATAAACTTTAAAGCACTTGGCATCGATTTGCAGTATGAAAGTGTACAGGAAAAAACTCAATAATATTTCCAAAATAAACACTGATAACAAGCACGCATAGATGAAATGAAACTGATCCATATTAACTTAAAATCATCTCTAAATTCAGATATGCACTGACCAAAAGTAAAACCTAAATTCTTCATGAGACTGATGGGTATTGCACATCATTATTAGTTTGTGTTCACCTCGACTAATTTTAAACAAAATTTTTAAATACAGGAATGATGGTAGCCCATGTGATTTGTTTGTTTAGAGAAGGAGTTGGTTGGCGGTTGGTTGTCAACTTAGTTGAGACTTGAAGTCAATTATCCTCAGTTGGGTCACTCCCCCTCCAATTCATTCCCCTCCAGGAGACTCAGACTCTTAATAACATTCAATTGGTAAGTCAAAAGCCAACACCAGTCAAACATTCTTCATCTATTTTACAACTTACTTTCTTCCTTCCTCAGCCTTTTCCCAGCTTCTTTTCATCCATCACTCCAGAGAGAAATCTTGAGAAGTATTGTCTCCTCAAAAGTGAATTTCTATACTTCCTTCTTAAAATCCACCTTCAGAAATATTTCCATTTTTTCAAAATATCGATGCTATATATTTTCACAGACAAGGTGGAGAAATGGTGCGGGGTCCACACCATTTTGCGGGGAAAACAAAGCCAAGAAGTTCCAAAAATTATAATTTGAGTCAAAAATAATTTTTTTTTTTTAAACTCTTATGATCTTCTTTTAATCTATCTTTATCTAATCATTTTATCCCTTTTTCCTTTCCTCATTATTTTTATAGATGAAGTAGATTCCAAATTTTAAGCACAAGTGAACTGCAGAAAAACGTTTATTGCTGAAAAGGAAATTAATTTAATTCACTCATGAAAAAGGGTTATGAATATGTCAAGAGAAATAATTTAAACTTGTGAATAATTAAACAATGGAATATTTTCGCCAAAATTTAGGTTCTTCGAAAAGTGTTCCCCAATCCCCTCCCCCCGCAAAAGAGCATGTCAAAAGTTTTGTACTTGGGCAAGTTACCTCTATTTTCTGATAGCATAAATTCTTCTGGATATCAGTTTAGCTTTTCACTAATGTTGACATTATTTGTTGTTAAGAGCCTGATGATCATTAAAGAGATCGTTTCAATAATAAGAAGTATTCATATGTTACTGTGCTATGAAATTTTTTTCTTCTTACATTCAGACGATGTTGATCTAGACGAAAACATTTCACGAAGAGAAAAGGAGCCTCTTGGTTGGTTTTTTGTCTTAGGAAGATTAACATCTACACAAATGACAAATATTACCAGCCATAAAAAAAGCAGGTGGATCCCCTTTTTCCTGGGGGGAAGGGGTTTCCTGGTAAATTTGTCTTCAATTGCCTGTCAACAATAAATGCTCAAAATTATAGAGATGGAAGGGTGTATGAATTTCCTCAAATTTGTAGGTAAAGTTCATGTTTTTTGAATTTCTGAACACACAGAATGTTGCTAGGTCCTATAAAACGTATTGCACGAGTGAATCTACCAATTTATTCATGAAGCGAGGGAATCAAGTTCATGAGTCCTTCTGAATTTATTGATTGTTTTCACTTTTTCTCCTAAGCTAGGCTATAATAAAGTATTCAAATTAACTAAAAAATTCATCGTCTATGTTTGCTCTGCAATGTACATTTTGAGAGGCAATGCAATGCTATCTTTTAATAATGATTACTGATGGAGTATTGATCAAAAATATATACAGGATCAATTTATAAAACCCAAAAAAAATGTGGACTTAAAAATAAATTTAACAATTAGAAAATTTTATGTACAAATTTACAAAAAACATAAATTGAACCGAGTTGGGCAAAAGAGAACCAAGAGTATTGCAAAGTTTGGTGTGAATTGATGTGATTTGATGAGCCAGAAATTGTAGTTCCTAATCGCAAAATGTGACTTATTTAATCATTGAATCAACACATTATCATTGATCAGGGAATAACTGTTTGAACCTACTTCTTGCACACTAGAAAAATTGCTAAATCTAGAGAATATTGCAATGCTCTTGGTTTTTCTTTATAAACTCAGTCTAATATAATCACTGAACAAATAGCATAACTTGTGAAATAAAATAACAAATCAGTTAGACATTACAAAATACTCAACAACAAAAACATAACAAAATTTGAATCACAATTTAGAAATATTTCCTAATGCAGAGGAATAAAAACTTATTTAAAATCAAGAAAATTTGTAGCTATGTGATTACACCGATAGATCAGTGCGACTTTAAGCATTCTGATGTATGGTTCATAACCAAAAATTCATGCAGAACATGATTCGCGCAGTAAAAATTACTGAAACTAACGCTTACTTGCGATATTTAACGTTTCTTGACACATAGATTCAAAGTCACAACTTTGAATGATACAAGTGTTGGCCAGTAAATTCAGTTTGAGCATGCTAGCGCATCCATGTTCGAATGTTCTAAATCCCTACTCTGTAATTTGGTATAAGTTGAATAAGTAAGCGTATGACCGGTGTCACGTTTTTATTATCAAAGATTAAAAGTAGTAATTTTTAGTATCATAATTAATTATCTTTTTATTTATCTCGAATCAACCTAAGTCTAACTTATCAACAAGGCAGAGTAGGAATATTGCTTGATTAAGGAGCCTTCCAAAACCATTGCAATGAGCAATTTGATTCAAGTAGACCATTGTTTTTCTTGTGAGCAGGGAATTCAAATTTCCCGTAACCAATGAAAACTACAAACGTTGATATCTCAGTTAGGAGCTGATTTCAGTAATTTTTGTGGCGCAAATTGTGTATCTACACAACATTTCGGTGATGAAACATGTACTGAAATCATTAAATTCGAACCTTGCATACTGGTCCATTGCACTGTTGAGAGGGAAAAGTAAGGAAACAGACAGCAGTGTGATTGAAACAATTACATTATTTAGGAAGAAAATATTTTGGAGAGAGAGGTAGACCCAAACTTCTCCTCTTGCTCAAGTGAAAATTTGATCGACTTAAAATCATGAAAACTCTACTTAAACTTACCTGAGATAAAAATTAGCGTAAAACATGTCAGAGAGGCTTATATCATGTGAAGACATTTTCCACTGTAGTGAGGGATTCTTTCTTCCATATAAAAGGAGGATGGAGTAGGCTGAATTAATGATTTGATAACTGAATTATAATAAATGACCATAAGGAATTTCTTTACCATCTCCTGAGCTTTAGACAGTCAAAGACAGTCATGTTCCGCCCTTAACAAGTTTCTACCCTCCTTTCAATAGATGCGTCACTTCTTAGAGCAGCTCGCAATTATAGACTCACTATCAGACCATACAAACGCCATAGTTTCCAACAACAGCCAACGCTAAATGACACCTACAATCAAACCATTGTTGAAGAAACTGATGTACGTGTTTACATCAGCTTTGCCCTCACTAGCAAGTTCAGATGTTCTCTTCAGAGGACAATTTTTATTAATACGTTGTAAAAAAAATTGACCAGCATCCTCCCTGTTTGTAGATCATTAGCAGGGTGGAAAAATCACACTACTATCATATACTGAGCATAAAAGGACCATTGCTCTAAGATTCTTCATTTTGCATGGTATGGTTTATGAGATTGCAGATGGGGGCTTTTTGCTTTCATATTTCAAGAATAAACTGGGGTAGTTTTTATGAAGAAGTTGAGTTTTTGGATGAGGGAAGCTCTGGAGAATTAACAAAATGCTCCTTAGAACAATAGGGGTAATGACGGGACCCTCTCTTTGTATTTGGATGGTAAATAAGTCATTTTGAACTAAAACCTGTCCATTTGAGCCTAATTTTTCTTCTTCTAAGAATGCTAGTTGAACGAGAATTGGTTGTCGAACATCCAATGAAAGGTTATTTTCATCATACCTATAAGTTGGGCTCCTGCCATTATCTATGGACTGATTCCACTGCAAATCATGCATTTTTATGCCATGGATAGATATAACGCCTATGGCCCACCAGATAGACACCTGGGAAACAGTCATACGCCCACCCCACATTGCCAATACAATCTGCATTTACCCTAATAAGCAGCATAATCATTAGTTTTTATGTTTTAATCCGTGCAACTTCAATTTGTTTGATTCAGGTTCAAAATATTCTGATGGCTTCACGGTCCACTCAACTACTGTTTGGCTCTGGAGGGAAATAAACTATTTACATGTAGTTTAATCACTGTATTTTTCATCATTGGTATATATGTATATGTATATTTGTTTGTCCCCCCTGCATATTATCTCTTAAAAGATTCTTAAAATGGTAAGTTTGTCCCTTGAAGGTCCTCTTCCTTCTCTTCTCTTTAATGTCCAGCGTTAAATTGTAAATTGTCTTGAGAGAACGACAAAAAACTAAGCTCTGATGAAGAATCATGTAAAAAGCACATACAAGAACACTCTATCGAAAAATGTTTTTAACAAAACAAAATATTGTGGCAACCTTGGAGCAAGCTTGCAAAACAGTCCTACAAGTCCTTTTTCCTGCAATCTTCCTGCTCGCAAGCCTGAGTGAGCGTTGAGAGCCCATAAGATGCAGCCACGGCGCGGTGGTAATCATATAGGACTCCGACGGTAACAGCGCAGTGGTTGCACGGCTGAGAGCATCGACGCTTCGATCGGGCTTCGATGTATGTGACCTTCGCGCGAAAATAGAGATTTTTAGAATTTTTCCGGAAAAAAACTTAATTCTTCAATTCATCAATTTTTGCCAAAATCCTCTATTTCGAATTAACGGATTCTGTTATTTAACGGATTCAGCTTCCGGTTCTGTGAAATCCGATAAATCGAAGTCTCACTGTATCTGCAATTGGATCCCATCATAAATAGCCTTTTTAGAAGATGGGTTACAGAGGTTAATCAAGGAGATATACAAACTTGGAGGAAGCAGGGGGAGTGAAAAACCACCTATGACTCCATTTAGCTCAATAGCCTTCGAAGTGGTTTTGACACTCCCGCAAAGATGACTCAATTCTTAGATAAGAAGAGAATAAGACCAGTGAGCGAGTGAGGTAACTGACGGTCGAGGATAAAACAGATCAAAATGGTAAGTAGTAGCTGCAGTCAAGTCAGGTAAGGAATATTCTTGAGTGTACATACGAAAGTAATCATCCTCAACTTGAGTCAATTGTATTTACTGTTCGCTTCAAGGTTGCAGTTTTTAGTGCTGCTTTTTTAGAGTCTGTCACACAGACACACTTTGCTTTTGCATCAGTGGTGAATCTGCAAAATGACTTCAAAATGACTTTTGCATTCCTGCTCTGATACTACGATTAGAAAAAAATTACAAGAGGAGCTTTCACACTCCTATAAGAGGATGTCCCTTCATACCTCTCCCATGATACATTCTTATCGGAGCCTTCATAAAAAAATTGAATTTAAGGCACAGAACCAGATCATCAAGCCATGAATATTTGATCCTTTCCGCAGACGGAGGAAAACTTTTTTCAAAGTTTGCATATATCTTTCAATATCTGCTCAGCTGTAAAATCCTGAGTCCCACCGGCAAAACAAAGTAACTGTGAAACAGAAACTCTCACTTACTGCTATCAAAGTCTAGAAAATATGACAGAATCCTTTTGATAAACAGGCCACATGTCACCAAAACTTAATAGAAAGGGGGGGAGGACAATATTTGATCATTAAAATACAGAAAAATATTAGAGGTGACAACACCTTCAATAGATAAAATTTTAAGTAGGAAAAACCTGGAGAGTTGTATGTTGATCGGAAGAATTACACTAGCTTGGCCGGTAGGAATGCTCAAAACAGGAGACAGAATTGAAGATTCGATCACAGTTGGAAAAACAGCTGCTAGCACCAATTTAACAGCCATTTGGTAAGTTATTCTAGAAAAAAAAGAAAAAAGGAAAAGATGCAAAGCGTGGCAGACTAAAAAAATATACAAGAAAAAACAAACACTAAAAGTGTGGCTCGAACTGTAAGAAATAGGATAGACGAATATTGCTGGGTTCACGGCAGATCCACGCAGGCCTAAAAACAAACATTTTCATTAGATTAAAAAATTTGACTATCAATGCAAGATTGAGAGAGGAGGATTTCAGCTCAAGCAGATGCATTGGAATACTAAGCTAGGGCCTTGCCGCAATATCTATATTGATTTGGTTTTTTTAGACTTCATCGGTAGATACTCATTTTCTGTCTAATCCTTTTGCTTTGAGTTGATTAACAAAGAGTTGGTTCTGATTAAAATAGGTACAAATATTGTGACTAAAAAGTAAATTAAATTTGATTTGAGGCCAAAAAACCTAATCTACCGGACCCTAAGTGGCATCAATCTGATCCTCTGTAAAATTAACTAAACTGCTGCGAATAATTTCAACTTAATTCATGAGTTGGCTGTTATTTGTCATAAATATGATCAATATTGATGGAAAATACCTTTGGATACTGAGCACAAATTTCTCGCCGAAGATTCTTCAACCTCAACTGCTGTCTCCCATAGTCCTGAAAAAAAAAGAGGTAGTTTTTTAAAAGGAGAATTTTGCAGAGACAGGTCATTTGTAAGTTTGGTACTGAGACTTAATGCTATTGGTGCATGGGAGTCAGTAAAAACATACACTGTTCAATGCAGTAGGTTAATGGAAAATTTGCAAGGGTCTGAAATTTGATGAATTTCAAGTTTAAGTGGAATCTACTGAGTAAACTGAACACGAGGATACCCTTGATTCATAAATTGAGCGATTATTAGAGGAGATATGACAAAATAACCGATTTTGCTAAATACATGTATTTAAATGGGAAATGCTGCCAGATGACGTCAGAAAGCGGCACATTTATTCACTTTTAAATCAATTTTTCTCTAATTTCCCATGTCAAAAAAAAAAATATAAAAAATACTGCGAACTCAGCTCATTAAGCACTCTCAGATGAAGCAATAAAATGTTTGTGTGCACAATTCTCCATTAGTTTCAAGAGGAAAAACAGAAATTTTGCTTGCAGAGACAAAAGGAATTCTACATTTTCTCAAGTTTTAAAGTAAAAAAACTTGGAAAGTAAATCTCTTGGAAAATAAAAATGAGGAGTTTTCGTTTGGAGCTCTTTTCTAACGGCGCATGGAACAGCCTCTCTAAGATATAATGACATAGGAATAAATGTCGTTCCAGGGAATATACGGAGGGCCAGAGTGGGATAGTCCTCTGCAATCTATTTAAAAAGAGCTTCAATTTTCATAGGATTTAAAATTAATACAAAAGAAGATCACTCACATCATTTAGGAGAACTGTTGGAATAAATTGGGAGAATATGTCTGGCCGTTCCTTCATTGTGCGCTCACCATAGTAATTCAGTAACTTATCACCTTCACTACTTCTGGCACATGAGATCAGAGTGTCCACATCTAATCCTGAGGGTTTGATACACTGAGAAGCAAACAATTTCAGTTAGCATCCCACACATGTTGGTAAATTCTCCAAAATTGACATGAAGTTGTGATTAGTCAGACTGTCATGACCGGGAAAAAAAATAAATGTGACATAGTGGGGAAGCAACTCCTGAGTAATGTTGGGTAACAATTATCACGAGTGAATTATCAATAACCCAAAATAAATTTGTTTCTATTGAATGTACGTCTAGACTGGTCAGGGTTCTTTCCTGTTAAGAAATTCTAAGAAAATAAAGAAAGTTCTCATAACTTTCCATTTTATTAACACCTCATTTCTCCTGATCTTCCAAGCTATGATCATACAGTCTCTTTCCTTGAAATTGGGAATCCATAAAATTGCAGGAATCTTTTGTATGAGGTGGTCTTTTCTTTGTCAAAATCCTTCCTCAAGGGCTTTCCTCTTTCAAACAGCACAGGTAAAAAGTTTCTGCACCCCTGAAGTTACTGACAAAAAATATTTTTGCTGGGTGGACTTCATTTACTTGGTGGACAAAAAGCTTGGAAATCTGATGTTCCCTAGGTCGTAAGAACATCCACAGTAAGTATCTGAAAATGGAAATACATTAGAAGTCATTGAGAATATCAGCAGATCTAACAGAAATGGGGAGGCAAAAGATACAAGCTATGATACCACTATTATATCACTAAAAGATCGAGGGAAGGAGGTAGAGAGGAAAGAAAATAATGCGGAAATATTTTTAGGGTTCAAAAAATCTGGATTTGCTCTCATCTCCAACCCCACTCAAGGTGGCTGGATCCACTCTCTACTTCTGATTGAGCGGCTTTGATGTCTCGGTAGGTGCATTGAAGGTATGCTTTTCTCAAATTCAAGTCTCCAAAATTGACAAAACATTCAGTTGCATAGGCTTTGTTTCAGACTTGGCAAGAATTTAAACCGAAGTGGCAAAACTGACTGATAAGGATCAAATATTGCACAATGCACCACTGGACGAGGTGTAAATTGCGGAATTTCTCATACATGTTTCCTGATCAAAATTTCATGTAGCACTTGATTTGCTCCGCGAATATTACTGAAATTAACTCCTAACTAAGATATTTAACGTTTTTTGATGCTTGCATTCAAACCTCTCATTCATGAAAAAACAAGAATTAACGTCAGTCAGATCATTCACTAAACGTTACTGTAACTGTCTTTGCAGTGGAAAAATTCGGGAACCTCAATATGGGTGTTTCCATTCAGCTAATGCATGTTGTTAACACTATGAAAAGTACAAGACGGAAAAAGAACATTGCTCGATTGCTGCAAGAATTGTTGTTGTGCGCGATTTGATTCAAGTAGACTACCTATTATTTTTCTAGTGAGCGAGGAATTCAGATTTTTCTTAGTGAGCGAGGAATTCAGATTTTTCTTAACCAGTGTAGACTTACAGTGTTAATATTTTAGTTAGGAGTTGATTTCAGAAACTTTCTTTGCGCGAATCAAGTTCTACAAGTAATTTTGCTTTGCAAATATTGATCCGAATACCTGAATTTGCACCTTGTCTAGTAGTTGAGATATGAGAGTAGGGAGTACATGTAATAAGAGTGAACCGTGATATGTGGTTTGTGAGTTTCACAGTCGATAAGTTTTATTGGTTTTCTCTCTGATCCAATAATTTGAACATGGGAGAAAGAAAAAAATTCAAAAATACTTACTGTGCCAACACTATCATCAGGGCTGAAGCTCTTTGAGATCATACAGGTTAAAACTTTTAATAATACAGGCTGGTTCGTGATGGCATTGATTGCACATGCATGCAGTTTGTTTCCATAACACTCGCCTTCCCCATGCTGACAACTGAATTCATACTTGTCACCATGTTTTGTGGTCTGTTCAAAATAAAGCAATCAAAATAAGGAGTTTCAGTTACTAACAAACAAAGGAACTTTGAAAAATGGGCCTGTTGCAAACTTTTGACAGAGCAAAAATAGGAACTGTTACTCTCAGAAAAAGTCTCAAAAATCACAATGAGCGCATCGGCAAAGTATGAAATGCACTCCTTACTTCGCAACTTGCATAAGAAATTTGCGTTTTTCAAGCTTTCCCCTTCAAAAACGATACCACGGCACAGGTGAACATTTCATTAGAGGAGTCATTCCATTCAACCCCTGTTCACAAGGATCCTACGTGATATTCAACATAGCCAACGCCGATCCGCCAAAACACATGTGACGGGACGATGATTCTAACCTCCTGATAACAATCGGCGTGTTTACATTCACATTTTTCTCTTGTTGATAGATATCCGCTTTGATTGACCTTGTGCCCTCCTCGACTTGCGCATGGAAGCGTCGGCCATGTTGAGCAGGGATTGTAAAATGAAATGTTCACCTGTGCTGTAGTATCCTTTTTGAGGCGGGAAGCTTAAAGGAACGCAAATTTCTTACGCAGATTCTGAAGTTAGGAGTGTATTTCAGAGTTTGCTGATGCGCTCATCGAGATTTTAGAGACAATATCTGTAAGGAACAACTCTTATTTTTGCTCTAGCAAAAGTTTGAGACAGGTCCATTACGAACAAGACAGCAAAAAAAATTGTACATACTTGGTGCAATATTTCAATAGAGTAACTTCAACTGCAGTTTTGTGGGGGCTATATTCTCGGCTCAGAGTGTTTACCTAGGCTTGTCTTCGATCTTGGTAAAGGTTCACTGGATGCAGAGTTTTTAGGAGGTCACGGATCAAGATTATTTGTAGTTGATTTACAAATAGGTATGCCATTTAAAGATTAAGTGAAGTCCAACAGGTCTGTTGTCACATCATTGTGACATTCTCAGTATCATTAGAAATCATGCTTAACATTGAGTGATACTCACTGTGGCTTTTCCATACGGCACCAAATCAAGCGTTATCAACTGTGGAATCTCTTCATATGTTGGTAAAAGTTGATTGACAAAAAAATTTCTGGAGTCAGGACACATTGTTTCATAGTACACCGTTACCTTCACGGGTAAAAATTCAGAAATTTCCTTGCCGAATGCATCATACTTCTTCTCGATGTACATGTTCTCCTGAAAAAAATCAGATGACAGCTGGCATTAGAGACATCCAAAAATCGACAAAATTTTTGGGCAAAAATATAAATTGTTATTAATTCAAATAAATTAGAAATATAGAACAGTGAGCAAAAAATATCCACTGAACCTAAGTTTAGTACCCCCCCCCCCCCAGAAAACTTATGTGCAAAGACATTGTTATACCATTGATATGATGCCCTGTCCCAAAAAGAGCATTGTTAGAACGTTGAGACCATATTTTTACACACATTTTGCCGGGCGGGAATGCAACTTGCGTTCATTCAGTGGATATTTTGTGACTGAACAGAAAATTATCTGACAGGTTGGATTGGAGTCTAGGGATTAGATTTCAGACTCTGAGTTTTGAGATCATCAATGCAATTGAGAGGCAGGCCTTATTTTAAGAAGGCTTCCTCAATTGCAGAGAAAAACCAGTTCTCTCTACCCGCCCCGCATTTATCAAAAAAGTTGCTGCAAGGTTACTTTCAGGAGCAACCATTTTCCGCCTGTCGATCGTAAACTTCTTGACAGTTTGGGTGCTAAAAATGATTCATGATTATTGATTCCTTCAAATTTTAATTCAAGACCAGGATGGTGAAGAAAAATACCTAAAGCTGACAGGAGTTGTGGCTAAGTTTGTTCTGACTTGACCATGTGTCCACTTGAAACAAATATTGAGAAGGTACCCCTTAATTTACAAGTACGAGGGTATCAATTATAGTGAATCTTGGTTAAAAATGACTTAGGGCAAAGCCTTTGACCCGTCAAGAAATGTAGCATGAAAACGCCTCAAACAAGAACAAAGAAGTGAGGTTGGAAATGCAGAGATCGAGTGAAATTCAATAGGTACCAATGGTCAGTAGTTGACCTTGCTAGATTGACTCACTAAAAATTCAAGTTTCAGTTTTGAAAGCACCATGTGCTTACAAGGTGGATTCTTTAAACTGAAAGTGCATGCTCTACTCGGACCGAAGTCCACATGCAATGATTTGAGTTATCAAAGACGTAGTTCAACTTCAAGCAATACTTGCGACAGGTTTGAGCAGGGAGTACACTAAATACAAGGGAGATCTCTTACTTCAGAATTTACGCCGCTTGAATCATCTAAATGATACTTCAACTTTAGCTGCCAAAATGTTAACACAAGGGTGAATAAGAACAGAGCTAAGGCATTCCTCTTGGTAAAAACTTTCACTGAATGAATCATAGCTGAGGAAAATGGACCTCACTTAAATTCGTAGAAGATGCTGAAGCAAGAAAAAAAGTACTAAAAAATCAGCTAAAAAATTGCTAACTTATTAAACTAAAGAGAACAATCACTTAAATTGTATCATAAACGGCATTCCGAGGAGACTTTTGCACCGACATAACCTCACATGCTTGTAAACACGGCATGTCGCACAGTGGGCACAGTGAGCAAACATCTAATGACTAATGAGACATTAATATGGATTGAACAGAGCATGACATTTTTTATTTTGATTGAGGGGTAGAGAATGGATGTCCAGGTTTTTCAACGTAGTAGGCAATTTTACGAGAAAATCATTGCTTTAATTTAAAGTTTCCACATCACGTTTAACCTTTTCCGTCGACCCACTCCACTGTGCGTCCAATGTACCAAAACGGGGCAAACCAAAACCATAACGTTGACAAGGTGTTCCCTCAGTTTAGAAACAACGTATGTATCTTTGGTTTCCCTAAGTGTATAAGTGTTTTTACGGATGTTTCTACCTCATCATTAGATAGTGCCCCAGTAGTGATGATCTTCACTCAAAGAGCAATTTCCAATAACTCTTAAAAACTGATAAAGAAATCATTTCAGGAAACTTCAGCAACTTTTTAAAGTGGGCGAAGCTTAACTCTTTGTGAAAACAAACCTAAAGAAGTCTTAAAAAAATTACAAGGCACTTTTTTCAAAATTTTTAATTATATTCTTTGATGTTTTTTACGTTGAAAAACCACAGTTGATATTTTAAGAGATACTTTGACTTTACTTCTCAGATTATCTCGCATAAATTGAGCTGGAAAAAATTCCCTAGCTGGATTAAGTACCTAAAACTAATAATTTAAACCCTCTATTGCCTAAATTATGGGTCTTAGATTCTGGGGAACACAAATCTATGCTGTGGCTTTCGTGAAAACATCTATTCAGTCCCACATTTCTTCCTCAAAGTTTTGGTACCTAATCATTCATTAAAAAAGAAAGAATTCATAAAAATCTGCACGACATGTCACAGAGGAATAGTGCAATTTTTTGGAGACCAAAACATACTCTTCACTTATAGCAGAATATTCTGTAGAGGTAGATAAATTTCACACTGTAGAGTTGGCTTGTTTCTCATCAAATAAATAAAATAGGAGCAGCAATTTCAAACATCATGTAGTTTGTATAAAAAGTAAGTATAAATATTTAGTTCTTGGCATTTCAGATTTTTATCTGGGTAATACTTACTTTGACGATGTGTATGAAAATTGCATTTTTTTACGCATGTCTCCTTATCACAAAAAGCACTGCAGAAAACAAGAAAGACAACTTGTCTATAGCAGTGAGCATAGGTTTCGTGGGTGGTAAAGTTTTAACATTTGAGAAAATTTTTGACCTGTCATGAAACTCACTGCAATTTTATTACTGAGGAAAACAGAAAATTGAAAAACGTGCGATACTACTAATGAGCTAAATGTGCAACACAAGTGCCTGGTCGTCTGATATGACTGCAACGACGTAAAGAGACATAACCTGGGGTCTGGATGAGATCAAATGGTGAAAACATCTGTGGAGAGGCCACCTCAGCTCACATTTGCAAATAAAAATTGCAGCATGGACAATGCTGCTTAAGTGATGGCAAAAAAATAATGTTTGATGAAAAATTGTGTTACTGAATGCAACAGGCAACCAGATCTGTGTCTGGACCACAGTACCCCTCCTACATTAGCCTTTGTGAGAACATGGACACCAGAGCTTGGTTGTCTGAATAGATCTTGAAGTTTAAAATTCATTTGAGTTTTCATGTAAATCTACAACTTCAATAGATGTTCCTCAAAGTCACAAAAATTTCACTGCATTATGACATCCATTATCTACTAAATTTGTTTAAAGAATGCACTGACTAAATTCATCTCACAGGAAATAAAAAATCAGTAAATAAGAAGAGATACGATTGTAATTCAGAGGTAAACAAAAGTCATTCATAAAATATAATTGTTATAATTTCCATTCACTGAAACTCTTGACAAAATTAAATCCTCATTTGCCAGGAGCACAAGGAAGAAAATAATCACAGCTTATATGAAAGTAAAAAAGACAAAATGAGTAAGAGTTTTATCTTACAAGGGTAATACACAACTAATGAGCGCACATAATGATAGATACAAGGAGTGGTCAGAGATTTCGTTGGACTGCCTAGAGATCTTAATTCCTGCATTAACATGTGTTCTAACAAAATATAACACAAAAGACCTTCAGTTTTTTTGACAATCAAAAAGTCTAATATTTTTGGATACAATATAATTCTTGGTGATCATTAAAAAAAAAAAAAAAAAGAATAGGTGAGATACACAGTATTGTTTCCAAATTTTGTAGACTGATAGTTGAAGGGTAAGGTAATGGACGATAATTAAAAAAGTTGGACAAATACAGAGAAGCTGGCCTATGAAAAATGATCTAGAAGTTAATGGCATTATGAGCTACTTGTGATTCTTTAAAATCCAAAAAGGTTGCACTCAACTTGAAATGAACAGCGGAGAACCTGTGCTTATTGCAAATAAGACAGTTGATTACTCTCTGTAATTTTAGGATTTCAATTCCTGTCATCTGTATTATGTATTAACCCAGGAAAACTGAGTACTTAGAGTTGCTTCATATGAGGTAATATTTTTGAAAAATCATCAAATTTTCAATTTAGAAGATTCGAAGGCTGTTACCATTCAATGCAATAGAATCAAATCTGATTCTTGAAGAGGAACAAAATGAGAAACACAACTTACTGATAACCTGAATTGATCCTGAAATTTACCAATGCACACAATTGACGATAGGAACAAAGAAAAGAAAGAAATGAAATTAGGTGGACTGGGAGACATTTTTTCTGACTTTGAGACTTCAGTGTCAATTAAACAAATGAGGACTTGACTAAAGATTTTCAGATTGAATTCATCCTTCCGGCCGCAATTAATAGAGTGTTAAAAAAAGAGAAAAAAAAAAAAGGGGGAGGGGGGCGGGAGAGAGAGAGCGAAAAAAAGACGGATAATTATTGGAGCATGATGGAACTCGATGCAAAATTACATAAGAAATTAGGGTAACTTCCACAATTCGAAGAGATTCATACTACAATTAAAGTAACTTGCTCACTCTTTTCAATGAGAAGTAATGCATTTTTTAGATATCAAAAGGATATCTTGAAATAAATCAAACACCCAGGTTTGTCTTAAAATCATATAAGTGGGAGGAAAATCAATGATAAAGAAAGGTAAAACTTCGAGAGTTTCTGCCCGGGAACCCCATTAAGTATCTTCATCTTTAAACACGATAAAGAAAAAAAAAGAAGAAAAATCAAGATGTTCCTGCTTCTTCCCGAGGATTTCATGAACAACTTCTTTGTGAATTAGTAGATAGTTCCCACACCCTACAATTAACTAATTGTTGGGAAGGATAAAAAAAGGGGGAAAAACTACTCAGAACTTACTGGACTCAATCTGATGCTGAAAGAGAAGAGAGGAAGATCTTGCAAAATCGTGATATTTTAAAGACCAGGTTTCTTTCATAAAGAATATTTCGCGTTTTTGATGGAGGGCTATGCCCAAAAATAAAGGTTAAACACACAAAATAACTTATTTAGTTTACTGATACAGAGAAGTTGCACAGGGATGGGTGAGGGATAAGAAAAAAAGGTCATATTAAATTAAAAAAGAAAAATCCTAAGCTTAAAAAATACATAAGCATGTAACCTAGAAAAGATGACAACGCTGTACAATAAAACTTTATACAAACGGACAACCGCAAATTTACGTACATGATACACATACATAAATTAGACGATGACTCGCATTGCCATGCCTTGTAAATAATTTGCCGCATGTTCAAGAGAAGCGAGGTTAGGAGAGTTGGCGAGCTTAAAGGACGTTGGCAAAAATCACCAACTCTCCTGTCTAAACAACTCGAGCGTCAATTGCATTTTTCTGATAGAAACAAGGTGCTCAAGATTCCAGCTGTTCAATCCTGCTACTAGTTCATACGATGACTGTTGGTGTCCTTTCAATAGGTATTGAAGAAATAGAAATATATCATCAAAGAATAGAATATTCAGAACCATTTCTTTCATTTTTTACAGGTTTGAACTATTTGACTTTCGTCAACTTCACATTAGGATTGTAGTCCAGGTTCTTGAAATGGGAACTAACAAAAATACCCTGAATTTTCTAAGTTGACTCAAGAATAATCACAGCCTACATGTGTGGTAAGTTCTGATTAGAGTATCTTGGACTACTTAGGGAACTCTTTCTGCTCAATTTTTTGGAAACAAGCATGATTATTTATTTTCTGTCATTAGCTAACTGTGGTTCCCTGAGCAAATAGAAAACAAATGCAGCATTTTGTTCACAAGGTTTAGCAAAACTGCACCTTAATATAAAATGTTTATTGTACAAGAATTGAAAGATTATAGTAAAACGTTACATCGAACATGACTAACGCATGCGGTATTTGTTAGTTTCCTGTACTTGGCACAGCTCACCGTTGAAGTCTACAGAAATGACAAAGTCGAGATCTCGCTTGTTGCGAACATTCCTTGACATTTGGAAGTTTCCAAAGAGTTCCTCTCCCCGTTTCACTGTCAGGGAGTCATTCAAATAAAACACACTTTGCTTCCAGTGAGTGTACGCGCATTCCGGCGAAGTGCTGAATCCAGTCCGCTTGTGGCATTTCGTGAATTCAACAGTGAAGTACGTCACTAGAGCGTGGATATAGTCGTTGCGACTGATTTGAAGATGAAATGGAGTGGAAAAGTTGAGATCTTCTTTCGTGACTGTGTACAAGTCAACTTCTTTCAGCAGACAGACATTTGCTACAAGCTGTAACATTTTGAAAGGACCAACGATTAATATTCGACAAGGTGTGTTAAATGGCCAGACTTGTAAGGTTTCTGTGTGAATCTTTTCCCTGACACCATGTAAACGATTCCTTGAACGATCATGCTAAAATAGTGGCAAGAAAAATTCTCTGAGTCAGATGCAGTTAAGCTGACTTTAATTGGACGTATTTCTGGCAAATAGAACTGTGTGCATTATGACAAGAGCCTTGTTACGCATTTATTCTTATGGGTCTCAGGGCTTATGTCTCAATGCACACAGTTCCATTTGGCAGAAAAACGTCCAATCAGTGATGTTAAATTTGTATTTAATCAAAGAGTTGCAGGGAAATACTTGCTGCAGCAGAACAAAAGGTCTAAGATTTCTTTTTTTATCAGCAATTTACATGCTGCTCGACCATTTCTACTTGTTATTGCTTAATTTTCAAGCCTTAAGATATGGCGACCCCTATTGACTTAAAAGTGACACTTATTGTTAGTTTCTACAGTTGCTAATTGTCTGATTTTCGAGTTCATAACCAAACACTAAGGACTAATAACCGGAATTAATTTTCAAGAGATGCTTGAATTATGCAGAATCGTACATGAAGGTGCAATTAAAAATGTAAAAAAATTTGAATGTTACCAGTTTTCTAACATTTTGCACTTATTCCTCATTGCCTAATTTCCTGATTCTCTCAAAATTGCTGGCAAAATTTTTCTTTTTTTTAAATTTCTAGAAACAGATCATAATTTTGGGAACACTTTTTTTTAGAATGCTACTGCGCCTTACAGATACAGCATTCCACACACCCTTAGGGTTAATACGGAGGGCTGCGGGTAAATTTCAGTGAGAATTTTTGACTGACAAGGGCATGCTACCGATTGTCCTCCTCAGATCGGGTTCAAATTTGGCAGAGAGATTGAATAGGGAAATATAAGAACCCAGATTTTTTTATTTTTTTCTTTTTGGCAAATGCCCAGCAGTTTTTGAGTTATGAATTTTGAAAGGTGCCGCTTTTTCGTTTCAGCGATGCGCTCAAGTTGAGCCAACTGTGTGCGCACCTTTTAATACAATTTGAGTGCCACCCAAAGCAGATGAGAAGGTTGACCTAGCGGCAGTGCACTTGCCTTCGGTAACGGAGGTCCAGGGTTCAATCTTTGTCTCCGAGATCTTTTTTCACTATTGATTATTTTGTTATTTAATCGCTTCATCACAACAAATTGTAAGTCCCCTTGTAGACATTTTATTATTTATTTAATTATTTTTTTCTATTTTTTTTTTAAAAAAAAAAAAAAAAAAAAAAAAATTAGTATCATAATGTTTACAAGGTGACTTGCAATTTGTTGTGAAGAAGCAATTAAAAAACAAAATTATCCATCGTAGAAAAAGCTCTCCTTGTTAAGGATCAAACTCTGGACCACCTGTGCCATAGCCGAGAGTGCTGCTGCTAGGCCAACCAGCTCACATGCATGGGGTGGCACTCGGATCGTATTAAAAGGTGCGCGCACAGTAGGCTCAACTTGCACGCATTGCTGACATGAAAAAACGGCAACTTCAAAAATTCATAACTCAAAAACAGCTGGGCATTGGGACAAATAAAAAAATTATGGTACGGTATTCTACCTCTCTGCCAAATTTGAACCTGATCTGAGGAGGACAAACGGTAGCCTCCCCTTGTGAGCCACGCAATTTTCTTCTCAAACCTCCAACTTAGCTTTTAAGACAGAAATTACAGCAACTTCTCTTTATTGTTTTTGCCAAACACAATCATGCTAGAGAAAGACTTCGGAAAAAGAGATTACACTTACTTGTTTGGGATCAACTACATCAACAAGGGGCTCACTAATAGCTACTTTACGGATTGATGACATATCAAAACCGTAGACATCATCCCACCATGCAATCTTATCATCTTTATACTGGCGATCTTCGATGGCTGTGATGAATAATGTTGCTCTATCCGGGAATAAAAGTCCATTTGGTTGTAGCCACTTGTCTCGAGCAAAAATAACTGTGTCAAGCATGGACTCATAGAATAAACTGTAGCCCATCCATTCAGATATGATAATATCAACTTTCTCTATGCCTGGAAAGGAAGAAGTCATGCATGAATACAAAAGAGACAAAATAGTAAGATAAGGAAAGCACGATGTCTACTAAAACAGGCTGGCCAAAAAATCAGTACTTTTTCACTACATTCCCAAGAATTTCAGTACCTCCTCAACAGAAAAATCCAGTACTTTTTCAGTACCTTCATTTGACGAAATTCGAAAAATTTCAAAATGCAACAAAGATGGAAAAAATTACGGACATTCTTGCGGAATTTCCGCTTTTTTTTCAGTATTTCTGAACCTCCCTTAAAAAATCAGTACTATTTCCGGACTTTTCGGAAATTCTGGACTTGTTGACATCCTGGTAAGAGAACATTTTATGACTGGAAGGAATAAAATTACGGGTCAGCTGAGACACTCAGCCCAAAAATGAAGCTCCTTGAGCAAGGCTGATAAACAAAGGTAGTCATATCTTAATTTTAGCTGCCATTCCAGAGACTAGTACTGCTCAGGGGATCCCTACTTTACCTTGCAGTACGACCCCCCCCCCCCCCCCCCNCCCCTGTAACGAAGAATTTCATTCTCCGTTTTAAGTTTTTCCCCTTCTTTTGTAGACCAAAATAGCGACAAATGTGTCACGGCTTGGCGACACCGCGCCACGACGCCCGGTGATGGTACATCAGCTGTTTGAATAATGAAAAGAAATGGAATACTGTTTCTCCTTTTTTCTCTCTCGAAGATAACTGCGAAATCAGGGTTTTCCGTAGATTTACCCAAAACGAAAAATTGTAAAAAATTCTGAACTACTATAAACTTCTGTAGGAAATTTTCCTACATCCATTTCTGTAAATTTTATATTTTAATTAATTTTTCTTGTAACAAAAATTTTGCAACGAATGTGGAGATCGTCTTTTAATAGCTTCAAATCAATCTGATAGCCCTCTAAGCCAAACATTGTTCATCACCCTCTCCTTTCCGGAGGGTCACCTCTTCTCTCAGCTTTCCTAAATCTTTCTCGACTTGAGGTGCACGTTAGTGAGTGGCATCTCGTCGAGCCCTCTGTCCATTCACTTTCCTCTTTCCTCTTCTTCTGTGCTGAGGTGCACGTTAGTGAGTAGCATCTCGCCCAGCTTCACTCCTCCTCTCCTCTTACATGTATCCTGTAATTTCAAGCCTTGAGGTGCACGTTAGTGAGTGGCATTTCGGCTTCCCTTTTCTTTCATTATATCGTAAATTATTACTATCATAATATTTTGAGTGTAGGATCCTCACAAATTTAGCTAATAAACGGACATTCTTTTTGTAAATTTGAGACACAAGAGTTTGATCATTCTTCCCCTCTTTCAAACTCTCGCATTTATAAAATTGGCGCCCGAATCCAGGATCCCGGCGAGCTCATTCCGGCAACTACAGTAACGTTGGCTTATCTTATACCAGAGGACGTATGTGCCTCTGAAGAAATGGGATTTGCCTCGTTACACCCCCCTTCCCCCGAAACATACCCCAGAGTTGCTGGAAGTTCTTTGCCTCCGTAATGCTGTACACATAAGACACGTTACTATCCGCATTGGACAGTGCATTTCACTATTTTCTTTGCACAGAACAGCACATTTCACAGTTCCCTTAACAAAAAGTGATGCTCTTGGCACTTTAGTTCTATATGTAGAAGTTGCACAGTTGATAATTGCCTTGGCAAAAAGAAGTGCATTTAACTTCTTTCATTTCAGCACCTTAAACGTAGTGCTACTCAGTTTGCTGTTCAAAATAAATCATTATATTCATCTGAATAATTCACTAAAGTTCATCAATATCTTTCAGGATCAAGTATAGGAGCTCATTATATAAGTATTAAAATTGAATAAGACCTGCCGCAATTAGTTATTTGGGAGATGACACCCTGTTCAATTTTTGGCCAATTTTAGAAAGCTGATAATATAATTTGTTCCATATTTTTTGTTATTGAGTTACCAAATATTTATTTTTTTTCAGAAAATAATTGAAAATCTCAATAGTAATGATAAGTTGGATAATATCCGTCACTCTAGCTCTCTTACATTAGCTAAGTAGTTCATTTAATACCTTTGAAAAAGTTCTCGGTAAAAACAGCGGATGTGGTCTTTTTACAAAATCACTGTATCTCGATGACATTTCCTTCAAATTCAAATTTCTAAAGCTCATTTCTGAGAGGAGGATTGGCTCTGTAGTAAATTCTTTGATCAGAGCTCATTTGATACACAGAAATTGAAACTGCAGCTTTGAAAACTTTAAACGCGCTTGTCTCAAAACGTGAAAACTCGACATCCGCTGTTCATACATAAAAGGCTTCATGCAATGTCTTACCATCAGGTAATTCAATTTCTTCCACTTTGCCTTTCAAAATAGTTACTACATTACTGAGGTGGTTGTCTTCGACAATTTTCTTGGCATACTCAACAATGTTTGAGCACTCAATTCCGAAAACCCGAGCAGCTCCTGCCTTGGCAGCAAACATGGATAAAATTCCAGTTCCGCATCCAACATCCAAAACAATTTTATCCTGGAAGCAAGTGTAGAAAATATGCAATGAATAGTTAGCTACTGAAAACTATTATAGAACTGTGTTCATAAGAATATGAACATATAATGAACTGTGTTCATTCACATATAAATGTGAATGATCGGTTGTGGATTAAATGCTGTAAAGATGGGCCATGCTGAAAATAAACATTATTTACGGTCAGAAATTGTTAGTCGAAAGGGAAGAATTTATGTCGAAGATGGAGGTTTCGACACAATTTCAAATGGACGTATTTCTGCCAAATGGAACCAGAGACAGGTGGGAAAGAAGGGGTGTGCTCCGTAGTTGAGGGCCGTAAGAATAAACGGGAATTATAAAGTACCAGTGACAACAGTGGCGACGCAGCTGCCACCGCAGTCGCCCATCCCCTGCATTAACTCATGAGCCCTATCCACAACGCTGTTGTCACACACCCATGGCTCCTGAGTGCTGCAGTCAGTTGGCACATAGTTAGTCGTATTTTGTTCGAAGGCAACACTCGCAACATGTGAAAACAAGCAACAATCACATTTTGTTCGAAGTTGATTTGCGTTGTGGAGGGGCTTATTTACGCGTGCAAAATTTGGGAGCCCCCACAGCAACATTGTTGTACAACAACTGCAACATGCTCAGAGGTAAGTCGCTTTTATGTTGCTGCCCAAGACAACGCTGTTTTCTAACCTGAAATTGGAATTAGCTCTTTCATTGGTTTTTCAGAATCACGAAAAAGAAACAAGAAAAAAACAGAAACAATTTGTTGTTTTGAACAAAGTACGACTGTTCCGTTAGACAGAATGTAAAATCTTGCTTTTCCATTTCTCCACAGGGAATCACGCCCACTTTAACATTGTTTCTAATGCAGCTTCCTAGAGCACACCCCACCTTTCCCACTTGTCTTTAGTTTCGTTTGGCAGAAATACGTCCAAATAGCAGTCCTCAAGATGTACTGATGGGCAAAGTGCGAAACCCTGTATCTGATTGAGAGGGTGCACACTTCCTGTCATACTTGATTTTTTCTTTGAAAAACAAGTCAACGTCATTTTCTTGAAACCTTCCTTGCATTTTCTGCTGTTGGCAGAATATTCAAAATAAAATTCAAGCTGTTGCTTTGCACTTCGGCGACTGATGTGCTTCCATGGAAAAGCACCTTACGGCAGCTCCGATGATCTTACACTCAATGAACAAAGCTTTCATAAGCTTTGTTCATATGTTCATGTCTCATGTGAGACATGATAAAAGTCTCTTAAAATTGAGAACGTCAGAGTAAGTACCAGAGGAGCAGAGTATTCCACGCTACTACATTATAACGCACTAGCCTGCCTGCTTTTCAAATTTTTCTCATTAACCACCCACATAATTTCGAAAAAGATGACCCTTTTCATCTTTTTGCCTTGGACTTTTAAATTTTGACCTTAAATAATTTTTGCTCATTCCTTGTTATCAAAGTCTTTCAACATTTCCCATGTCTACCTGATTGTAAGATTTGGTAAGTATTTGCTGCGAATTGCTTACGATATTTTAAAACCATCTCCCTCGGTACTTTGGAGGAATCACTAATTTCTACGACTTTATAGTAGGCCATCAAAAGCTTTATTACGAGCTTAGCAAATTGTAATGATAGGAATTTCAATGATTTGTTTCTTGGCTACATCTCCTTCTCTGTTTGATATGTTGATGACAGTGGATATTACACACTTTAAATCTCAGCTCTTTTTATTCTGCACAGTAGGGCTTCTCTTCTATCTGAACAAGGAGGATAGCGATGATTGCGTTACATTTTTATCCCTGTCCCTTTACTGCAGTCTAGCCTATTCCACGCTTTCTGGGGAGAATGCTTGGATTTCTCCTCCCAGCACTTTCCAAGCGGTTCCAATCCTAGCTTCAAAATAGAATCACTCTGAACTGCAGATAACCCGATCTATTATGATCCATGAATTCAAAGAGAACCCTAGTAAGTATCTCATCCCTACTAAGTAAGTAAGGCCAGGTTTACCGGCGAGGCGCCTTCAAAGGGACCGAGGCAACTGGCTACAGCTGTCGAGCACCCCGCAGTTGGACCGTGCTCCTTAACTTCGTACTATTGACGCATTGTGTAACCTCTATATTCCCGCAAGGCTCAGCCGCCCACTCACCGGTTTTTTCACAACCCAGTCGAACAGTGCAGACAGATTACTTACTGGGTGACTATGTCCCTCCCACACCCTGTTACCTCGAAGGGTCAGGGTATTGGAGTGGCATATTCATCCACAGTCACGATGACTGATATTTGAGTGTCCTCAAATATCAGTCACCTCTGGGGATTGAACCCAGGACTTCAGTGATGGCAGCCAACTGCCTTGACCACTACTCCACTGAGGCTGACATCTAATCCCTACTATATCATGTGCATTAAAAGGAAAAAGCTGAAATGTGCTAAGTCAGTAAGTAAGTAAGTAAGGCCGAGCTGGCCGGTGAGGCGCCCTCAAGGGGCCAAGGCAACTGGCAACTGCCGTCGTGCACCCCGAAGTTGGAATGTGCTCCTTAACTTCGTACTATTGACACATTGTGTATCCTCTATATTCCTGCAAGGCTCAGCGGCCGTCTGATAGCCAACGGAAGGTCTTATCAAAGACTGTGGCAGACACTGCAGAGCACGGACTTTCGGAGCACGGCCATGCCTCCACCGAGTTCGACTGAGTTGTTGCAATCTACACTGATAGGTGGCGCTGGCAGTCACGCACACTACGAGTGATTACCGATTTTTCACAACCCAGTCGAACAGTGCAGACAGATTACTTACTGGGTGAGTATGTCCCTCCCGCACCCTGTTACCTCGAAGGGTCAGGGTATTGGAGTGGCATAGTCATCCACAGTCACGATGACTGATATTTGAGTGACCTCAAATATCAGTCACCTCCGGGGATTGAACCCGGGACCTCAGTGTTGGCAGCGAACTGCCTTGACCACTACACCACTGAGGCTGACTTGTGCTAAGTCAGTACATCACAGGAAAACTGCTTTAAGTTATATATTTACCTTGAATAAGTGTTTATTATGGAGCATGGAGTTTCTGTAAGTGAGAGTACGCACTTCATCCTTCAACATTTCTTCGTGGATACCGAAGTGAGCATAGGAGTCAAAGTAATAGTCTTGGGATGTCATTTCGTCAATGTGGACTGAACTATCAAGTCCATTCTTGTTCTCGACAACAATCTGCTTCACTGGTACGCTGTTTGCAGCAGGATCCGTGGTAACTTCCATACCTTCCATTTTCTGATTCTGAGGAGCAAAACAAAGACTCATGTCATTAAAAAGGACTGGCAAAAAGCTTTGATCTGGTGATAGAACACATTTGGTTTTCCATGGGGCTGGGTAGTTCATTTGATGAAGAGGGGGGGGGGGGGGGGGGGGGGGAGGGAAGAAAAAAATGTTGGTGGAAAACTTTTCATTGACTTTGAGAGCTGCATTTAGAATCAATGCTAAAATCGTAAAGCTTGAGGAATCTTTAGAAAAATAAGAAGGTAGGTACTGAAGGCTTTTACATAGCAAAAAAAAATGAAAAAAGCATTTATCAACATGTGTAAAAAGATTAGAGAAAACGAATGCTAAGACATCTTCTTCATCATACCGCTGACTGATCAGAATTATTTTTTCAGCTAATTCAACTTAACTCTGTACCATCATGAAATACTTGGAAGAGATTCATATAGAAGTGTTCAAACATGTGGCACTCTAGATTTAAGACTGTAATTTAGAGAAGTGCGTTACAGAAATGATTGACATTAAACTGAGAAGTCAAAATAGATTGAATACTTTTGTATTTTCCGCATATAAAAAAAAAGAAGGAAAAAATTTTAAAAAAAGGAATTAACAAACAGAATAAACTGACTTAGAATTAGAAAATTAGCTAAAGTAAGGGTACATATGTAGAGATAGACAATTTCTCAAGAGGGGGGGGGGTTTTGATCATGCAGTGATAATTAGAATGTGGATCCTTTAAGCCTAAAGAAACATTAGGGGAAGTTAAGTTAGTCAACAATATTTTGAAATGAGAATGCCATCCTGATTTTTAGAACTTCTTAATCCATTGATTTTTTAAAGGATAAGGATGGCTGGAAGAGACTGGAAAACTTTGATGCCTTCTCGCCACAGAATGGTTTACAACTTTCTTTCCCAATTTTTTTTTTTTTTTTTTTTTTTTCTAATTAGTTTTTACTTCTTCCCTAGTCTGTAAGGTTTTTTAATACTCTCCTTGAAGCAAGAAATGTGAAGGGAAAATTTCCAAGAAAGAGCAGTAGGAGGAGAAAGGTGGAGCTAAGAATCAGTCTCAATAAATTTTGAGCATTTCGTCCATTGGATTTTTGCATTCCTGGTAGCAAATATTTACTAACTCCTCAAGAGGTAACTTTCAAAAAAACTTTCAAGGAGTAGGAGGGAAGAAAGACGTTTTAGTATACAGTGAATAAATTTCCAACTTGACCAAAGTTGCAACTTCTGAGCTTCCGCCTACAGAATTATATTGACTTCCAATTGCGCAACAAATTAGCTCACGAAATGTTAAAAAATCATCCACAGCATAAAAAAGCAGAAATATTGGGTGGAAGATTAAATAAGGATAAAAAGTTTAAGTTAGACTAAAAGGTTTTCATATCCTGCTTACCAGCGAATTCATTATCAAGAATTCTACGCTATGAATAGCCTACTCGTTTCTTAAAAATTGGATATATAGTCTTACTGTTCTCTGCAAAAGTTAATAAGAAAAAAAAATTATAACATCGACAACAAAAAATGAAAAAATAAAGGATTTGAACTGGCTTTGGGGATGTGTAAGTGGCATTTAAGATAAGAGGCAACAAAAATACTAAGTACTTGGTTCTTCAATTAAAGGGAATTGATCAGAGGAAAAGAATACTAGAAATTAACGAAATGAAACAACCTGGTGTTTATTCATGCATGTAAGAAAGAACGAAAGAAAGAGAAAATAATCAATTTTCCAGAGAAAAAATGAAATTGATAAATGAATATGTAAACAATATGTTCTTGAGAGACCAGAAAACTAAATTGTTCAAGGTAAATAAAATTACCTAAGGACAAGGGTACCTAATAGATGTTTCAAAAGAATGAATCCATCAAAAGTAATTTACAGTGGCAAAAATGGAAAAAGAATCAATCCTAATAAGAATTAGGAAGACCAAGCTTTCCGTGGCAATAAGTCAATACATCACACAATAGCGCTACATTCACAACACATAATATTACTATAGTGATATGATGTCAACTTCAGTTGCTTCAATTTTGAAGAGGCAATGAGTAAAGTAAATCATGGGTGATGGTTTAACCCAATGTATACAACTATCGATCATTGTGAGGAAAAATAACAGCAAAGGAGAATGAAGATTTTTCAAGCAGAAAAATTTCACTTTGATTCAGTTTTGCAGGCATTGCAGATTACACGATAAGGATAAGCAGGAGGTTGACAAAGTGGTGCGTCTTTTCAAGCTGATACTAATTTGATTTACATCTTGGAGAAAAAAAGTGAGTCCACCATCTGAACTGTTGTCTAGAAAGTGTCTTTACATAAGGCATGACAAGAGATGTAATTGAGGACCAATCATGGAGGGAACAAATTTATATGAGATTAACAATGCTTTCATCGCACACATTAAATTTGAACTTCATGCGAACAACTGAAATCTTTCATGTCAGTTCCTTTCAACTTAAGATTTATGGAATGTGAATACCATGAATGTATAACAGGGAAGGCATGTTGGAGGCTAGAACTACAACAGTAAACTTGAGAAATCCTCCATTGTATGAAATCATGAAAGATCACATTCTGTGAAGGTTAGGTATCGGGCATGACTGACTATCTACAATGTTGACAAAACTCAGAGACACAAAGTGGCTTGTAGTTGTGAGTATGCAGCTTGAAACAGAGGGTTCCATTGTTGCTACCTCACCACAACACTATAAAACAAGAACAACCATACGGCTAAATAGTGCGGCCAAGGGAATGATGCAGTTCCTACATCGAACGTGACGCTTCATGCGAAGTTGGTAGAGGGCTTTGATGGGAGAAATGAACTGAAAATGGAATTGACCAGATGCAAAGAGCAGATGGATAAAAAATTCAAACACAGAAACAGAAAAACTAAAATACTCAAAATTACTCCTCCTGCCATTCAGAGAGGATCTTCAAAATCCAAGGACTTACGGGACTTAAGGGTAACGTTGACGAGAGGAATACTCCAGAAAATTTCGAATAACAAGCAGCTGCGCAAATGTTAACTTAATGAGCATCATTAAACTAAAAGAATGCAGCTAATGAGATGAAAAACAGCAGAGTGAATCAATGAAGGAAGGATGAAGGAAATTCGAGGGTCTGAAGGAGACAAAAGAGCTGGAAAATAGGCTCAGTCTGGGACAATTTCAGGGAGTGAATTTGTGAGGTCGAAGTGCAAGAATCGAAGAATAAAATGTGAATTAATGATGGGACCGGATCCAAAGTTTACGAATATGATGTCCTGGAAATCTGACACAAAGAATTGTGATCATGGCATAAGCAACGCCGCTTGCTACAACGAGGATATAAAAAGCACATGGCACATCCAAACAATCTACGGATTAGGAAGCAGAACACATTTGGTAAAACTAAAAGAGGTACGGTCTTTAGCACCGTCGAAAAATTACAATGATAACACAATAAATGAAGAGAATTTTCACCGATTAATTTCAGCTTCAACAATAAAACTTCGCAGGCACTTCAACTTACGGCAAATCTTCACAACCACGGTCCGACAAGGAAAGGAAGAGCTGCGACTGTGGTAGTGTAGTCAACACTGCTTTTGCCGCTTCAACTTTTTATTCGGCTTAGGCAAAATTATCAGCTCGACTGCACGGTTAGAAGCATACCTCTCTAGGCGCTATGCAAGCTTGTAACAATGCTTTCACAATCAATGCCCTCTCCCCTATGGCGGCTAATTTGAGTTCCTAACTTTCAGCAAGTAATTAGATTCCTTTCAATTCGCTATCAAAATATTCTGAAACATTCTACGAATATAATAGCTTGAAAAAATATTCCAAAGGTTTTTCATCTAGATTTGTATTATTATTTATTATCACCATGGTAAGAGACTGATAAAAATTTAGAGAGACGTGATGAGTGGAGGAGAGAACGTAAGCGGGGTCGGATACAGCCAATCACGTAACAGCTTTAATCTGCGGAATTGCGAGAGCGAACCAATCAAATAATTTCTTACGTACCGTCTCAGTTCCAGTTTTGCGATTTGCGCTGTTGCTAGTTGTTTTCGTCTGCCTGTGGACTAGGGATGTCGATTTTTTTGAAAAAATCGATTACGCGAATCGATTCGATTTTTTCCGAAAGATCGATTAATCGATTTAAAATTGTACCTCAAAAATCGATTTTTAAAATCGAATCGAAAAAATCGTTTTTTCCCCGCGCACGAGCTAATTTCAGGCTTAGAAATTTTTAAAGTGAAAGAAAGTTCTACTAGTGGCGTTGATTAAATCGGTAGGTAGGATAAAATAAGTAGGTAGTGAAAGTGAAAGTTCAACTAGTTCAAGGAATGTTTGACGTTTGACCGTTTTGACGGTTAAGAAGTTTTGTTTACAGTATTCATTCAAATTTCAAAGAGGTTATGGTCGTTATGGTGCTTGAAGATCTGTTCAGCAATTGCAATTAAACCTAAAAGAATGTATTAGAAAGTTTACCAAACGCTAAATACCTTCCTTCTGGACCCGCGTTTGAACGTAAGTAGGTTTGACGTGACGTTAAAAGAGTAATTTAAACTTTAAACAGAGCGAAAAAGTCTGAACGATTTTTTCGATTTTTCTAAATAGAAAATCGATTGAATCGATAAATCGCCTCTCACAAAATCGATTCAAAAAAATCGATTTTTTCTCTGAAAAAATCGATTCGTCAGAATCGAATCGAAAAAATCGACATCCCTACTGTGGACTTGGATATGTAATCAACGTTCTGAACGATCACATCCGTGTATTCCGTGTCATTCATTATGGCATTAATCTCAAAATTTTTCATATCTTAATTTATATTTGTGTAATTATCGTTTCAATTCCTCCAACTTGTGTATGAGTGTTCAGGAATGACGAGCTTAACGGTGAGTTTGGATTCCTCATTTGTTCCCAACCCCAAGGAAGCCTCAGTAACTAGAAAGCAATCACTTGTTTTTTCACTATCATGATTTCTTTTTCTGAGCCTACTTTTTATTCCTCTCGATTTTTTCTCCCAACTGTAGGTATCTACCTTGTTTAGCTCTCTAAATATTGCATCAAATACGTCTCTGACTTCTTTCGGAAAGCTCCTTAACTTCAAGGATGCGAGTCGCCCAGTGTATTTCACAAGTTTTTGCTTCTTCAACCTCCTATTACATTTACTTTTCCAAGTAGATATTGCTTCTTCTACCAAAAGTTCATTTATTGCTTTTGTCTGTCCGAAGGAACCCACCGCAGCTGATGTGTATCCTAGCGCAGAGCACTTGTGTATCTCTAATCACAGTGCAGTGGCCTACTTTACTCCTTCTAAACTTACTAGATTCAAGGGCTCTTTCTCATTGCATCTGCATTTTAATCCAAAATTTATCTCTGTATTCAGCTGCAGCATATTCCATAAAGATACTCTAACAGTCTTTTCTTCCCTGTTTAATGGTGCAGTTTACACCTGCACTCGTTCAATGGTACGCTAGTTCTAGTCGAATGCCCGTAGATTGTTTGCATTTCATAGTGGCTTTCTTGTATCCTTGAATTTCTATCCTTGGTCTCTCTCGAATCATTGTTAGCCCTCTCCACTCCATCATGCCTGGAGTTGAGATGAACCGTTCGTGGTCAAAATCCCGAACTTCATCCTTTCGTCTTGATCGCAGACTTGTTCAGCCAAGACCAACAGGTCTCACTTACTCAAGATCTCAACCATTCTCTGTCTTTGAGGCTCAAGAATTTGTCCGAGTATGGACTAATCTTGATGAACTGATTGTATTAATTGACTAATATGAATAACATATATCAGGATGATTTTCACATCTACCCTTGCCATGGAGCTGCGGTAGTGAGTGTAACCATTAAATTGCCTATTCTTGGATTCAAAGTGCCTTAAAATGATTTCAAAAGTTTCAAAGTAGTGTAGTGACTCTGTTGCAGCAAGCACAGGAAAGTTGAGGCTGCGCAGAAGTCGTTTATATGATATGCGATTCATGCATCTGCTCAAGCATGCTGCTTCGTGCATTTTGAACGCTTTAATTTTAATTTTTAAGAACACTCACTTGCACGTTGTTTATTTCCTTTATACCGGTTGGACGCGATGAGACCAAACTGTGTCCGACCGGTTTAAAGGAAATAAACAATGTGCAAGTGAGTGTTCTTAAAAATTTAAATTATTAAGTTCTTGTGCGAACCCGAACATCAACGTAATATTTTGCACACTACTTGAAGAATGGGAATTAGTATAATCAAAGATACTCTAAGGTGATCTGTTTCGAGTTCTCGGTAAGGGTGGACTGTCTTGCGATGTATTGCATCAATGAAGTATGAAAAGATTTTGACTTCTTAGTAAAGGAAAGGATGATAGCTCCTTCGCATCAGCTTGAAGTAACATTCATAACCAAAGAATTCGCGAATTCAGATAAACAAAAGCAGGATGCTTCTCAGAAGAAAAAGTTGCTCTCGATGGGCCCAGAAGGTGATCCCTGAATCAAAAGTAACGTCTTTTTCCAGGAGAATCCTGCTTTCATCCCTGAATTTTTCAAATTCTTTGGCTCAGAATGATTCGTCAGGCTGCACAGGGATTATCAAATGCTTTTGGCCTTAAAGTCAAAATCTGATGAGATTTCTTACTTTATTGATGCAAACTATTGCACGCCAGTTTGATCATGCTGAAAACCCAGGCGGAATCCCCAATCACCATAATGATATTGCATCAATAGAGCAGTATCCACTAAGTACCAATTGAAGCGGTGAATAACCTAATTTTGCAAATATTCGGAGTTGAATACTTATCTTGAAAACAATTCATTGAATCTCCACACATTATGTGGAATGTCCATAAGGATTTGATAAGGAGAGTGCATAACATCGAAATGCTGCATATTCCCCCAAAGTATACTCTACAAAAAAATTTTGCTCTCTCTTTGATTGAATGGATAATGTATTTTTCATCCATTATATTTCATGGTATCAGCGTAAATTTCATGTCCTCTGGCACTTATTAAAGTATGTTTAAATCTTTGTTCCAGGTATGATTAGTAATTAATAATGATGAATAATTCCAAAGATTAGAGGAATCTACTTCTCTTTAGATGAATCAGTGGCTTCGCCTAAAGGATAATATGGTAAGATGAGAACCGTCACATTTTCTTCTACATTTACTCGTAAGAAGAGGGTACTGATTGCCTCCATTTAAACATGCTCCTCTCAATCACATTTTCTTCCTTGATATCGTCTTGAAACCAGTACTAAGTAATTAAATATTTACTTTCAATTCTTACGTTCCCAAGTGGAAAGTGGAAAAAGGCGAATGGCTGATTTCTGTTTAGCAGTTATAAAAAATAAGCAATCTGAGTCCAACCAATGTAGTCCCTTTCAGTAAAAACTAGGATTGATGCCTTGATGTAGTTTGTACTGGCCCTGGTAAGTATAAGCACAGTAAATCGGTCCACCATTTAAGTCTGTCAAACAAAATGTCATAGTGATCAAAGAGAAGCAGTCTGTAACCTCTTCTTGCCAGTCCTCTTTTCAACCCTTTGCCCTCCATACATTTTACGTGCAATACCAAAAGGAATCACTTTTAAACCTTTAGCAACTTTTCAACAATCCAGTATGTGAATCCTATGAGTAAAATGAAATTTTAAAAATCAAGGTCAAAGTTTCCGTGATGCATATAAATTAAGCGCAGATTTTTCTGCACCCCTGCATCTTAAATCCCTATCTGAGATTCTTGCCTCATTCCAAAACCAAAGTTTGGTATTGGTCTGGTATTTGGTAGTGTACCTATGTTAATAATAATTTTCCCAATTTGTGTTTTTGATGTACCTACAATTTTTTTATCATCGTAACTGATGCCTGAATAATAATTTCATCGCAATGTTTGAATATTCTAAATTGAATCTTCCTTTCAGGTCCTGCATCAACGATTTCCCTCATTTAGTTTGACTGCAATAATATATTTTACAGTGAATTTTCATTTTAAATGGGCCAGTTGCACTGGTCACAGAATCGTGTTTTAATGCTTGATTCTTGTAGATTAGCTAAAAAGAAAAAGGATCTCTCCAAATAGCAACTTTCTACATTGAATATTAACCGAGATATCGCACCGTGAAAAATTTGATTTATGATGTCATCCACCGCCTAATACATACCATGTCTTGCACTACCGCGGTGGATGATGTCAAAAACCTGACTTTTCAAAGGATGATATCTCGGTTAATATTAAACGTAGAAAGTTCCTGTTTAGACAAACCTTTTTATTTTTAGCTAATCTACAGGAATCAAGCATCAAAACATGATTCTGTGACCAGCGCAATTGCCCCATCCATAAGCAAATAATATGCACCTAGTAACTGTGGACTTTTGTTGGGTTTAAGACACAACTCCTTTACAAACCATCACAGAATAATTAGTTTTCATAAAAACTTCTTTCAAGTCCCTTTTCTGTTAAATCTGGACCCCAAAGTGAATTACTGCCGATTCTCTTTAAATGTGCAAGTGGAATATTCTGCTTTTAGAATTTATTTGTCTTTGAAGGTCTTGGAGGGGTATACATTTAAAACTCAAAAGAACCGCAACAAAAATTAGTCATTTCCAACCTTTCCTTCAATCATCTTTTTGTGACTTTTTTGTGTTTTGTTATCAAGAAATGTTTATCTGTCAACTCTAAAAATACTTTGAAGATCAGGCTCAGGTTAGAAACGGCTGGTTTTAGGCAAGGCCCGGTTTATCGATAATCAAATTGTCTTGATTCATGTGCAACAAACTTTTTTGCTGTCAAGTTCTTTGTGACTCCCTATCTTTTCTGTGCCAACCATAAACACAACTGTTGTTGTTGGCAAATATTTTTTTTTTGCCAGTTGGACCATCAAGTTAATTTTACCTGCGCAAAAGTTCATTGTAATGTTAATGATTGTGAGCTCCATAATCATAATTTAAATGCACGCATGAGCAATTCACTTTTCAGTTTTCAGAACATTGTAATATAAAATAGAGTTTTACCAGATCTGTATCTGGGATTGAATCCACCAAAAACTAAAAATCAAGCAATTGATTAAATTGCATGAAAGCGAATACTATTTTCATTTTTAACAAGAAAATTTCACTTAGGGCGAAATAATTGACAATCATGCCATTATTCTTTATTTTGGGTCGCTTGTAAACTACTTTAAAATTAAATACCGGAGAGTTTTTGAAATCTGGAAAACTTTGAAAATTTCTACGGAAATTAAAATAAACTAAAAAATTTAGGATACATTAAGTTTTTCTGCAACTTAAACTGGAAAAGCATGAGTGAGAAGGTTTAATGAAACATGTTTATAAAGTGAGATAAAGTTTTGAAAGCTAAACTTAACTTCAGTTTTTTACCGCAATTGATACCCCAGTCATTTGAAAGGCTATTATTTAGTCTGATTTTCAGGTTTAGCCCGTGACATTTAGTTAGGAAATGATGTGTGTCAAGAAATGCTCAGCATCTGAATGGTGTCAACTCTGGTAGAGACAGATATTTTCATTTATCAGGAAACAATTTCAACTTTATCCATTTGCCACCAAATATTCTAACATGGAATTCAAATATTTAGTATGAGAGTATCAGTCTCAAATTAGATTTTGACACAACAAAAGTCAATGAGGGAACTAGCATATTTTATTTTTTATTGATCAAAGATGTTTATTGCGTATTTACCATTAAGAAATAGAAAAATTATGCTGGTTTAATTGACATAGACTTGAAAGGCATTGTTTGCTAGATATAATAGTCTGTATAAATGCATGGAAATTCATTCCAGTGTCCCTGTATAAATATCACCCGAGAACCCTATTTCCTAAATATTCTTAAGATGTTTGGCTACAGGGGCACAGAAACTTCTCAATCATGCAATCGTGGTAACGTGGCTGCTCGCGTGAAAAATGGTAGGGCTATTAAAAAATTGGGAAGCTTGCTATAAAATTACAATGGCGTGTTTCTCCTAAAATTGCGGTGAAATTCGCATGTTTGTATAGAATGGCGGTAAAATTCTTGCGTGTTCTATGCAAAATTGCCGGAATTTTCAAACAATAGACGATTCAATGGTCCTAGTTTTAAAAATGTTATCGAAAAGGAGATTTCGAAAATGGAAAGGCTAAGAAATTTCTGCACCCCTGTTAAGCCATGTAAATTGTTTTAACTTTATTCCAGAATTAGGTAATTACTTAATCATGAAATTCGCAATTGATGTTTTTGTTTTATCCTTTTCCTGATCTACTTTTCAAGCGAGGAAGAAATGAAGGAAGAGTCACCTAACAATACCAAAGGAAATCGGCAATCAGTTTTTGCATTTTTTGCTAATCCAATTTTAAAATGAATTTCCAGGGCCCAAACTTTTCATACCTAAAATTAAAACTCAGAAACGACCAAATGTTTCATATAATTGGAAATATTTTACACTGCTTCAGCCCATAGATATTTATCAATCAGTTTAATTGAAGTCTTGAAAATGTTTTGGCTTGTTTTTTCATCAAATTTTAGGCTCAGGTAATTCTTACGTATCTCGAAAGTGGATCTAATACCTTTCACTCACTTTTTCAAGTAAATTAAATTTGAAGCAATTTTCACTTCTCATCGTCCTTAATGGCAAATTGCCTTTACTATAGTTGCGAATAGTTGTATTTGTCTTCCCTCCCCCAAATCTTTGCATTTTCTTACAAGAGGGACTAACAGTTTTCACTTTGTACCTAAAGCCACAGTTGTATAAAAGCGTTTGAACCATATACATATATATTTTTAAAGAATCCTCAATCCTTTGGCTTCTACATTCCATCCATTTCTTTCTGTTATCACTCGTTAACTTTTCGAAGCATTTCTCACTTACAGACACTGAGAGTATGTAAATATATTAACACGACTCCAGAGAAACCTCCTTTAAATTATTTTCTTGTTTCCTTTTGTTTCATTGTGCGCTCACTCTCTTCAGATTTCATTTTTTATTTCTCAGTTTATTTCACTTTTAGTCATGAAAGTATGACTTAATTTGTTGCAGTAATGAACTCATTACCTGAGTCAAAAAGCCAGGTTTTTTCGTTTCTTCTAGCGATTATTTAGTATAGACTCATCCTTGAGGATATGTCTTCAGCTGAGGTAAACATGCATTTATTAAATTTATCATGTACATTTAGTATTTATTCTTTTATTTCAGTTCATTTTGAACGTTAAAAATTATTGTTTCCTTCTTTTATTTTTTCTTATTTTTATTATTCAGAACTCTTTCTAACTCATTTGATCCTTGACTGCCTCAGCCATTTTCACACTTTTGCTGCGCCTGTTTAGTTTATAATCACTATCAAATTACATACCTCTTACTATGAATTATCGTACTTTTATAATATATTCTAAGTAGGTAATGCACGCCTAAGTATACTTGTTTCTGGGTTTCTTTAAGTCGCAAATTTGCTGCGAAAATTTAATGTCTTGTGATTCTATCTTCATTTTTCCTTATATCCGTTTAAGTAATGGTGATATTCTTCATTGTCAGTTTTATTTCTATTTCCACAAATTAAATGCCTCTTAAGCCCTACTGAGTTATATATTTATTCTATATTTTTTTTCTTTTTCTTCTTCTCCTGCAACTGCAAGTAGATTATGAAATGAAAAGCAGTTTTCTCCTAATTAGTGGCTTTGTCTGTATTTTTGATGTTTCATGACTTGGAATATTCGTATGACTTGACCTTTTAAAATCATTCTGACTTATATTATTCCACGGAGCTAAAATAATATGGCATATCATCATACTGAAGCTGAAATTTATTTCTGGAATTATTCCTCCAAGGATGCATTCGTCCGAAAAAGCCCGTAAATTTGTATCTCTTTAATTTGTTCTGTATTTGAAAAAAATTTAGATAAAACAGACTCAATTATTCAATCTACTCCTCATACCTACTTGAAAAATATCAATTGTTCTAACTTTTAACGTGATAAAAATGAACTCTTTTCAATTTTAATTCAGTAAATTTATTTTTCAAAATTCCTCATACTTATTAGAAACTACTCATGTGTATTTATTAATTTTTTATCATTTTTTTAGTACGTGCAAGATTCATCTTTTGATGTAAAAAATTCTTTTGAATTTATGAAACCGGCTGGTTCCAATCTATTTTTTGTCAATAACTCTAACAGCACTACTATTTTGTGATAGCCGTTAAAAGATTTCGTCTACTAAAAAAATCAAAACAATCAATCATTACTTTAAATTTTGTAGGTTAAACTCGAGCATAAATTTAAAACCTACAGGTTTTTTTTTTATCTTCAATTACATTGTAAAAATGTCAAGAGATTAAATTTTGTTTAAACTACGGGCTTTTTCTTCTTCGACCAAGAATTGTGATCCTACCTCGTGAACCCACAATCAAGAGACTTCTGTTTGGATTCTTCAGTCAATAATTACTCCTCCTCAAATCAACCACCTAACTATTTTTCCTTTGAGTAAAGTGAAAGGATTCCTCAAAATAATGTTGCTTTGTCAATTATCCTTATTCATTATCAAATCACCTGCCTTGAGAGCGCAGAAAATCGGCTCCCAAAGATAATCTCTAGTTGACTTTCTGTCATATTCTATGTAAAGCTCTAAAATTTTGTTCAAAATCTCATGGCGAAAAATTTTGCATTTTCACCTTTTATTTCCTTGTCTTATGTAGTTATAACTATAGACAAGTAGCTGTCTCCTGATAATTAAGTGTTTTCTCTCTTTCCTATAATTTTCAACTTTCTAGTTTATAACTCTACTTTTCTTACAAGTATTTAAATTGAACATTTTCTCCATTTTTATAGAATTATCTTTGTTCGCCTTTACTAGTCCTAGAATTTAATTTTTCTGAATGTCAAAGCACCAGTGAACTTTTCTCTTTACCTCTCAGCCGTCAAAAAAATTAACGAACAGGAGTTCGTGTATCAACAATTTTCTGTCTCCTCAGCACATTATTTACTAAAACAAATTCATCCAAATAGCTTTGCTCAAACTTTGAGTTTATTGAACCACCACTTCGTATGATTCAGGAGTCTAATTATTAATTTATTCATCAGTATTTTGTAATTGCCATTAAGAGAGTGAATTTCTATCACAAGAAAGACTGTCCCCTCTAAAAAAGCATTCTATGTCACTTTTCATACTCAAGTCAATCTTTCTAAAAAAAATTATTTAGATTCTTTTATTTATTCTTACAATAATATCTTCATTCTATTGAAGTATTGCATTTTATTTCTCTTGTCAATAATTCATTATAATCAATCAGAGTTTAAGTTAAACACATTTTTAGAGGTACTTTGGATTGGTATGATGAAAAATTTTGTTAAATCAGATTTCCCTTTTTAATTAATTCAAATATGTAGCTTTTTTCCTACTCTGTATGCCTCATCATATTTCTATTTAATGACGCAAAATGCAAAGTTTCCAATAATTTTTCCTCGAAGACTTCATTCATATGTGAAGCATCCTTTAATTCTCAAAATTTTTAATCCTAAGTTTTAAGATGATGGCTAACTTATTTGTGGGAACCTTCTAAGAAGGTCCATTGGTCCATTCAAGAAATTTTCTATCTTACTTCCTCTTTTTTTTCTGTCATATTCACTTCTTGTTTTTTAAATCTAATTTTTCTGTTTTCATTTGTTCAGGGTGATGATCCTCCATTTTTACCTGTTGGTACTGAAGTCAGTGCCAAATACCGAGGAGCATTTTGTGAAGCCAAAATATCCAAAGTCGTCAGGAGCGTCAAATACAAGGTAAACAGTTTAATTAGTACTAAGTGGCTGTAAACCTGCAGGCTGATTATTTTCCGCATCGATATCCGAGTCGATAAGTTAGCGACTCACGGATAACGACTGAATTCTAACGACGTCCTTTAGCCGAGTGATTATTTACATCGAATTCCGCTGATCGTTACTCATCGTTCGATAACTTAGCGTCGTTAAGTTAGCGATCTGGATCCCAATGTTGCCGACGTGAGAGATAATAATCAACCAATCAGAGAGCGTTTATGATACGAGCAGCGCTCCAACTGCGCGGCAGCGTAAGTTGAAAACAACACATCTCTTTTCTTGACGTCACGCGGGTATGTTTTTAGGTTAGGGTAGCATGCCGCCAATCGTTAGCTTAGAGGTTGCCGTAGAGCAACCTTTAACTTATCGACGGACTCAAATATCCCGCCACGGTTTAATGATCGGCGCGGAGTGAAATAATCGTTCGATTATACTTTTGCCGCTAACGATGGCGTTAATGTAACGATTTCAATATCGACGCGGAAAATAATCAGCCTGCTGGAATGTTAGGAAATTTGAAGAAACCTAGAAAAATCTGGGATTATTAGGGAAAATAGTAAGAAGTTGGGGAATACAAATGTGAAAGCACATGTGGTAATCATTAAAGAAAATAATTGATGCTCTTTTCGTTTACAAGGCAAACTATCTTATTGATAGCTTTGCCTGATTTCCACTTTTTTCCTTCATTACCGACGATTAGGGGGCAATTTAAGGGTCAGGAAAAATTTAGAGGTCCAAAATTTTTTCATTGTCTCAAACAGTGGAGGAATTTCCATCGAAGGTTCAGGGAATTTTTAGTTTCAAGAATTTCCGTCTTGTCACAAAGTCAGGGGAATTTTTTAGAGGAGTCAGGAAATTTGAAGATCCGAAAATTTTTGCCGCCCTGTAGTACTAGTAACCATTTAAATAATTATATTTCACTTAAGTTAGGATTAGAATAGTTAACCAGAAGATTGTGATAAGACACTATTCAAACTCAGTTTTAACTTTATCTCAAAACTTAAAGTGGCATTTGGTGAGGAAACTCATTATTTAGACGGAAAAAAATTGTCGAAAAATGAAACAGGCAATTTCATTTGGAGAAAAATCAAAATAGGTATCCAGGCTTCACCAACTTTCAGGCACAACGATTGGTGCAGTACTTATTTTTAGGCGTATATATCCCCATAGAGTTAGAATGATGGATTCAGTATGTTTTGGTTCTTTTTTTAAGTGTTTAAATCTGTCAGGCCGATGATTATGTTGTTAAAGGATATTGGGAGCTCATCCTCTCCTCCGGCGTTTTGGCATTTTACTCATGCTTGCAATTCTCATTGTTTCCTTGGCCAACCAAATTAGCTCCTTTTAGATTTGTGCCATCTCTGACACAAGTTACCATCTTCCCATTAGTGAGTGTTAGTTAAGAGCCTTAAGTGCCAAAATGAAGTTTTAAGAACATGAGCTTAGTAGCACCTAAGCAGAAAATTTTATTGAAAGAAGCCTCTGTTCTTTGTAAAATTACCACCAATCATCCAGAAGACTCTTAAAAATCATATGGATGATTGAAATTCGACAATTTTTTTTTTTTTTTTTCAAGCATGTAAAAAGTGCCTTTTTCATTTTCATGGTAGGCAAAACAGTAATTAGTGTCATCTTCTGCATGCTTTTGTGGTTGCGTTTTGAACATACATCAACCAAATTTGATGGTTAGAAATTGGTAGGAAAAGGCACCATTATACTCAATAATGAGTTCAGCTTTCTGGCATAGTAGTAACTCCGTTGTTCTCTAATCTAATCTGTTGTTTTGTGTGCAACAATGTCGATTTTTGCAGACCTAAGGCTTTCTCCTAGGTCTCGTTTTTCTACTAATAAGACAAATTTTGCTATCTTAGTTGAATTAGTGAATTCAGCCTTATTAGATTAGACGTGTTTAGAAAGAAATTTAACTTCAAAAACAGGGGTATTGCTCTCTTTGGCAACACAGCAGCATCAGTGGTTTAGTGTAACCTTGAATTGTAAATTTCTCTGTAGCTGAAGTATTGTCAAAAATTATTCCAACTTGATGAAGTGGATGAATTTTCAAGAATGAGATTCATATTTATGTTTCATTCAACCTGCTGAGCCAATCGATATGATTTCACTCAAGTGGAAAGTTTACATAAGTTGAAATCTATGAAAAAGAAAAAAAAGAAGAAAAAAAAAAAAATAGACTCAGGGCTTCTTTTCGAATGTTGTCTAATTTTATCTCACATCTTTCCAGGTGGTTGGTAAATCAGGAACAGGAGCCACTTTTGTCCCTGAAGAAAGGATCCGAGGGAACATCAGGGTAAGTATTATAAATAATTGCATTGTCAGTACTGTTCATGGCAACAGGAATTACTCAAGGAATTCATCTTACAATTTCAGAATGTTCATTTTAAGAATCAGCTCAGCTCAGTTTTTTGCCCTAATGTATGAAAATACTTTTGCACCTTGTGTGTGGCCTGCCAAACTATTTCCCAACAAGTCACTCTTCACCCTGAGGATCGCAAGCGTCATTTGTGCGAAGGCAGTATGTTGCCAAAATTTTCCAATTTTCTTATGGAAAAACCAATGAATAGAATCACTTGAAAGTTTTACCAAATTTTGGTCTTTGGTCATTAGTATTTGTATTATTCTCTAAACTTTTAATGAAAGTACATGAAAAGTCCTAAAGAAACAATTAAAACTCTATTGACATGTATGAATGTTCGGCAACATAGCGTCTGAGCCTAAATGGCGCTTGTGATACTTTGGCTGGAATGTGACAATATCCATTACTTAGACTCCTGCGTGACTGAACTTTTCATCTAGCTCAGCACAGATTCATATTCCTCTATTGACCTCAAATATTTTTGTGCACATTGCTACACCTAAAAGAACCAATGGACCACTAGACAAGGTACGAATTTAAGCAATCTGATACTAGTTTCTTAAGCAGAATTTCACGTAGAACCCGATTCACACAAGGAAAATTACAGAAACCAACTCCTAACGAAGATATTAACGTTTTTTTTCACATTGGTTACGAGGAATTTGAACTGCCCACTCACAAGAAACTCAAAGCTCTACAAGAGTCAAATCACGCACTACAACGGTTTCAATCTTCTCAATCGAACAATGTTCATTTCCCACCATCTGTTGATCAAACTGTAAGCAATTTTCTATAGCTGAGCCAAAGCGTCAAGATTGAGGTTGCCAGATTTTTATATCGCAGAGACTGTCATAATAAACGTTTAGCGTGCGATGTGAATCACGCAGAGCATTGAGTTTTCATGAGTGGGTGGTTTGAATTCACGCATCAAGAATTATTGAATATCTTTGTACGGAGTTGATTGTAGTAATTTTCGTTGTGCACATCGTGTTTTATGTGAAATTTTTGTTAAGAAGCATGTATCAGAATGCTGAAATTTGTACCTTGTCTAGTGGTCCACTCCAGGAGGTACAAGTTCAAAATCCTGACTTTCATTTCAAAAGCTGCACCACTGCTACTATTTACGACCGTCATATTCAGTTGATTCATTTATTTATACACGGATTTAAAGATCAATCTTAGAATAGAGGTTGAATTTTTCAAATACTTTTTTTTCTTTTATGCAGCAAAGATATTTACTTCAGATTTTTACTATTTTTGATGTCTCAGACATATGAGCTATTTATTTGACCAGCACAACAGCAACTCTACAATGCATAAATAAATTGCAAGATACTTTAGACCATTCTTTATAGGCTGACCAATCCTAAAATTAGTTTCTCTGTTAGATTTCACAAACTTTAACGGAACAAAGCTCCTCAACCTCTTACTGAAGTTCAAATAGTCTAATTACCAGAGAATTATCTAATTGTGTCTAGTTTCCAGTCCTTGTTAATGTGGTAAATGCCTAATTTGTATGGTTTTTGTTTTTGTTTCAGTTGGGAGGTTTTGTTGAGGTGAAGAATGATAAAAGTCAGTACATTGAATGCTCTATCGTGAAGATCAAAGATTTGAGCCAGTACACAGTTGTGTTCAATGATGGAGACATAGCAACCCTTAGAAGAACCGCACTATGTCTGAAGTCAGGGCGGCATTTTGCGGAGAGTGAAACTTTGGACCAGCTCCCTCTGACTCATCCAGAGCACTTCAGTACACCGGTCATCAGCTCCAGCAGTGCAAGCAATGCAGCGAGAAGAGGTCGAAGGAATAGAATGTAAGCTCTAATAGAATAGTATTTTAAGTTTAGTAGCTCTAATAATATTTATTTACAACTGTCAAAGTTGGTTGTTTTCTCGTGTGTTTTCTCCATTTAGTAGTAACAGACCGTATTCGATAATGGTTCAATGTATCGTTTGGTTCAAAACAAGAGAACATAACCTCAAACCAAACTGTAAGGAATTAAGTTGGAAAAGCTAAAAACGAGAAATTTCCTGACAATTTCACTTTGCATTGGCATTTGGTGCTGAAAAGAATAAAAAATCTGTCACAGAAGACCCGTTCTCTCAGATTTCTGAATTTATTTTTGAGGCTATGTTTATGTTTTGAACCAACTGATATCGATACAATCTTACCCATTTGATGTACTAAATACGATCTACATATGTGGAAGCACATGTTGGCAGGGAATGTGTCAAATGCTGATAATTTATGTCTTGATTGATAGTTTCTCATTCAAGAGTATTTGAAAATAAATTTTTGTTTTAATCAATATCTGTTTGAATTTTTAGGGATGATGAAAGTGACGATGAAGAATTAGTAACAAGCAAAACCAAGCAATCCAAGAGCAAGCAGGAAAAGGAAGCAGACATCGGGAAAGTGGTTTGTGTTGAGCTGTCTGACAATCGAAAGAAACTTTCTAGGGATAACTGGTTTCCAGGTAATAGCTTAATTTCATCTTTTTCTTTTCTTTTCTCTTTTTTCTGTGCTTATAGTGACAACTTATTGCTCAACAAGAAATCAAGATCAGATCGAGGTTGGACAGTATATCTAATTTAATACTTAGCCTATCCAGGATTTTTGTTGTAAGATCCATAAACAGAGTTAAGAAAAATTGCTGAATTCTTAGCAAATCCGCTCGGTTCCTTAGTGTAATTTTATTTATTTATTTATTTTTTTAATAGCTCCGAGTGTCAGACCTATGAACTTTGGTTCACTCCATTTATCACATGTTTCAATGCTTCAGGCCTTAGGGGAATTTTACCCTATTCACGAAGTAACACTTATTTTACTATGTGCCTAGCCGTATGAGCAACCAGGAGGGTAACAGAATACTCCTGAATGATCCTTAGAACAATATCTGTAGCATTGTCCATTGGGCAGTCGAACAAACACAGCTGAAACAATTTTCTATCCACCATGCGAGTTAATAATTGAAATACACATGAATAATTGCCTAGCAGCTGCGTTCATTAACTTGTGCATGCATAGTTGTCCCAGGACAGCGCTTGACCAGTATTCTTGTCTAGGTACATAGTTGGGATAATAAGTGAAAGGATCCGTGAAGAATTCACAAAAATTCATTTTTTAATCTATTTTGTTCATCACATACATTGTGTCAAGCCAAGAGTGGTTAGTAAGTATAACAGTAGATTTTACTCTAATAAAATATTTATCACTGATGTTGATAGAGGTTAGGAGAAATAATAATAATTGAAAAAGGAATGTTTTGCCATGTTGGCCATTTTGAATGAATTGTGATCTACCTAAAAACTCAAATCTGTTATCTTTTTACAGGGTTAATTGTTTCGCCAACTGCTCAGAACACTGCTGTGAAGATTCAAGTAAAAAATGAGTATTTAATACGGTCTTTCAAAGATGGACGATACTACACAGTACCCAAAAAAGAGACGCAAGAATTCACCCGAGATATAGCCAACAGAGTTGAAAATGCCTCATTAAAAACTGGTAAGTCTAATTCTCCTCCATCATTGTGAAGTGGTATTTGAAGTGATACGAAATCATCATCCTCTTTGTTTTTCTTAGGGGGTCACCTCCTGTAATTTGCATTGTAAAAATTTTTATCCTCACTAACTAATGACAGTGTTTCTAAGTTATATATTTGTTACATGAAAATTGTAAGAATCTAGTCAAAAATTGTATAAACTTTTCCAGTCAGTCAGGGTGTCAACTGGTCCAAAAGGTCCTATCTTAGTACTGTTTTTTTAGAGGTGGTCTAGAAGTACTGGAAAAAAAAAAACGAGGAGCTCTGCAAATAGGTTCGGAATTTTTCGTTTCATACCAAGCGTATTTTTTGAGACAGCCTGGAAAGTTTGCAATCCCTTATGCATTGATTCTCAGTGCAAGATTTGCCTGCTAGATCGCGATCGTGCAGGCAGTGTATCTTCAGCTCACCAATGAGCTTCGCATTTTGTGGCGACATAATTATTGTTCCAATTTGAAGGTGAATTTTGAATTTTGCAAATTTCATCACATGAAAGTACGGGATAAGTTACTGAATTTTTTTTGGCAAGGTTGTCCTGAATATTATGGAAAAGCATTGAAAAAGTGCTGCAGAAGTACTGATTTTTTTTCCAGTTAGTTTCAGTAGACACCCTGGATAATCTAGCTGCTTGATATAGTTTGAAGAAAAACAGTTCCAAAAAGAAATACATAAGTTACGGAATACGAAATAGCGCCATGACAGGTGTTAAAATAATGTTACAAAAATTTCTTAAAAAATGGTATCACTTCTTTAGAATCTTTTTATGCTATAATTTATTGTTTTGCTCAATATCTAAATGGTTCTTATTATGGCTCTTTATTATTTTCTTTCTCTTTCAGCTGTAGAAAAAGCATTGTTATTCTTGGACAAGGATGAATTACCACCTCATTGGGATAGAGAATTACTATTTGGACTTGGAGATCCAGGATCATCTGACTCTGACAACGGTTTTGAATCGGATGTAAGTCGACTTGCCAATGGTTTTATGGGCTGAATATGTCACGTCACATTATCTCATGTTGATATTTAACATCAGTGCTTTCATTATTAAGACTTTATTTGGCAGATGATGGAACTTGCCTACTCTTTTATTGTCGTAAGGGCGTATCTCAATTTCTACTTAAGCCCTGTATCACATATGAATTTGTGCTTTCTGGGTCTCATGTGGAAATCAAGGTAAACCAGTACGCCAGAGGAGTAACGTTATGAGTATTGTAACTAGCCTGAAACTTCTCAATTTATCAGTATTTTTTTCTATTGCAGTACAGTGAAACCTCGGTAACTCGGTTTCCATCGGGACCGAGGAAATTTACCGAGTTAAGCGGGTTACCGACTTAGGCAGACTGCCACTTTTCCTGCCGCGCTTTTTCAAATTTCGCGCCCTGAATTGGACAAACGCAAACGTGCGTGTAGAGTGACTCATAGGAGTGTTTTGGAGAGCCATTTGATCGAAGAAAATGGTACTAAATGGTAAAATTTCATGAAATGCGCTTGAAATTGCGTTTTGAAAGTGTCAGGGCATCATGAAGTCATCGGGTTAATCGTATGTTGGGGTGCCGCGGCACCCCATCGCGTATCACCCCCCGCGCACCCCACGCGGCATGCCGCGCGGTGATGCGCCGCGGCCGCCCGCTATGGCGGGTCGTTGCACTGAAAATGCAACGTATCAATACTCGCTAAAATCCCCGAAAAACTCTGCGGAAGATTCCTGGGGGGAGCGGGGAAGGGCAATGCAAGATGGTAGGGGGAGAGGGGCCGGTGCCGACTGCGACTGGACCTGTCAACTCATCGATGTGTGAAATTGCTTAATTATGCATGCGTGTTTTCACACGCGCGATAAGATAACGCGCGGTATCAGATATCCTATTCTCTACTGTTCTCATCTTTCGTGTTGTTATCGAGTGTTTTTGATTCCTTATCTCTCTATTTCCGATGTCGTTTCTCGCACTGCACTGCGCTCTCTCGGAGATTCGCTCACCCTTCGTGGTGTAACTTGACCCGACCCGCACCGCGCACGGGTACCTACGCTTGATCACGGGTGACGATCGAAGAAAAAAAGGTCGAGATGGAAAAATTTCACCGAGTTAAGCGGGTTCAGAATCTGACCAAACCGAGATACCGAGACTTATTTAGCATTGTGTTATATGGGTGATAAACGGGACCGGGCGATTCTACCGACTAAAGCGGGTTACCGGCTTATCCGGGAACCGACTTACCGAGGTTTCACTGTAATATCATCATGTTTGGTAATATCAACCAACTCAACCAATTTTATCTACTCCTTTTTCTTCATTCAATCACTGTTATGTGATTTTGACAGTCATCAATGAAATCATGAATATGTAGCATTAATCTAGAATTTAAGGGCAGCAGACTCATTCAGGAATGTACCCAAGGGTTTCTGGCAATCTGAAAAACCTAGAAAGTCAGAGAATCATTGACAACCTGGGAAAATCATGGAATTTCGCGATTAGAGTTTAGTAGAAGTGAGTGTAGTCGGAAGGAAAAGATTCCAAGTGGAAATTTTTTTCAAACGTCAGGTGAAGTCAGGGAATTAGAGAATTTCAGAGTCAGGGAAAAGCCATGGAAAGTTGGGAAATCAGAAAGTAAAGACATTTTGGAAACCCTGTACTTGCTGATAGCTGTAGAGACTGACTCTGGAATATTTCCAGTGCTTCAATTAGTAGCCTTTTTGTCACAGAGTGATAAAATAGTTATTTTAAATCAAGCAGTGGTGCTATATTTAAAAAAACAACAACAACAACCTAGTACGTTTAGAGATTTGGACAGGTCTGATGAGTATTTTTGTCTAATCAAACCATTTTTCTTGTTAATGGTCATTGCATTCGTGTTTTACCACAACTCATGGCAAAAAATGACAGTTTGAAGAGGGAGAGTTTTTATAAAAAATGACATTTAAAAATAAAACCTCAAGATAACACGTCCTTGATAATTCTTGCTCAGAGAAATTCAAGTTATAGTGAGAAATATTATTTTATTATTTTGAATTACCTCATTTCAGAGTTCCGATGATGAGCCTAGAGAGGAAAAGGACCATTTTGTTGCGCAGCTGTATAAATTTATGGATGATCGAGGCACCCCTATCAACAAGGGACCTCAAGTCAATTTTAAAGATGTAGATCTATACAAATTATTCAAGGTAAGCTCCTTTCATTGCTAATTTTTCTATTGTGGTTAAAAAAAGTCTCACAAATTTCCCCTGTTATAATCTGTTTCGCACTCTTGCATTATTTAACAAGCTGAGAGTAGAATGGTAATAATTTTTTAATGACAAAACAAACTAAAATATTTCCTCAAAATTCTCCGAGACTCATTTTGAATGAGCAAAGAAAACCGGTCCAGAACTTAAAAAAAGGTTCAATAGTTTTCTTCTAAGGAAGTAAAACATGAATTGAGACTTGCAATGTTGCAATCAAAGATACATAGTTTTAGTGTATTTGCTAGAGGAAATACTGTATTGCGTCTTTTACCTCAGAAATGGATGTAATATGTTCATTTACGTTTGACTGAAATTTTCAAGCCCTTAGCTCGTAGTACGGAACAATCCTTATGAGAATAAAAGAATTAAAAGGAGGCATGACCTATCTTTATTACATAGGGTGTCCCAAAAGTACTGCCCCTTTTGTCCCAGAAGGCGAAAGAAAGCAGATATCAAAATGCGGTTTGTGTGAGGTTATAGTCCTAGTAATTACCTATAAAACAAGACCAAGTTGAGCTCTGTAGCTTAAAATTTGACCGAGATACAGCATTTTGAAAATGACGTGTCAAGGTGGCGCCTACAGGATTTTCAACATTTTTTACGGACGAACCCCAGGACGAACAGACACGACGCATCTGCAGGTGGTCCTTTAAGATCCGGTGCAATGAACTTTTTGAGATGTCAAGCAACACCTGAAACTTACGCAAGGATAAATGACGGTCTCCTCGAACAAGACCAGCAACGGTGCCGATTAATTCGTCTGTGGTGGAGGTAGACGGTCGGCCCGGTTTCGCGAGACTTTCCGCCGATTCGCGGCCGCCAGAAAAAGATTTAAACCAACGACCAATGCTACTTCTGTCCAAACAGTCGCCTTTATACACGCCTTTCATTTCATTAAAAGTGTCTTTTACTGGCATTCCTCGACAAAAAAAATAACGAATAACGTGGTGTTGTTCTTTTCTTAATTCGGTACTCATCGCGAAAGAAACTTCCAAAACAACAGAGGGATGAACTCTGACTGACGTGACGGGAAAGCTTGACCAACTTGGATATGGCACTAGCGGATACGTTCAATCTTGTCGTTGGTCTGCGTAGGGGCGCTTACACGTTGCCAAATGCCGCCTAAAACACAGTGTTGCCATATGTTTCTGGCCGCTTCTTTTTCTTTTTAAAACCGTTTCATTCTTAAACTTGGTTTTTTCTTTCGTAAAAAATGTTGAAAATCCTGTAGGCGCCACCTTGACACGTCATTTTCAAAATGCTGTATCTCGGTCAAATTTTAAGCTACAGAGCTCAACTTGGTCTTGTTTTATAGGTAATTACTAGGACTATAACCTCACACAAACCGCATTTTGATATCTACATTCTTTCGCCCTCTGCGGAAAAAGGGGCAGTACTTTTGGGACACCCTATGTAGTTTATGATCGGGTGCCAACACTCAGGTAAAACATGCTTCCACCTACTTAGATCTCTCCCGGTTTCTGTACGGAAGTACTGAAAGTAGAAAAATTGTTCCAGTCTGTGATGGAATGCGTTAGTGATGCCATTTCTTTATTCGTTTAGACCTACGTAAATGCTTGAACTTTTTCTTTCAGCTCAAACTTAAATTGATATGGGACGGGGAAAGTCTCCTCCTCTCCCCCCCCCCCCCCCCCCNATTTCACCATGTTTTGAAAAGTCATGTGTACTATGTCTTGCGAAATTCAGGAAATTGAAGTCCTGTTCTGCCCTCAGGAACCTGACTAAGATCCAAGTTTTGATTTACCATCTTCAGGGTCGAAAATTGTCGCTCTAAAACGCAATATTTAGTTCTTTTTCAACACAAAAATAAACCAAATCGTTTGCTCTTGATATGTATTAATCCACCCTTTTTAGAGACCACTGGTTGGCCGTATTAATCGTAGATTTTTTCAGCACAAGTAGACTTTGATTATTTTCTTGATTCTTTGTTTTCAGGTTGTTCATAAGTTAGGTGGTTACAATAGGGTTACTAACCACAACCAGTGGAAACTTGTATCCCTCAAATTAGGTTTCAGCCAAACAGGAGCTACTCCGAACCATGTCAAATCAACTTACAAAAAGTAAGTATTTTTTTGTTTCTGCCAGAAGCAAGCTAATTTTACTAGAGATCCATATCAAATCAAATTATTAATGTTTCAGTGAGAATTATACTCCACTTTGACACAGGGGCCGTATGACACCAAAAAGTCTTGGTGGCTAACATACTTGAATACAGCTAAACACAGTATGCATGTCATTTTTCTCATTGTGTTTGTCTTCAAAGGTTCAGTTACACGATCAAACTGAGCCATCAAACTGAAGCTCTGATTGGTGGAAAAAGACCTGAGGTGAGGATGCGACCAATGAGAGGCCCAATTTGATGGCTCAATTTGATCGTGTAACTGAACCACAACTCTTCGGCTGTTGTCAACTTTTTCACTACTGCGCAGTTGTGAATGATAATTTCTCTGCGTATGTGTGGGCTTTTAAGTTCCATCGTTCCCTTGAAGAGTAAAGGAAGAAATTTTTTTAACTCCTACTCCGTATTTAACGCAGTGACAGATAGGGTGGCATTGCAATTTTTTGGAAAATGAGAGAGTCGAGTGTGCTGCTTCATCCAAACTGATGCTAATTATAGTTCGGGAATAAAAATCCAACATACTGTTCTTTCCCAGCCAATTGCGTAGCTTATCCTCTGCTGATCTACCAAACAATCAGGAAATTTCTGATATCTATTATGTATTCCACAATCGTTGAACTTGCGAAACTCTTTGCAATTGGAGCAAGTGATAAGAGCCACCAGAAAGGCAGCTGTTGATTTATCACCCCATAAGATTGTAAATTATCACCTTTCTGATTAGAGACTGCTGGGAAATCAGGAGCTCGAGACTGAAACAGGCATTATGGGACGTTTACCAACGAGAGTCAAATGAGAGTAGAGCATTCAGTTTGATGTTGATTGCCTCAGGGACAATGGGTCAGTTCGTAGGTCATCCATTTTTTAATTGATTTTCTGTAAGTCCAGATAGAATTAAGCCCCTCAAAATTTGTTCGGATTTTTCAAACCATAAATCACATAGAAACTTTGAGTTGATAAAACCTAAAAAATGAGACCTGTTTGAAACAATATCTGCGAAAGACTCTGATGATATAGCAAAGTAAGGGAAACGGCATCTACTGATTGGCAGAAATCAGTCCCAGTTATCACCTTTTTACGTCCACTCACCTGTCGGCTTTTAATTTGTCTGATTTGTATCAGCTTTTTCTATCTCTCAAAATGCCTTTTTGTACTTTTTAATGATTTTTTTTGGTTTTTTCACAAAATTTTATGGTTACGAACGTAGTTCAAGCCAGCAAAAATTCCTTGCCACTGCCCTTTTGCTTGCTCTTCCGTGTGAGCTAGCAAGTGCATGGATGGCTTCATTGACAAACTTGAAGATGTCTCAGTCCCACTCGGGATTTTTAGCTTATGGGTGAACTAAATGCCCTTTTTGATTAAATTGTTTCCTCCAAACAAGATTTTTAAAAATGTTATTCATTTTAACTAGTCCTGATTATATTCGTGGTTTTTCATTATTTATACCGTCAGTAGTGGAAGAAAAATAGTTTTTAATCCGATCTACATCTGGTAGGATACTGTTCAGCAGTATTGTGTGATACCTTAGTTTAAGTATAATTGTCAGTAATTTTAAAAGGCTTCGGTCATAAACTATTTTATCATCTCTCCGGGCAGAATTAGATATTCAATTTAACCCTGACAAATGTTATTTTTCAGATACTTACATAGTTTTGAAGATTTCTACCGTAAACTAGGTTGCACTTTGCTCAGTAATCCAAGGAGTAATAGGAGCCGAAGTAGAAGTGGTCGTAGTTTGATTCGTGACAAAGACAGATCAACTCCCATTCAGAGGGTAAGTTCCTCTTTTCTTCCGTAGCTAGAACAATTTATGTCAACTTTTATTCCACCTTAGTGGAACAAATGCATCATGTGTTGGTCTAAAGGTCATTCAATATCATTTTTTATAAGATGCAAAAAAGTATTGATTAACCTTAAAACAAGCTAAAGGAGTGATATTTTTGTCAACATTCGATGTGCAGATCCAATTGCATCACCAAAGAGATCATTCTTGCTAATATTATATCTTGTGTCCAAGTTTTGAGTCCCAATTTTTGAAGTTGACACATTACAAATGATTATTAGAGTAAGGAAGAAATTTTTAAAATTCCTTTGATTCTTTCCTGGATTCTTTTAAAAACTACATTTATAGACAGTGTTCCATAATCAAAGTGCCGCCCAGGATAGTACAGTGCACACCTCTCATTTTTGAAAGGGGAAGGGGTAAAAATAACAGGTTATTTTTTTCAGTGAGAAGAAAAACATAAATGAGCAGGCTCAAGGCATGAGCAGAGACATGGGTTTGAGCTTTGAAAGGAGCAGAGATAAAAGTAAACTGAGGACCTTCAATGGTTTTGCCTCAGCTGCAGCAATGTCAACATCAAACTTGGGCAGGACCTGATTTTGATTGAAATGAACAAGAACAAACGAGCAGATAGAACCTCCAAACTTACTGCAGGACTTTTGCTCAAGACATTAAAGGAAGTGACCTACTCAAGTTTCATTTAAGTCAACCAAAAGAGAATTCGCATTAGGAGTTTTTGGCCTTCCTCGTATCAATCACTCTTTACTTTGGTTAATACATTCTTTTGGAAGAATCGAGAGATTCAGTCTGTAAAATTAGGGAATCCATTGAATTACTGCATAATTAATTGAAAGTTTTATCATAGGTCTGAGGCAAGTGTCTCATAGATTAAGTAGCTGTGGCAAGTATCATAAAGTTTTTTTAAATAGATTATCTTTCTAAGGACATAACATTTTCATTCATCAGTTTTATCAGAGATGGATGGAAAAAAGATTCTTCTGCGTACTTTCCTATTAGCGGCTTTAATGTTTAATCAGACGAGTCCATCATTATCAGGTGCAAAAATGTTCTCTTCGGTGATTTTAAGTCAGCCCAACGGTTGATTCCACAGTTTGTCTCTTCTTTTTGTATTAATATCTTCTGTTAATTTTTTTTTCTTTTGCATTTGTTTGTGTTTGTTTTAGCTGTTCATTTCAGTTCATTAATGCTCTGAACCTAATTAGCTATAATCTAAAGCTTAAGCCTGGGTTTTCTTTTTTTTTGTTCTATTGACATCATAATTTTGTTCTTTTTGAAGAGCTGCTTTACAAGTTACAACTGAGTCCAATTTGTAATGCACGTAAAGAGCATTAGAGGGAGAATTATGATGCTAACAATATCTGCAAAGCTAAAAAGCAAACTCATTAGTTTAAGCATTTCATTAGAAGCTGCGAATAAGATTCCTAATCGTTGTCAGCTAACATACGCTCTTCTCATTTCAAGGGCAGATTTTACTGCAGAGTTTAATCATTGGAAAGTATAAATCGTCTTGCAACATTTAATTATTTGTTTTTAGGATAAATCTAATGAAGACAAAGATTCAAAAGATGACTCGAGTAGTGATCGTAAAGATGAAGATAGTGATGATAAAGAAAGAGATATTGATTCCAAGCTCATCAGGGATACCCAAAGTTCTACCAAAAGCTCTATCAAAGTCAAAGAGGAGAAGTCTGAAAAATCAAAAGAAGAGAAAGGGAAGTCTGAGTTGGAAACTAAAGTGACTGACGAAGAATCAAGAAAAGAGGATAAAAAAATTCGTGCCAGCAAGAATGTTGAAGAAAAGCCAGCAAAAGCTAGTGAGAAGTTTGAAACTGATTCAAAAGTGTCCAAGAAAGATGCCTCCAAACTGTCCAAGGATGATAAGGATTTGTTGGAAGTTAAAGAGAGCAAAACCTTTAAAACTGATCGTGATAGTCGAATGTCTAAAAAACTATCAGCACTTGAAGAGTCAGTTGAGAAAAAACCGAAGTCACTTTTGGGGAAAGTTCTAATGAAGAGAAAAAATCCTAAAAGCGCTGGAAAAGGAACGGTGAAAGATCCCCTGTCCACCCTTCAGAACACAAGACAGAAAAGAACTCTAAAGGAAAATTTAAAAGCTTTCGCTAAAAAGTTAAAGTTTACCAAGTCCGGACATCAAGATATAGCAAAAATCCTTGAAGAGGAAAGCGATGGTACGCTAAGTGCTGGCCAGTCCCAGAAAGCGTCCGATTCAGATACATCTAGCAAAGTAAGAATTTGACTTAACTCTTTGTAAAAAGCATTCGGATGATTTTCTAATTACCGTTTTTTCACATCTTTTGCACTTGACTATTTCTCTGGGTAGAACTTGCAAGTTGTTTAGCGTGCCCAGCTTTAGATTTTTTCCCCTGGGAATTCCTTCCTCCTTGCCTTCTCAACCTGTAAATTTGCAGGAATTAGTGGTTTTTCTTCTTTTATTTTGACAGCGTGAGCATGAGTGTCCTTGTTCCTTAACATTGACGATGATAAGGCTCCTTTATTTACTGTTGTTTTTTTTTCCACCCAAATATGAGTCTCTATTTTTTTCTACCTTGAACAAGTGAACTTCTGAGGCTCGTCAGTCAGCAGAAGTAATAAATGCACAATTTTAAATCTGTGTAACACTATACAACTGTCCAGTTAGTTCTTCAATATTTCAATTACTTTTTATGATGAGGAAGTGGGAGCTTTTGTTTTTTGACCTGATACTCTTAAAATTAATGCATTTTTCATTGTGTTGAGCAATTCAAGCACCGTGAAAAATAAGGTGCATATAATGATTAGGTGTTAGGCGTATCAGTCGTGGCAGATGTGTGATTATATGCCACTAGAGAGAAAACTCTATATTCAATCAAGTAATTGTTCTATTTGCGTAGTGTTTTCATTCCAATTTTTTCTTGCAATAGCTTCAGAATCTAAGTGCACTTCAAAAAACTCCTTTGGTATATGACTGCGCCAATACTATAAATTCATCCATTGCTTTCAAGTCTCGCAGTAATAACCTTTATAGCCTTCAATAGTCTCACTAATAACCTTGTCTGCAGCTATGCTTTTGTCGTCAGTCCTTTTCTTTTTTTATGATGTTTTAACCTTGTGCGGAAATATTGTACTGAAGCGAAATGTTTCCTCAGCACCATTATTCTTTTCGTTATCTTGAAGTTTATTCATGATCTTAAGCTACCTCGCATTAATTTGACTGTCCTTAAAAGGAGTCTTGCATGGCAACATGAAATGACAGAATAATCAGTAGAGGATGCCGGCTAGTAAAGTTACTGTTTCTCTGCTCATGTTTCAAGGTAAACTGGAAATGTCCTTAAGAGTAGAGTAAAAACTTGAAGTAACAGACATTTTGAAAGTATCCTATGAATCAAGGATTTCACTTTTTTGCAATGGACTCCATGGGTCACCAAAAAATTGAGATTACAGGGAGGGAAAACAAATCAACGGTGTAAGTCGGCAATCACATCACTCGGTTTGCAACGTCGCTGACTTCCTGTCATACTTTTTTTTTCAACGGAAAACTACTCAAGAGCAATTCTGTAAAACTGCTGTAATTTTTCTTCTCTGTGCGAAGAAAATTCTGCATGAACTTCAAGGAATGATGTCAATTTGTTCTCCTTTAAAAAAATAACTTAGAGGTGGAGAGATTCAGACACCGCAAATGAGTTATTCGATTGCGGACTTACACCGTTAAAATGCTAAAAAAGTGATATCTCTGCAACCTGCGAGCCAGTTCCTAGGAACTCATAATTATTTTCATGTTGAACATATGACCTCTTCTTGCTAATCGGCTACATCTGAAGCAGTGAAAAAAAAAAGAAGGAAGTCAACCTATTAAGAACTCGTGTGATTTCTCATTGATAGAGACTCCGAAAAGAATGAGCAGTTCTTTTTCTTTGTAACAGTAATGCGAAGGTACCAGCAAGTGAAATGAGCAAATTTTGTCTGTCTCAATTCCCATTCTTTCCTCCTCCTAACTTTGTTGCGTTCACTGATTATTCTTGTAAAATTTTTTTTAATGCAACCCTGATATTTTCTTTAACATTATTTTCCCTGATTTTTGCGCTTTGTTTGTTGACTTTTCGTATCTTCTAATCCCTTGCGCTTTTTTACAGCTTGCCTTTGTTTTTCCTCGCCCTGGACTCAAGCATTTTATACTATTCTCATGTATTTAGTTTAACAGCTCTTATTTTTGCCTGTTAATCTGTGACTGTCCATCGAAAAAAGAAAACCTCAGTTCAAAATAACGCACAATGTTAGTTTTTGATATAAGTTCCCAAAGTGTGCAATGAGCATTTTGGTACAAGAAAGACTCAGAAATGTTGAATCAAGCAGGAGTTATGGCGGTCTAAAGGTTTGAACTCAATGGAACATTTTGTAGAAAAAGCTACTTAAAATTGTGATACATAATCCTTGTTGAGAATACGAAACTATCAGATGAGAGCATCTTTGTTATCTGCTACCAGGACAAAAATGAACTTGCCTACTCTCAACTTATGTTTTAGATCCATCGACAATGTTTTTCATTGAAATACCCAAATCCTCTTTTTCGACCTAATTCTCCAAAACTTGCTATACTGAAAATTTTGTCTCCTGGGACTGAGGTTCTTTTCTTTGTGGACGGTCATATCTAGATATGGTTGAGACTTGACTTTTATGACTTCCAGTAGCAACCACTCATCCAAATTTTGATCATTTCTTTTTCTATCTTTATCTTTCTGTTTGAAGATGTAATTTAATTTACAAAATATTTAACTTCGATTCAACATTGTCTTTGATTCTTTTCATTGAAAAAAATCAGTCTTCATGGGAAGTAATCAGTCTCAGAAATTAAGTCATTTTTAAGTCAATGTCTCTTCTTTTGCTGTGTCCAGATTAATTTCAAGTGTGTGTTTTAGTAATGAGTTGTACATATTGTCACGTTGTTTGTTCCCTCCAAGTGAGGAATTTCAATTTCACAGAAAGTATGTTTCTCAAGTCCGGTCAGTTTTGACCTAATTTCTCAAAGTTTGCAATGGAATCTCTTACCATCCTGCTCAGTGATTAGTCAGGTTTTTGTGCTCGAGGAAATAGGAAGTATTACAATTGATCCAAGGGTTTTAGTTTAAATATTCTATTTTATGACAGCTCTTTTGGATCCTGCGAACTTGTTTTGTTGAACAGAAATTCCCTGCAAATTGTTTACCACTAGCAAATTTTGAAGAGAAACATTGAACTGAGAGGCTTTTTTTAGCTGAGCTTGAAAAAAGTAAAAGCTTTGTGAAGCGACTTGCAGAGATCATAGTGAAAGCTCCATCAAGTAAAACATGGGAGGGGAAGATGACAGCACAGCTCAACAAAGAGATAAACTATGGGAAGATGTTGTTACAAGAGGGAAATCCTTTATATGAAATATGATCGAAGGATAGGAAAAGAGAAGTTGAATACAACCAAAATCGACGACCAGTCTAGAGCAAGGCGAAGCACCAACTGTCCTCCAAGAAAGCCTCTCGTCAGCCAATCGGCAGTCCCAAGGAGAAAGTTAAGTCACCATAGTTCCCATCTTGCAAGACGGGTGTGTGGGAAACGAAACTGTCTCAGCATGTCAATGATATTGAAATCAATTTGCAGCTTTCATTAGTTCTTCTAAGAATGCTCTCTCATCTCAGATTTTGAGAAATACACAGAAGTTCCTGTTTTCATGACCACTCCACGCACTTCAGCACGCCTTCTATTAAATACTTCATTCCTGTATTTTTTTTTTTTCAATTCTCTCATAATAACTTAGCATAGAAAAGAAGACTTCTCATTGGCTCACCTTATCCTACACTGTTTTTTTTATTTATCTTATTTTGGCTTTTTCTATTTTTATTTTATTAACTGTATTACCATCTTCACTATTGACGACCCCAATTACGATGTTGACTAAGTGCCTTTTCTCTCATTGATTCCTCAGCAGTCAACTCGATCAAAACAAAAAGATGACACAGTCCCAGTCTCAAAATCTAGGAAAATGTCTCTGTCACTATCTGCCGGGACTTCAGGTGCACCCTCTATGTTGGAGCAGACCTCATCGGAAAAGAAAACTTCTGGTGTCACCCTTGCACAATTTGAGTCAGGAAGCAATTCGTCAAGCAGCGGTTCTGTCAAGAATAAGAGAACGGAAGATGATGCGGAAAGTGTCTCCGTTGCAGCCATGTCATCATCATCTCAAAATTTGTCTTCTACATCCGAGTCTGCCAAGAGAAAAATAGGAAAGAAGAAGAAAGAAGAAGAAAAAACAGGGACCACCAGTGCCAGAGATGAGTGAGTAAATTGTCTTATCCGGAGTGTTCTTATGATTATGGTGAATCAGATATTTATTTTGATATACATTGAGTTAATTTTTTTAATACTTTCGACTTATTTTAATGCATGAAAGTTTTGAAGAAATTAAGGTTTTAAATTTTAGGAAAGCAATCTAGTCACACAGTTTTACCTGTGGACAGTTTATTTTTGTCGGAAAGGAACATAATTCATTTTTAAATTAAAGCACAGGGGTGCAAATAGTCCCAGGCTTTCACAATTTTCTGTAATGAGCCGAGTTTTTGCAAGAAGGTCCACACAATAAACTAATTAAAACTCATCAAATTTTGCATATGATTCGCAATTTTCATTCAGGTTTTTACACAGATCATATTGTTTTCAGGAAAATTTTTTGCACCAAATTTTTTAGAATTTCAGAGAGGCTTTCATTGACCAGATAATATGAAAATCAGGAACGCTTTTGGAATTAAAAACATGATTGTGCGCCAAAGAATTGGCTGGAAGATGAGAAGAAATCGATATTCATATCTAGAGCTCTAGAAACTTTTATAGTTTTTCCCAAGAAAATCTGGGGGAAGTAGGAGAAAACTTCGGTTTCTGTGTAAAGAATGAGCTTAAAATCGAGGAAAATCAGGGGAAAATCGGGGGAAAATCAGGGTATGAGCATGGTCAAGAATTCTAGACACCATGCCCAAAATTGAAGGTCAAAAATAGTTTAGCAAAGCCTTCCTCTGTTGGATTAAAGTTGTATTAACTTTCTAATTTTTTCCCTGTGTAATAATTTATTTTGTCCAGTCTTAATATTCCATCTGTTTACTTCAATTAATCTAAACATTGACCAATAATCTTTTAATGCTGTATTTATTTCAGCCTCAAAGCAGCACCAGCTTTTAAAACTGTGTCGATTGGGGATAAGTTGAAAGTCTACTACGGACCCTCCACCCAAGATTCGAAGAAAGTCACGTACGAAGCAAAAGTTTTGAATATAAAAGAAAACCGCAATGCTTCTCCAGATGAGCCATCAAAATTATATTTGGTACATTATACTGGCTGGAATACGCGTTACGATGAATGGATTCCCTTGACTCGGATCGCAGATAATCTGACAGGTCCTGCAGATGGCTCTGAAAATTCTGGCACTGACACGGTGAGTACAGCGCACTCACAATCACAAAATGAGTTTATCTTGATGTAAATATCCAATATTTCAAATATAAGACTTTTTTTCCAGATAAAAAGTAATTTTACCATCCCATACATTTGTTATTATTTTATTACCTCGTTAAATGTAAGCATTATTGGTATCTCATAATATAGATTCTTGAAATTATTCATTGATCAATCTTATCAAGTTTTCCCTCAATAATTGTAAATTATGCCACTGTATGTTAGCGCAGAAGTAAAAGTAGTCCGTTGAACCCCATATTAATAAAGTCCCTTTGATTTTTAGCATAATATTATGAAAGTTGCAATAAAATGTCGTAACAAAAGGGAAACCCTCACCAATCTTAGCTGGCAATGAGCTGTTGCCTCGCATATCAGTTCCCTTTTACCACTGTATCCAAAGGGCATACCATCTATCGTCATATCATTCAAGTTTACGAACAATAGTGTTTCCAAATTGACAGTTGTTAGTTGTTGCTCCGTAACCGTCACCTTCCAAGCATCTCATATATCTGGAAATTTGCTCATCTTCCTTGTACAATCTTTAAGCGTCGTCCTCAAATTATTGTTTGAAATTTCAGGCTCCACCCAAAAATTCTAATGAAAGCAAAGGTCCTCCGCCAGGTTTATCTAAGTCAACAACCAAATTGGCATCATCTACTTCATTATCTGGTAGGAATAAGTCACCCGGTAACTCTGTCAGACCTCCTTCCAGCAGAATTATGGCCAAAAAATCAAGAACAAGAAAAATTTCATCTCAGAACACAGGTATGTTTCCATTTTGCCAAGTTTTAGAATCAAATTTAAGTGAATCAAGTTAAACGCTCATCTGTCATCAACATGGAAGAACCAAGAAAATTCCAACAAATTTCATTCCTCCCCTTTTCCAACAAGTTAAAGAAGTGTTTTTGTTTTATAGCCAAAATCACAAGTTTAAATATGAGGATAGAGATGTCAAGATTAAATTTTTGTAGCTTGACGCCTGCATTCCTCCTCTCCGTTGTGTAAGCACGATAAGTTTTTCGCCCATCACAAATTTCAATCCATTAGTTTGTTGATTTTCAGGATGGTTATCATAATTTTTTGCTCAAAATTGAGAAAGTCCCAATTTTATGAAAGAATATAGGGACCCAAATTTTCAAAATCGTTGTAATCAATTCAAAATTTTACGGATTTTAAGTATTGTATGAGTTTCTTACGTTTATCAAACAAACCAATTTTTTTGCTTTGAATGGCAGCAACTTCTTGCAGTTTTTTTGCAAGAAACACTTTTCAAGCTGTTTGTTTTGCTTGGTATTTGAGTCCGTCATCGTTAACCAATCTTCCTAATCATTACTTTAATCTTTTATCGAACTTAAAAATTGCATTTCTCTATTCCTCTCCCCTACTTTCCTAAACTGCAGTCTTGAAGGTTAAAACTATGTGTTTTGCAGTACCTTCAAATATCAACTTTTGAAAAATTTCCTCTATCACATCAGTTTATTATAATTTTTGAAATGTTCATGTTTAATGGCTGGAGAAGTAGGAAGTTCTAAGTATATATAAATCAGCTCAAACTTCAAGCAACAGTTCTAAAAACGTTCCTGTATTGTCCTTATATGATAGTACAGAAACATATTTTTTCCCCATTGTTCTGAGAAGCCTTTTCTCACTCAAGCAAGCTCGTATCAGATGAAACGACAAGATTGAGAAAAGGTCTGTTTTTGTTGACTACAAGCATTTTTACTGCCCACCCCCTCCTTTCTTTTTCTCTTTGGCAAATTACCATCGTACGTGTGTCCATTTGTTGCAGATGGTTCGGATTCAGATAATGACTTCGCAGACTTAGAAGACTCAGCAACCAGGACTGACGACTCAGATGATGAAATCGACCTGCAAAATATAAGTGAGCTCTCAGCCTCATCTCTAACTGGAAGTGAAATAACCACTCGCAGCCAGCGTGATAAACGTGGTAAAATCTCAGATCTTGGCAAAGACTCAGATAATTCAAATGATAGCAAAAAGAAGGATACAACCCCACGTCCAACGAAAAAACCCATCCTAAAACGCAAGAATTCAGACCCAGCAATGAAAACTGGCAAGTGGAATAAAGAGGAGGACGAAGAAGTAGAAGAAACTGAGGATTGGACAATGGAGTCGCGGAAGAAGATTCGAAGTAAGGCAGAGGAAGAAAATACAATCAGTAGCAGTGGGTCACTCAGGAAAAAGAAGCTATCAAAAGAAACCTCGAAAGATGAAGATATGGACCAGTCAGGCGATAACTCATCGGCCAAAAAGAAAATATCGACAAGGTCAAATAAAGATTCTTCTTTTGACGACTCAAGCCTCCTTGACACATCCAATAAAACCCCTGGATCCTCTGGGAAAAAAGTCACAAGATCCTCCGTCATCAAACGATCTCCTCGTTGTAAAAGTGCTCTTTATGTCGATGAAATTGATGAAGACGCAGATGTAGAAGACGATGACGATGAAAACGAGGTTGAAGTCATGCCCAAAAAAGCAGAATCCCATGCTGCAGTTGTCCCAGACAAGAAGCCCTCGCCAGAAAAAGACTCTGCCAAGAAAGTCTCTAAGTCAAAAGCCTCCACAAATGACGTTAAAGAAGAGTCCATAGACAAGAAGAAATCAAAACCTGACGAGGATCCAGTGAAAAAAGAAAGCGCACCCACCCCAACGGAAAATATCTACCAGAGACGATATAGCGGCCGAAGAAGCACGCACTTGAAAAATAAACAGATCCGAGAAGCTGAAGACAAAGCAGATTCTAAAGTTTCGCCAAGGGGTCGAGAATACGACTTGGCAGCTATCAGGTCTGAGTTGAAAGGGCTTTCTAAAGCATCTCAAGACTTAGAAAGTGATAACCTTGCCAAGGACGGAGATGATAAGACGCCTTTAGATGATAAACACAATTTGGAGAGTTCTATTGAAGATGAGAAGTATCTTTCCTCTGAACAAATTAGTAACTTACTGACTGACACTCCCAAAAAGGGCACATCATCGACTGAGCCGCTCTCCTCATTAAAGAAATCTGTCTCTAGCGTGGATTCTTCAAAAAAACCTATCAGCGATGTAACACAGAACAGTATCCCAGTGATTGATACGACTGTTAAAAAGCAAGTGTCAACTGATTTAGGTTTGAAAAAATCATCAGAATCAACTCCTAAGCCAGCTGTAAGCGCAGAAACAACCTCCCAGAAGCTTGAATTTCCCCAAAAGAAAGCAACCACTTCTGAAGCAGCGTCAAAAAAAATTATTCCTCCAGAAAGTGGTCCCAAGAAGAGTATTTCACCATCAGAAGCTACGAAAAAATCAGTCGTTGCCCAAGAAACTATTCCAAGGAAATCAGGCGCTGATCTTAGTAAAAAGAAGAGTTTAGACTCAAGCACGAAAAAAGTGGAACCTGTGACTCCCAATCGTTTTGCTGTTTCAGAGCAACCTTCTAGCGATCTAGATGACATATATGAATTCAAAGAGTCCGATCCATTTGAATTCACCGAGTGTCGTAGCAAATCAGGATCCTCTGATGAGAAGAACCCCAGTAAACTGACCCCACGACGTCCGATTGCTCCGGGAATTTCAGCTGCTTCATCTAGTCCCAAAGTTGATAACCTTGACTCCAGGAGCACTCCAACAACGCCTTCTGCCACACCAAAGAAAAAACCATTCTTAGATCTATCCTCACCCCCGCCGTTGGTATCCTTTAGCTCAGAAGCTCCTAGTGTTGTCAGTGTAACAACAAGCACAAAACGGAAATTTGAAGATCCTAGCACTCAAGACTCGACAAAAGAAATGAAAAAGAAAAGATCTCCATTTGTTGCAACTGTGCAAAGTGATACTCTCTCATCAGAAAAAGTTACAGAAGTATCAAAAATCGATGCTGTAAAGTCAGCCTTGTTTGGTGGTCTTATCGATTCATCTGATAAGTCCAAGACTGTTGTAGACACAAGTAAATCAGTAACCGATGCAGCAAAAGTTGAGTCAGTTGATACGAAGCCAGCCATCAATTTAGAGGCAGCCAACACCGCAACCGCTCTTCCAGACTTATTTTCAAGAAAAGACAAACTCACAAGTGCACTGGTTTCGTCAGTAATAAAATCAGAAGTAGACAAGTTAGAATCCAACAGACCTACCTCAGATAATGTCGATCAACCCGAAAAATCTGAGACCAAAGCAGTTGTAGAAAATGAAAAGTCGTCTAGCGTAGACTCCAAAGCCTACAATGTAATCATCCGCCCGAATCTCAAAACATTTAGCAAGCAAGCGGCTTACAAGTACCCTCCACCACTGGTGCCCAGTAAATCGGCATTCTCTGCTATCTCAGAAGATAAACTTGACGATAACAAATCACCTGCGGTCCCAGAAACGGATAGCAAGGTCACAACATTTGACAGCTCCAGAATCAAACTGTCACCCGTATTGTTCTCTAGTCCTGCAAAGGGCTCTGATGTGGAATCAGATGATATCAAACCGTTCCTCTTCGAAACGCCAAAAACATCTGAAAAATTGAAGGAATCTAGTAAAGGGTCAATTAATGGACTCTCAGAGATTAAGTCTGTTGAAGTGATAACAGAAATCAAAGAAGAAATGCCTACCTTGAGTGCTACTGTAAAGGAATCGATCACAAAATCAGGGATCAGCAAATATGATGAGGATTCAAAAGTAAAGGATGCAGCTAGGAAAGATTACTCCAAACGAAAACCTGTTCTGAGTAAAGAATTCATCAACGAAGACTCATCTAGCAGTGACTCATCGAATGATTTTACTGCCCTTATAACTAAGAAAGCATCAAAAGGACCTTCAAATAGAGATCGCTCCTTCATTTTTGACTCCAGCACCAGCAGTAACGATGATGACAACAATGCTGATGATGATAATGATGATGATAACAATGATGATGAGGATGACGATGGAAATCTACAGATCAATTTGGAAGTGAGTAGTCAAGAGGACATCAAGAAAGCCATCATTGGAGAAGACAACATTGATGATGACAATGATGCAGATGATGACGATGATGGGGATGAAGAAGATGGGGATGAAGAAGATGATGATGACGATGATGATGACGACGATGATGATGATGATGATTGCTTTGTCTCAAGGAAAGAAAAGAAGCCACTTTCAGCGAAAAATCAGGAACTCAGAAAAGATGAGGTTAGTGAAAATCTCATTTATTTTATATTATTATTTAACATTTTATCCACATACTACATCAGTTTTCCCAACTCGGGCAAAAATTTTCTCTCGACTAAATCATATGGTTTCAATTTTTAAAGATTAATGTTCAAAAAATTAAAATGGGTAAGGTGGTCAGGAAATAACAAAACTTATAATTCCAAACAGTTTATTTAGATAAACATCCTGTCGATGAAGGGAATCGCAATCTCTCTTTCCAGAGAACCAAAAATTCCGGACTCGGACTCACGGCATAGGAAGAAATCTGTGTTTAGGTCAAAATTATAACGAAGATCTTGTAAAAAGTTAGAAAATTCCTCCAACAGTGCTTGGAAAGTAAATTTTTGACTTTTTATTCTTGAGGCCACCCAAACCATATTTATTTTTTCCTCTATCTTGAAGATAATCTTTTATCAGCTAAGGGGCGAAATCAAACTTATGTTCTCAAAAAAATTTGAAGTTCTGATGTAGATACCTAAATTCACTGACTGCCTTTAACCTGCAGAATTTAACTTTGTAATTTTTTTCCACAGATGGATGGCTTGAAGGACCACACTGATGCAAAATCCAATCCTTCAAAAGAAGTCGATTTTTCAGACGACAAAACCTCTGCCAAAGAAGAAAAAGGCATGAAAGATAATGTCTCCTTTGACAAGAATGAAGCATCAGATGAAAATGACTTCATTGATAATGAACTTCTTTGTGAAGAAATCATTCCGAAGAGTCCTCCACCAGCAGGAGCTCATGTTGATAGTGGACCTAGCAAACTGGCAAGTAGTAAGAGCACCTCCAAGTCAAAAGAAATGCCTTTTGCGAGCGCTTTAAGTAGTAACTGCTCTTACTCAGGAGCAGACAAAATGTACTCGAGCTCCAAGAATCTAAGCATGTTCCCACCCAAAACTATTAAAACTCTCCAACCTTCGTCCTCCAAATTTAGGTCTTCTGCATTAACCAATAACGATAGGAAAGAAACGTCTTCCAATGCTGAGTCAAATGAAGGCAGTAAAGTCATGCTGATGGACATCACACCACCGATGACGCCAGAAAACTGTCTATCCCCTGTGTCAAATTCACCTACTGAGTAAGTTTGCCCTATGCCAATTTTGTCATTTTCTTATCTTCAGTATCTTTTTCCCCCTCAATTAAAAGATGAGGGTAGGAGGTTATTACAGGAACTCCTACTTGCATTTTTTATTCATATATTTTTTTTTTTCCCACCCAAAGAGAGAATAATATTCCCTGAAAAAACTGCCCTTTTCTTTCAAAAGTGACTGGTTTTAATTTTAACAACAATTTCATTCATCAGTTTACGCCTTTGTCTGAATCTTGACAATTTTACATGTTTTCCACCCCTTATGTTAAAGCTTCTGAACAGGAAGTATTTGTTTAAAATTGAATCGCCAAAATAATTTTAAGAAAACAGGTCATGAATCTTTTTGCTTGCTATCGCAATGAGTACCACCAGATTGTTATACATATTTTCAATCAAAAAAGGACGTTTAGATTCATATTCATGACCATTTCATAATCATCATATCAACCATCACATAGTTTTCTTGCACGTTTTTTTTTTCTTTTATCGGTTCTTTTTCTAGTTGTTTTTTTTAGTCTCATTGTTTAAGTAAGTTTGCATGGATGTTAATGATTAAAAGAAGAAGGAAATAAATAATTTTTTCGTTCATTTGTTCACAGTGATCAAAGCAATTCATCTCCAGCTCATACTCAAGATGATATTTATAAAAGTACAACCACAGGCCATAAAACAGTGGATTACAACGATGGTGAGTGTTCCAAAATACTTCTGAAGACTTCAGCCTCCATTTTTTTTTATTCAAGAAATTATAATTACTTATGTTAAAGAATGACTGATGCTTTTACCTCAGAGATTCTGAGCATCAAAAGAAGGAGGCCTACGTGATACACAACTCCCCTCTCCAGCTCACCCCTTCTTCACCTTTGTTATCAAAGTAAGCTAGGACATTTTTCAAAAACAATGCTTCTTCTCACTCAATCAATTGCGGTTCTTCTATCTTTGTGCCGAGAATCGTCGGTTGTTTCAATGATTGCCGCTCTTGATTCTAAGATATCTGTGCAACCTATGATTGCGTATTTTCTATGTGAAAGAGAATAAATGACTCATCGTTGTCATCAAGCTTCTAAAGTACCATTTGCTTTCTGGCAGTTGAAGATACATAGGTTAGGATGTCCTATCACCTTATCAGACCTATGAAGGTGAAATGGTATGCTGAGGATAAAGAGGCACCCTTCACGTCAAGCTGGAGTTCTGAGAGCTTTCATTCTAAGAAGTGTGCTAAAATACATATTGAGGTAACAGTCATGGGAACAGCTTCAAGCAATAGAACCGCAACTATATTTGCAATTGCCAAGTTTCATCTCATGTTTAATTTTTAATTTTTTTTCCATCGTACCTTTGTGTTTTACTAAGTGTTCTTAATAACATAGGATGAATTCGCCATGAGTTCCAATGCATTTTCTTTTTCGCTTATCCATGAATATATTAAGACTTGATAGAGTCCCTGCCAAATTAGTCAACACTTTCAGAATGCAACAAATGATCTACCATCTTGATTCTTTTTACTTTCAATGCCAAACTGGAAACAGATGAGCCTCTGTTGCACTGTTAAAACGAGTAAACTTAGGTATTTGGCGTGGAGTCCAGCTTTTGTAACATTTAAAGTAACCTAGTTGATTCTGGTTAAAGTCATCTGTGAACCATAACACTTGAGACTTTCCCTGAAAAGGAGTGTAGTCTTCTGCACAAGTTTAAAATAATCAGACAGTTGATTCTTGTAGGAAGGTATTTCATTTGACTGATCTTCGCATTCCTTCTCATTTTCCGTTTTCCCTGTCTATCTCTAGGTTTTATTTTGCAACTGTTTCATTTATGTTTACAGATTCCTCAAGCATTTTAGATATCAAATCAGGGTCGAAAAAAGGTCATGATTCCTCAGCAGGAACTTCACGGAAAAGGAGACGTAGTGAGACTGAAGGAGGCCCAAGCTCTAAAATTCCTTACTCAAGTTTTGACTCGACAAGGAAAAAAGTCAGGACAAATCAAGAAAGTCCTTCCGGTATGTTTTATTCAGTGAAATTTTCCTAAATTATTCCTGAATTATTCCGAAAATTTTGGGCATCTAAGGAAGAGGTAAACGTGTGTAGAAGTTGATTATAGGCCTTGTGACAGAAATACCTCATGCGGTCTGCCAAGTAAACATCGAAATGATGTTGCATGTCACGCTTCTTAACACGAAACTGATTTTAGATGCCTGATCTGAACTTAACTCTTTGCTTTCCTTCTCGTGGTACATGGGTTACTGTGGCTATAAACAGAATATGACTGACTTGGAGAGTGAGTACTTAGTTCTCAAAGCATTATAGAGAGTGCAGCACATGACAGGGCATCAGTAGTGCAAAGTGTTAGGTTTTGGTAGAACACTTAGGAGTTTTATTTGAGCGAGGAGCTGAGCTGAGCTGAGCCATTGTAGCTAGCCAGGGGCTTTGCCTTCCGGATTCTGGATCCTTAGTCACTCGCTTTTGAATTCCAAATATTGCTCCATTATCACTTATATGTTCCGAGAAAAAATAATTGTCACGTCAAAGCACAGTTATAGTCCATATCATGAAACTTGAGACTTTTTTTTTTGGCATTAAAATCCGTCAACGGAAACGCATCAGTCTTGTCCTTGATGACCTGACTGCTAGCTGGACACCCTCTATTGGGCAGCGAAGAGAGATTTGCAACCTGTTCACTGTCAGGGTGGAAACAATGGGCACCCTTCATCCCTCCTCTGAGAGCCTTAGTATCCAAACTAAAATTTTTTGCTGTTGAAAGATTCATCTTTTAGCATGAAAGTTTAGTTCTAGCGTGAAATCATGATATTAATGCACTAAAATTCCGTCCAATCATCTTAATTTTGAGCTGATTGACTGCGATTTGCCGGAGAATGCCGTATACCAGCTCAAAATTAGGATAATTGGACAGAATCTTAGAGCGTTTTTATCATAATTTTGCGCTGAAACAAAATTTTCCTGCTGAAAGATGAATTTTTCAACGGCAAAAAAAATCCTGTCTGGGCACTAGAGCTCTTAGAAGAGGAGTGAAGGGTGCCCATCGTTTCCACCCTGATCAAAAACAGGTTGCGGAGCTCTCTTTGCTTTACAACAGAGGATGTCCAGCCAGCAATCCGGTCAACGCGGCTGAGACTGATTTTTGCGTTACCATTTACGGATTTTAATGCCAAATAAAAAGTCTCAGGTTTCGCGAAATGGCCATAGTCAGATCATTTCTGCCCTGAAGACTCACCGAGTAGCTCAGAGCAAGGCAAGTCTCTGAGCTTTAATTACATAGCTGACAGTAACTTCTGTTCAGTGAGAAACTCTTTGGTACCTTCTACCGCCATGCCAAGGATAAAACTGCATAAACCTTCGAATTTTGCCAAATTTTCTTTTTGGAAATATCTATTTTTGAGGTAATCATGAATTTTCCTCCGTGCCATCTTCAGACACATCAGATCAAATTACGAATAAAACTCAGAAAAATTAAAAGGAAAATACCAGCAAATTTTCCCAAAAATTCCTTACTTTTCAGACAAGGTTTGGCAACATCTGTAGTCTCATGAGGCGTTTTTACTGGGCGCAACAGTATAGCCTAGATGTCTCCGATTCAATTGAATCTATGTACAGCTACTTTTACATAAATGTTTAAAAACCAATTTTAGTAGCAAAATAAGTGTTCTAATTCATAATCCCCTTTTTTGTTGAACATTTTTCAAAATATTTAAACATTAATCCTGAAAAGTTGTTTAAATTTTCGAAATTCCTATTCCAGCTTGTGGGAGCGACAGTGATGATGGATCGGAACAAGGCACCAGCACTTTGGGTTCTAGTCCTTCCAATTCAAGTATTACCAAGGCCTCTAAAAATAATTTCTTCGTAGAATTAGGTATGTATAGGTGACTAACTGAAATCAGTTTCATCACCTCATTTGTACGTTAGTTTCCTTCGAAATATTTTTCCTATTTTTGAACAAAAATATTCCAATCACAAAAATAGAAACTAAAAGTCAGAACAGGTTTCTAATACCTCCAAAGATTATTACAGAGAGCTATTTGCAGCCACAATGCAGTGCGTCTCAAATTTTATCAAAGATTAGGAAGTAAAGTAGAACTCTCTATTTCCCCAAAGAATCCTTCATTTTTTTCAGACTATTATAATATTGATGTACACAAATACCTTTAATTGCAGTACATTATTTAATATTTTTATGGTGAAAAAGTTCTGCAGAAAATGTGGAAAAAATAGGAAATGATCCTCATACATATCACATGATGTATAAGAACACATGAGAATGTATTTTATATTTCTATCAAGCATTCTAAAATTCCAAATTTGCGGTTTTCTAAGTTCTCTCCTTTTCCTCTCTTCTCAGATCCGGAACTTGATGGTACTCAACGCATTGCAATACTGCAGCAAAAACTTCAAGATCTGCGGAAAACGTACATGAATCTTAAGCAAGAGTTAGCATGCATTGATAGGAGACGGAAGAAGATTTGCCGAAGAGAACGAGAAGGTAAGATCTAGTTCAGTAAGATTTAGAGCCAAGTCTGAAATGAGAGCTACTAGAAAATCTCTCCAAACAGAGTCTTGTAGCAGATGCTTGTGGTTAGTTGACTCACCGCCTCAATCTGTAAAGTTGGGAATAGAATTCCAATAGCTCCGGCTCTGACTCCTGAAAACAAAAATACTCCTTTCTAGGGTGTCCTCAATTCATGAAATTTGAAAATTCTTGAGCTCCTTTAGACTCCAAGTGACTTACAAAGGGTAAAAGTAAGTAGCCTTTTTTTTTTTTTTTTTTTTTTTTAAATGAAAAAGAAGTTTAAGTCTAGTCAGAAAGAAAGAACTGCTAAAATATATTAAGTTCCCTACAAAGTTGCCAAGCAATAAGGGAAGATTAAGTGAATTTGAGAGCAAATAGAGTAAAGTTCAATTGGTTACTAGTAAAATATTTTGCTATTCATGTTTTCCATGCTCTAAAATTAGCTTTGATCACCAAAGTTAATATAATATCCTGCTTGTCGAAAACAACGATCTAGGGATTGCATGCGATGAAGATGAAGGACATCTGGACTGCACTTTGCAATCAGGAACTACTAATTATTATTTCTGACCTATGTCAGTAACAGTTTATGTCCCATTAGTTTCCCTATGCATATAGGTCATTTTGTGGATGAGCCAGTAATAGTATTTTCCTTTTTGCGAAATGTAGTCCATCTGCGCGAGGCTTTTCGGGAAGGAGCATCCTGCGTATGAAAATGCTGATTTTTTAAAAATAAACTACAAAGGGATGAGGAGGTGATCACCTTGTATAAAGCTCAAGTTCTAATGCTCATTTCTATTTCCAAGGTAGAGCAAGACCATGCTAGTTTTCAAATAGGTTGGAGGTTTGCCAGAATGCCGGAATTTAGCATCTAAAATTCTATTGTAAAATTCCCTCCTGTAAAATTTTGTTACATTTTCTTCAAGATGCCAGATGACCAACAAAATCTTACATAAGTAACATCAGGGATGAGTGCTATAAGACCCTTAACTCCTGTAAAAGAGCCAATGTTAACATCTGTGAGAAGTTACTAGTTCTGCAATCTCCTGTAAGATCCTTGTAACTAACCAATGTCAGACATTGTCAGAATTCCATAACACTACGAATATTTGTCTCAAAACGTCCTTTGCCGCCTTTCTCAGAGTGCCAAGAGTATGTAATGGTAGAAAGGGGTTGGATAATGCCAAAAATATCCTTATTTTTCAAAAATTCAGTCACTGGTCGGTTTGTTTTTTAACCGTTTGCTAAACCTCACTTTGGAACGGACGAAGGATAGGTCGAGGTTCCCCAGAAGAAGGATCTTCTGACTTTATGAGGATCTTACCTGAGGTCCTGCTACAATCAGCTTTCATACTAGTAAATCATCTTGTATAACTCGTCCTCGTTAACACTTTATGAGACCATATAAACTTGGCAAGCTACATTACATTCCACAAATGTTTTGGGCCTGCATGAGAACATTATTTCTTTGGTAGTGATTTTTAGTAAGCTGAATTCTAGGTAGTTTCGGGCATCTGAACTTATTCTGCAGCATTTGGTTTTGCTCTACCTTCTTGAAACACTAATTTGCATAGCACCATGAATTAACCCAATAATCCAGTCTCAAGTTGAATTGCTTGCTTTGTAATTATTCTGGTAGCCGGTAAAATTTGATGCAACTTTCATTCTTTTTCCCTTATTCCTTTGCCATCTTTGGATTGAGATCATTTTTTCATCTGGGAAGGGAGGGAGGGATCAAATGAGCTGGATTTCATAAAACGTTCTTGAATTTCTCCATTTAAAGTTCTACATGTACTCTTTTACATCTCTGCTTCAATGCAAAACTTGTCCTCCTTTTTTCTCTCTTCTTCTTCTTCTTAGGTGAAGTAAGTGAAGCAAAGAATCTAGATTTTATAGAAATGTATAAAAAAATGTCGAAGTAATAACTTATCTTGGAGAAAACAGAATAGAGAATTTTGTGTTGATTCAGATTTTAGTCACCTCCAGTAGGCGCCTTTAAGGAACTTCCCCGTAGTTGTCATATAATGGACCACTAGACAAGGCACGAATTCAAGCATTCTGATACATGTTTCTTAATCAGAATTTCACGTAGAACACAATTCGCGCAACGAAAATTACTGAAACTAATTCCTGACGAAGATATTAACCTTTTTATTTCACATTGGTTACGCGGATTTTGAACTGCCCGCTCACAAGAAACTCAAAGCTCTACGTGAGTCAGAGCGCGCACTACAACAGTCTCAGCAAGTCTCTCAATCAAGCACTGTTCATTTCCCACCATGCGTTGTTCAAATGATAAGCGATTTGCTATAGCCGAGCCAAAGCGTCAAAATTGTGGTTGCCAGATTTTCATATCGCAGAGACTGTCACAATAATATTCAGCGCGCGATGTGAATCACGTAGAGCATTGAGTTTCATTGAGCGGGTGGTTTGAATTCACGCATCAGGAATCATTAAATATCTTCGTAAGGAGTTGATTTCGGTAATTTTTGTCGTGCGCATCGTGTTCTACATGAAATTTTGGTTAAAAAACATGTATCAGAATGCTGAAATTCGTACCTTGTCTAGTGGTCCATTGAGAGAAGCAATATCCCTCAGAGCACTCTGTCATCATCTAGGTGTAAGGTTGTAAATAAGCAAGAATGTCATTACCCAGAAATTAAGTTAGATTGGGCTTATCGAATGTTATGCATAAATTATATACTGCGTATTTTAGGAACAGGCTCAAGCTAAGGCAGAGCGTAGAGAAAATTGTGAGTGGATCATTCGTATTGCTCATCCATTCGTAAGTTAACCAAAAACATAGCATTGTAGGTGATGAGCAGTATTTTCTCAATTTCTCATATTGATGTATTTTACACCTCGCTCAGCCAGTTGACTTTCTTTTTTTCTTTCTTTATTTTTTCTTAATTTTGACTGGTATTGATATTTTCATTATTCAGGTATCAAATAATTTTCCCTCAAAATTTCTCTAGTGAAATTTTTATTTGATCAAGGCAAGTTCTACACTTTTAAACCATTCTCATCTGGGTTGAATGCTTTCAAAGCAGTGGCGTCGCATGCTTTGCGGTATATTGATTGATCTGCCATTTAAACCTATAGAAAAGGATCGATTATCAGGGTGTTCGCAACGAACACTTTAATAATGGATTCTTTCCTATAGCTTCTAAAGGGGCAATGTCGTTAATCCATCACTCATGCTACGCTACTGTTTCAAAGCCAATATAATCATTTGTCATTTCAATTTCCCTATTTAAAAAATATACTTCGCATCTGGAAAGCACATGTTTTCATTTTCCTAGTTCCAAGTCAATGTAATCTTTACAGTTTATTTTAGCCCTCTGGTTTAATTTCATGCTGTCAAATGTCCCGTTTGATGTTTGGTAGCTGTGATGCTTAGAAACCTACAGTTTTGTTATGTTGTTTTATTGAAAAGTCATGTTGGTATCTCATATTTAGCTTCTTAGTTCAGAGTCAGCTCATAAGTATTAACTGTCCAGTTTCAATCAGCTCTGCTCCTTGATGGTTTCTCCTCATGATGGTGGCAAATCTTGCATCACAAGTCCCAGCTCTACATGAAAAATTTAACCGTTCTGGGATTGAACTCATCATGTAACAATCGGTGGCCATTACAAACTTATTTTAAAGAGCTTTTACCTATGTGAATTTTAAACCAGATCAGTGGCAATTTTGGGCCCCACACTTTTGAGTAAGATTTCTGGTTTAGTTGTGGGAAGCCGTTGCTTTGTCAATACAAGCAAACTTTCTCCTAATTTTGATTCAAGTAATTCAGCAAGTTGAACAGTTTGACAAACCGGTTTTGAGTCCTTCGCAATTTGTTTGGTGAATGGAAAAAGGAGGTTATCCACAGACTCAACATGACTTTTTCAGTAATTCCACAAAAGTTCATCTTTGTAGATAAACGTTTGACGCTTAAGGAGCTCCATTTGTTGAAAGTAATGTTAACTTGACATCTCCTGAACTGAGTTTAAGAATACATCCCAGATTAAAATTCTACTTATATCATGCTATTCATATCGTACTCCATGAGTGTCGTATTGTGTATATTTTGAGATTGAGTTTCAGTAATGATACATACAGTAAGTTGGGGAGAGAGAGACATTCAGAATATGCTCCAGTGTAGCTTTACACAGGATTGGAAGGATTCAGAGTTAATAATTCATTCATAGTGAATCCTAGCAACATTTACTCTCCACAAAAAGAACTCATTCATTCTCATTGTGTACCTCTACCTAGTGCTGTATTTTCTTTGCATCTCTTGATAATTGTGTTTGTATATTTGAATGTGGATGGCATCTCATTTGACTGAGGTTTATAGGTTACGCTTACGGATTGAGAAGTATGAACGCTTTAGTTCGCAATCAGGATTGATTGGACTGACCCTAATAGCCGTGTGATAATTCGTTGGTTTTCCAATGTTTCCAAGAAATAACTCTGATGAAATTTTTAACTATATTCATTGTGAGTAATTTGTTTCATTTCACTTATCAGTTCTCCCCCACTTCTATTACCTTTTTTATTTATTATTTGATGTCATTGAACTTCTGCATATCTAATTATTTTAACAGCATGTGCTTGCTATCTTCCATTTTATCTACATATATGTAATCAAAATTTTGCATTCAAGAGGCATCATCTCTGCAGCTCCTGTTGGGGGCTGTAAGTGTAAACCAATGAGAGTTGCTTCTTTCAAGTACTTTTTTCTACAGTGACATTTTTAAGATTTATAAAAAGCAACACCTTCGGTTGTAATCTAAAGTCTGTAAGTTGAAAATCAGCTGAGAAAATACGTTTTTAAGAATATGAAATATCATGTCATGTTCTGTAATAGTGCATATGGTCATCTTCTCAACCATGGTTTCATTGGTTACTTTCTGTTAATCAGTAATAAAACCAAAGTTAAAAATAAACCATGTGATGCAATGGAATTGCAATGGGTCTGGTGCATGCAAGAGATTCAGCCAAGTGTTTTAAGGTGAAGAGGGACTCAAGAGTAAAATTGCACGAAAATCACATGCGACACATCAAGAAAGTCGAAAATCCACCTCTCAGCACGTAATCTGAGTAGTCTGTAAGACACTGTTTTTCAATTTACCTCGTCTGTTTGCAGTTTTTCCTAGTGGCAACAGTCAAGTTTGCTGAGAGAGAGATTTGAAATAATCGAACTGAATGAACGAACAATCTTGCAAACTGTTAAAAACTTTCCTTACAGTAGATTTCAATCGATTCAAAGCTTTTATTCTTGCATAACAAAAAAAGAAGGAAACAAACGATTGACAATGTTTGTTTATTGAGGTTAGGTTTTCTTACCCCGCTGTCTGTGTGGGTCGCTGCTGACTGAGAATAACATGCTGCGGATGCGGGAAACTATAAAAAGCATGTTACAAAATATGCAGATTATGCGCTAAGGAGTGGACCCAAGACTTTTTGGATGTGCCCATTGTAATTTTTGTGTAATTTTATCTGTAGTAAGGCTGGTAGTGCAACGTTGGCTTAAATAAGCTCTGTGGTTGGAAATCCAACAGAAATCTACTTCAATAATTTTTGTGAATGAACCTTGCAATTAAGGTCTCTCGGTGAGCCGTATTTTCCATTTTTTTAAGAAAAGAAGCAAACTTTCAGTCCTTCATGTACTGTAAAATCAGCTCCTCGTTGACAACAATGACCAGTAGCTGACCTAGCATCTTCTTTAGCAAGCCGTTTTTAAATCCGTCCCCATCCCAAACGTCAGGCGTATTAAGATGAATTTTAAGTAGTTCTTTTTTCCCCAAATGCATGAAAAGAACACCCAGAACTCAATATCTTTCATGACTACTGACATCACATTACTCATCAATCTATTGATAATCATTTCAGAGATGTTGCAAGAAAGTCTGTAACCTCTGTACATTCTTTTCGACCTTGTATTTAACATTATTTATGGATGTATAATTATCTATGAACATAAATATATAAGCAGGAGAGCAGATATGAAGGGATTTTAGTGCCTAAAGCTTTGGTTTAGGGAGCAAATTTTAGTACGGTTGCATGCTAATGCTTTACAAGAAGGTCTTGAATAGAAAGTGGAGAAAAATTGGTCCTTTTTCTTTGTTCCTGTTCCTCTTTCAAATATGGACGTATTTCTACCGAACGGAACTATGTGCATCAAGACGTGAGCCCTGAGACCCATAAGTATATATGCGTAACAGGGCTCATGTCTTAATGCACATAGTTCTGTTCGATAGAAATGGGTCCGTATCACAAAGTGATATTCCCTATCCTCGCGGTGTGGAACACATGTACTCATTGTACTCGTGATGGCTAATGCTTTCCTCCTACCTTTCAACAGGCGAAGTCTTAAGTCTGTAGCAACAATTATTGCCAAGGAAAGAGAAAAAGATTGTCTCCTCTTCATGGTAATAATTTGAGTAGGAGACCAGTAAATGCAACTCAAGTAGCTTGTTCACGGCCATGCTTCAGTAATCAAAATTCAGTAATTCAAAAATCCAGTAATATGATTCATAATTACTGCCAAGGGGTGATGTCTCTGGATGTTTATTTTTTATTTATTTTTATTATTATTTTTTTTTTTTCTTGGCAGTTTTATTTGCATGACTAAAAAACTCCTGCATTGTATTTTTGCTTAATTGTCAGTCGTTTTTTGCACAGTAGGAAATGAATATTGAATGACACTTCGGCCATCATACAATGCAAGAGCTCGAATATGCTGTATTGCATATCTTGAACAACTGCTATGGCTAAAGTCACCTGCCTTTCCTTCTCTCCACTTTCGTGGTTTAATTTCATGTCTCAATCCCTTTCTTTTTTCAGAAAAAATCAATAAAGGAGGAAACGCATCTACATCCTCCTGTTCTTGAATCTTGAACCTGTCTAACTTCAGTTTCGTCTACATGTTGTGAATCCTCTCCGCTCTCTTTGCAGTATAAAAAAAAAAACAACTACAATCAAAAGCTCAATAGGCTTCAAACTACTCTCAACCAATTTTCCAAGAATACCTAGTTAAATTTTTCGTGTTACAGGAATATTTTATTGTTAAGTGAATAAGTCTTCATCCCTCTCAGTGAGTCATCACATCTTGTATCAAATTGTAATATGGTTATCATCCTCTCTGCTTCGCAGATTGCTTAAAGTGTTAAGTTATTGTGTTTTTTTATATTTTATTTTCATTGTACGCAAGTACAATAAATAGTTAACTACTTAATCCGATCTCATATGTGAAATGTGTAAGAAGTAGAAATGACGTAAATTAACTTTGGACTTTTGGCCCTGCTTTTAATATCTCACTAATTTTTAATTCGTTATTTGTTCCAAAAAAAAATGTGAACTTTTTAGTGTATCATATTATCGCCTTAGTTACTCCGCTAGGTCAATGTCTCTTGCAGGACTTGTTTCCAATTCATGATAGAATCATTCTAATGTTTTATTTATTTATTTGTGAAATTTGTAATTTTTTTATTTTTGAATTAAGTACGTATTGTACTGTCAGTAATTTTGTTTCAAATTTTTTATGATAGGTTTTTAATTTTTATTTCTCCATTATGTTGCGTAGAGACCGGTTCTTTTAATATCCAAGAGAGAATCATTGATTTCTGTCAGGATTTTGAAGTTTCAGTCCGTTTTTTTGGTTTGTTGAAGTCTAGAGCAAAACTAATCAAGGAAGGTATATATTCTTCCTCAGTGACTCATTTAAAATTTTAATGTAAAGTGTATCAAAATGTACACATGCCACATTATTCATGCTGCGAACAAAAATATATTTAAACTTAAAAGAATTTCAGCATTGCAATTCGTCCTAATTTCATTTTGATGTCTAATTTAATGTAATCCAATTAATTAACTTTTAATTATCAAATAATGTGTAATTATCTGTTTCTCCAGTGATTTTTATTAGTCCAGGATAGGTTGTGTGTGGTGACTGTGCTATTTTCTGAATCCATTAATTGAGATTTTTTGCAAGACATTGGGATATAAACTCTTTTGTATCGCTTTTAATCTGATTTTCGAACTGTGATGTAGCCAAAGACTGATAGTGAAGTAATTCCGATTTTTTAGCCGGAAATTAAACTGAATGCGCATTAGTTACGACTATTATGCTTTTCAATCTTGATTTTTGTAGCTAGATTGTATGAGTCCTCTTTGAGTCCTGAAGGAATTGTAACATTACAGGTTGTCTGCAGGTCTCGAAATCAGGAAATCGTCTGAGACTTTCATTAAGTCAGGGAATTTATGAAAAATACTGCAAATTTGCTATTGAAACTTAAAATCTGAAAAAATATCAGGGCTGTCTACATTCCAACGGAGTTGCATTCTGGTTCTGGGTTCAGTGCCCTGAATTACACTCTGGATAGTGAGTAGATGAATAATTTTTAATAAAAAAATGAGTTTAAACGTAATTGAATGTTAACAACCCGGAGAAAAAACGTTCAATCATTACTGTCATTTGCAGTGAAATTAATGTAAAAAATTCCTCACTTTTTCTCCTACGCGCACTAATTGTTGCTGTGAAAAGTCAAGGAATTTTGATAATTTTTGTCAAGGAATTTCTTTCCTCCAAGTTTGTAGACACCCTGTGTTTTCTGTAAATTTTGGCAATGCACCTTCTACTACAGTAAATCGTACTCGATACATCAAACGGGTGAGATTGTATCTATATCGATTGGTTCAAAACATAAACATAGCCTCAAAAGTCAATTGAGTAAATCTGACGGAACGGATTTTTTGTGATAGATTTTTGATTCGTATGAGTACTAATTGGTCAAGAGGAGTAAAACTACTACAAAATTTCTCATTTTCAGCTTTTCTGGTAAATATCTTAAAATTTTGGTTCGAGGTTATGCTCTATTGTTTTGAACCCAATGATACATCGGATCACTATCGAATACCATTCATTAAATTCTGTCAAATCCAAGATCATGATGTCATGATATTTTGGTTTGATTAGCATTAGATATAGTAACACATATCTGTAACAAAGTGCTTTTACGGACATCCCCAACTTTTCACCTTTGAGCCCTAGTAAAAAGATAATTTTTGCTTTGCGTATCGATGGGTAAAGTATGGAATATCTCCAAGTAATTTAAGTAGTCGTAAATAAAATGTATCTCCATTGCAACATTTCAAAATCTTCAGTTATATTTTTGTCTTTAAAAAATCGACCAAAATATCTCTTTAAAATGTTCAGTGAATTTTTCTTGAATAAGTGTTACAAATTCACAAAAATTAAAAAGAAAAAGAAAATTTTTATCAGGTTCCTTACAATGAAGTGAAATTCAATAAATTAATAAAAGAAACACTCTAGCACAAATTTGCATTGTTGCAACAGGAGTTATCCATTTTTCGATATTGGTCATGGATATGTTGAGCCTCCTGAAGGACTAAAGAGATGACATTAAGGTAGTGTAACGCAGTGAGAGTTATTTTAACCATCATAGGATTGATGATTTACTGTAGGAGGAAAAAACGGAAGGATACACCCCATTTTTTAAAATTCTTTATGAGTTTGTAAGAAATGGTTATTTTATTTGAGGGGTGCTTTGTATATTGTATGATTTCTCTCTCATTTGAGTAATTATTTGAAGTGATTATTAATTGGACGGACTTAATAGAAACAGCCAAAATATATCAGACGCTGTCTAATATCTTCTACTCTATTTTTATTTTCACAGTTTATAATTGTGCTTTTAGTTTCCTTCTGATAACGTGGTCTGATAATGTAGCCTACTCAATATGAGTGTAAATTTTTTCTGATTTTCAGGCGCTAGATTCACAAACCAAAAACTCGCATAAAAATTGTGGATATTTTACCCCTACAGATGTGATCGAGAACCAGTTTCCTCGCAGCATCTTTAAATTGTAATTCTCTTGATACTTACTAACAACATTGTATAAACCTGTATAATACATATGATCAGCAGGCTGCAAAGTGAAGTTAAATTGTAAATAGATCAGTTTCAAGTTCATCATTTCAGTTCTTGTTTGATAGATTTTATGATAATTTCTCATTTTATTAGTTGATATGTTAAAAATGTATAATTTATGTATGAAATTACATGTTTTTTCTTTTTATTGAAAAAAAGTTATCATTTTAAGCCACTTCCTTTTTCAATATTAGTCTTTGTTACTTTCATTTTTTCTTAGATTTCATATCGTGTTAAAATCTCACAATCTGATTCTTTTTTGTTGTCTAACTTTTAGTTCTTTATTTTTGGGCGGTAAAAATCAGCAATACTACGATGAACTAAAAGGATAAAAAGATAAAGGAAATCATTTCAGCAGCAATTATAATTAATTTAACATTTAATCAATTAAAACATACCAATAGGGAAACTAAAAAAAGAAAAGGAAAAAACTCCTTCAGGACAATACAATTTTCGAAATAAAATGTTACAATATAACCACACACAGCGAATCTTTTTGAAAACAAACATTCAGAAAAAAGAACGTTTAATCATAAATAGAGAACAAGATCGAAGCAAAATAAAAATGATGTTTGGTTTTATTTGGAAGATAAATTAGGTGGACCATGAAAAGCTTGTAGGAAAAAAAGGAGAAATGAAACAGGATTTTGGATTTTTTGAACAAGGATTTTGGCTGTCTTGTATCATGCTGTGCTATGGCATAGTGCTTTACGATCATTTGCATGGACAAAAATCAGCCTGATTACATTAGACATACCTTCATTTTCTCAAAAGTTTTACGTTCAAATAAAAAACTAGCTTACATTGGACATAGCTTTATTTCCACTTAAGTTTTACTTTTCAATCAAAAACTAAACAATATTCAACATTGAAATTTCATGATACATTGATGGCCTAAGTGCGAAAACACATTAATCAATGCTGATATTGTAGACTTCCTGTCATAGTTTAAAACTATCAAATATAATTTCTTGAAAACTTCCTTGATTTTTCTTCTCCAGTAGCAGAATAATCATTATAAATTTCAAGCTTCAAAGTTGGCTAATTTCTCTCGGAAAAATAAAACAGTAACGGAAATTTTGAAACATCACGATGGAAGTACATACATGGTTTTGCACTTTGGCCAGAGGTAATTGAAGGGTTTACACCAGGTCATCTCACAGTCAAATGTAATGCCTACAGCCATTTTGTGTAAGACATCTGATTTATATATTGCATAGAAATGGCTTTGAATCAGTTCTGGCTTCTATTGAAAATAGGGAAGATTGGAAACTATCTCCAAGGTTGACCTCCTTCTACCCAGTCAAGAAGGATGGTAAAAAAAAGAGAGAGAAAAAATAGTTAAGTCTGACCGTTTTTGGTGTCTTATGAAAGTGTATCTATAAAAAATAATACACTGAGATATCAATTACATTTTGCTCTTATTTTTCGACCCAGATGGATATACTATAAATTGAAGCACTGATTGGCTGACATTGGATCGCTAGAGATCAGACAGGTTGAGGAATTGAGCACTCTAACACATGTGAGCTTGTCAAAATTCCTCAGAGAACACATTAAACATTTTGGAAATTTTCGTCATAAAAAATAAATTCAAACTTCTTGCACGTGAAAAACCAGTCAATGTAGGCCTGATTTAGCATTGAAATCAACGCATTGGTTGGTAAAAAACTAGAACTTGGTTTTACACACATTTCTTTCCTTTTCTAGTACAAGTCATCATTAATAATATCCATGAGGTTTTGTTTGTTATTGTAGTGGAAGTGAGACATTTACTTTTTGCAAATCCAGTTGAATCAGCAAATCTTTTAGGACATGTGAAATTAATGTTAGTTTTGTAGATTGTGGTGTGACATTGTGTAGCTCATTCATTCGTGAGTTAGTTGCAGTGGTCGCAAAATTCTCGGTACGAGTGTTTTGGGATATTCTCGCATGTCGGCTTCCTTCACCATTTTCAATCAATCACCATGACTAGATCTAACAAGAAAGACTATCAAATCCTAGTGTGTAAACACCAAATTCACTGCAACAATTGTACCAAATGCAATGCTCTCAGCAAGGACAAAATTAAATGGGTCCACGACTGGCAGTACCTGAAATGTAATGAATGTAAAAACCTGCCACTCAATCCACCGGGTAATAGAAAGAAGGGCCCAAGTACAGATATCAACCACAACAACCAGCCTTCTAAAAACCACAACAATAACCAGCTCTCTAGTAACCACAACAGCAACCAGCCTTCTAGTCAAGGTAAGATTATAACATCCAATAGATTCTCTCCGCTTGACACTGGTGAAGAAAGTAGAGAACAGGAACTCTCTACCAAAGAATCAGAACTAGTACAAATCTCTCCCCCCCCCCCCCCCTTAATACAAATATTTGGTACAAAAATTATTGGGATCTCTGTTTGTTTTCTGCAATAATGATGAAGAATTCACAAATCGACGGTGAAAGTCGGCAATCACATAACTCGTTTGTGGTGTCTGAAAATCTCCGCCTCTACGTCATTTTTTTAAAGGAGAGCAAATTGACATTATTTTTTGAAGTTTTTGCAGAATTTTCTTTGCATTGAGAAGAAAAATCACGACAGTTTTAAAGAATTGCCGTTGAGTAGTTTTCCATTTAAAAAATAAAGTATGACAGGAAGTCTGCGACGTCGCAAACCGAGTTATGTGATTGCCGACTTGCACCGTCGAAATGTCAGTGATGAACTCAGAAACCTCAAGTTTGAGGAAACATTTACCTTGAAAAAAAAAATGATTTTGCACAGGTCAGCTTCAAAGATGTGAGAGACTATAGAAAGTATCAAAATAAATTAAAAGAGGAGGATAGAGAATTCTACTACTACCTGCTTAAACAGGAATGACCATACAAAATAGTCATTAAGGGACTTAGCCTTGATACCGCTGAAGAAGAAGTTGCTGAAGCCCTGACGGAAAAAGGGTATGAAGTAGAGAGAGTGACTAGGGGTAAAAAGACAATATCTACTCGAGACCCCGATAATGACAATTTGCTAATCAAAGAATACATCCCCTTACCCATCTTCTTTGTTGATCTTAAAAAGACACCTCTCTCCCAGAGGATCCAAAGAGAACTAATTGGCCTGTTAAACGAAGTTATTAAAATTGAACCCCCCAAGAAAACTCTATGGCTCCCCCAGTGCCAAAGATACGGACATGTCAAAAATAGGTGCTCACCAAAACCCCGATGCGTCAAATGCATTGGACCCATGAATGTTCCAAGAACAGAGAAACCCCTCCTGCCTGTGTTCTATGCAATGGGCAGCACCCAGCCAACTACAGGGGCTGTCCAGAAGCAGTCAAAGCAAATAGCTCCCTAATAAACAAAATCCCTCAAGAGAGGAGAAAAGACGTTTTCCCGAAGTTACCAATATACAACAGCGATCACTCATATACGAGAAAGACCGACAATAATCCAGACCACTATAATAACCAGCAAACAGATAGAAATAAGGAAAACCACAGAACCTATGCAGAGGTCACAAATCCAAACACCAATAAGTCTAGAGCAACTTTCCAAAAAAAATTGACGATTTAAATAATCTCTACCAAAGGAAATTCGAAGAACAAGAAAGAAAATTTCAAGAAGAGAGAAAATTTTTTTTTGAATACATTAAAAACTTTTTCACGATGATCCAAAATCCTCCTCCCCCAGACAGCCTCTGCTCTTCCCACCAATGTATAATTTCAACCCATCACAAGGCAATTTTCAGCAGGTCATTCCACCCACCAAACCCTAAATGACTTCCTTAACAAAAGTGGGCACACTAAACACAAATGAAATACTACAGTACAAAAATGAGGTGATTTCCTACTTAGCAATTAATCAATTAGACATTCTATTAGTCTTAATTTCGTCAAAAAGAAGTTAGTGCACAAGAAAATTTTTCCATCGTAAAATATACCATAGCTACTTCAGTACCTGATTTGATCTGAGTAAACTCCAGTTCTTCTGCGAGCGGAGAGAAAGCCAATATTTCCCATCTTAAGAGTTGAGTTTGGAGATCTTTTAAAAGTCCGACATATTTTACATACTTTAGTATGGAAACAACCACAGCAGTTTTTAATGTTGTATTCTGTCGAGTGGTCCATTCAAGTTGGCAACACTGTTTTCACTCCATTTAATTCCATTAAAAATATCGATTTTAGATGAGAGGAGCTGCCTCACCAAGAATCGATTGCTTTACGTATATTTAAATGAAGGAAAAACAGTATTGCCAACTGACAAGGATTGCCACTGGTACATTGTCCAAAGATCTATCTTCAGAACTCTAAATTAAAGCCAAAAATGTCTTATCGTAAAATTTCCTGTTTTACTTTATCAACTTTATCAAATCTTTAAACCGTACATATCATGTGCTGGTAATATTGGCTGGAATTAAAGGTTTCTAGAAGGGATTCTTTCGGAACTTAGAGGCTGAAACATGCTAACATTAGTAACAGGTCACTTTTTGTCACTGATCAGCCATGCCATGACACCTGTTCTGAGGCAAAATGAGGTTAAAATCTCAAAATGTTAGCTCATATCTCTTGGCTGATTCGTTGAAAGTATTCACCTGTCACCCCTATTACTCTAATTTTTCTCACATTAAACGATTTAAAGAGAGAATAAAATAATATTATTTAGATATCAATAGACAATGGTTAGGATAATTTTGGTCTCATTTCGAATTTTTAAAACTGCGACCAGTAATCTGAGCTCTTGGCATGTCTTGTTTTCAAAATTGATTCTTGGGTCAGAAAAAATCATCAATAAAAGCAAAATAACAGTAGATCGCACTTGTTGACTTATAGATTTTGTAACTAATTGTGATGAAAGTTCATTTGAAAATAGTTAAGTTTACTAATTACAAAAAAAGAAGAAAAAAAAGAAAAAAAGATTTTGATGGGAAAGAATTATAGAAAGGTTTTTAATTACAATGTGCCACTGTATGTACAGAACTATCTGAACTAGAAAAAGTCACATGTTCCTTTCAAAATCTTGCATAGAAAATGATTCACACAACGGGAAGTTTGAATATCAACTCCTGAATGAGAAGTGAGATGGAAATTAGACAACACAAATGACATCATTTGTATTTCCGCAACTGAACCAATGTAAATTTTTGACAAGCATACCTTGTAGGTATAGGAGTTGATTCCCAGACTTTCTGTTATGCAATTCATTTTTTTTGTAAAATTTTGAAGGGAAAATCGTTACGTATGCCTTAATGCATTTCTTGCCCAGATGCAAATGGAATAATTCAGTAATTGAGTTCAAATGCTCAACGCTACAACACCAAGAACTGTATGGACCTTAAGGGGAGAGGGTTCAGTACCTTATCTTTTAAGATGCAGTGATAAAAATGCCATTTTGTTATCAACATTTTTTTGCAGTGAGATAATGGAAACACTGTCACTGGTTTTTAGTTTGTTGTTTCATCAAAAATTATTGAAAATACCTAGGTAAAAAAAAAAAAAAATTCACTGATTTTTATGTTTACATTATCATTTTGAGCCAACAGTTGAGTACCAAAGGGGAGAAAAGACAAATACCACAGCAGCATAAATGTCTGAAAACTATCTGTCACCTTTACGGATGGTTTCTCTACCTTTCCAGTGAATGTCCACCCTTCTGTTCGTTGAGATTTACACATCTGCCTTTCCTCCTCCATTTCTTCCCACTCATATGTTGGACTATTTTTAAATACCTATTCTTTACTTGATCAAAGGACAGAGCTCATTGATATCATACATGGAAAAATTGAATTACTGATTTAACAATTCAATTGCTAAAAAAAGTGACAGCAATGTTTCAACGGTAGATTTTACAACAAAAAAATGCTACTTTAACCACTATCGTGAGCTAATTTAACCACGGGGGTGGTTAAAGTAGCATTTTTTGTGTTGTGAAATCTACATTGAAACATTGCAGTCACTATTTTTAGCAATTGAATTGTTAAATCAGCAATTAAATTTTTTCCGTGTAATAACTCGTGAATCAGATTTGTAAAAAGTGATCTTTCCGGCTGTTGTTTTTGATTGTTGTAGGCACCAACAAGAAGGTCATTTTTCGATACACTTTGAAACCAAGCCGTATGACATTGGAAGACGCCTCTATCTTAGAGATCTGCTTGACTATACTCATGAGTTACCTGCTCGGCACCACTGGAATTGGAAGTAGGATTTAGATTTGAGTTTCGACACCTGAGGGACTGATCACAACTGGTCGATGTAGAGCTTCTGTTACGAATTGAATTCATTGCACTCTCCATGAAGTGCTCTCTGGCTGCGTGAAACCGTTTGACTAATTGATGATGAATTTCTAGTTTTTGTACACAAGCAACACATACTGTTTTTGGCAGAGGATCGCTGAATTTTACCTGAAAGCAAAAGATAACGAGAATATACCTAGAGGGGTTGCACAAAGACAATGAATGATAAAAGTTAGTAAGGAAGATTTTGTGAGCTTTTAATCTTGGGGAGTTTTTTGGTTTATCAGGGTGTCTACTTACTGTACATCATCATCTAAAATCCTTGTTCTTTCATGACCTTTCATTAACTTTTTCCATTCTTTTTAAAAAATTCTTCTTTCCAGAGGTTTCCTAAAATATTTACTTTTCCATTGCCTTTCCCTCTCTGTTTCCTCACCTAACACACATCAAAGGCTATATTTTGAGGACAGATTTTCACGATATATAGAGAAAGGTATATTTGGAAAGTAAAAAGTAGAAAGCTAGAAGAATGAACTGAAATATTTAGGCTCATAGAATCTGACTGAGCTTTTGAGGGAAGGTCACATATTAAAGTCTGTAAAAAAATTGCGTACCCCCAAGGCCACTTCTTAAAGTTTCTGGCAAAAATATCGAATTTTCATACTTCCTTATGAGAATTCAAACATTCAATTCAGTAATGTTATAGTGCATCCATGCATTTTCAGTGCGATAAACACGCTGTTTAAAAGTTGAGCGTAGGTCATGAATGATTCCAACATGAAATGGTAACCCTTCACTAATGGTAGATTACCATACATAAATGACTAGTTCGAATCCCTCTACCTGAACTTGCTGGCTTGAACTAACGGTAGTTGTGCCATCTGTTCTGTTGAACTGATAAAATACTTTTTATTTTTCTCACAACTAGAAAATACCTTCAGGAATTTTTTTCTTCTGGGAAGCATTCTCTTCTAAATTTTCTCATATTTTCATTTATTAGTCTGTGATTTTTTCATGTCCTAGATACGCCCCATCAAAAGACATCCCACAACCTTGGATAGGATACCCTGAAAGTATCACACACAGAGTATCAACTCTTCCTTGATGGTATAGAAGCTTCTTTTGACCTCAGAACAAATTTTCAATACATGTGGTCATGTTGAGAGAAAGAGGACATAATTCAAAGGGGTTAAATTTGACCTGGCCATATTTGTAGCTTCAAAAAATTGCTTCCCCATTTTTTGCCACAGAGATTACTCCAGACATAAAAAAATATAATATACTACAGGATTTTAGAGGTTTCTTTGTAGGAACTGATGTCATTTTGAATACCTATGGTGCGCTCTTCAATTAAGTGAGAGACGGATGTTATCGGCAGATGCCTCGGAATGGTAAATTCCACCCACTGCGATGAGATAAGTATGCATTTTGTTTACGAGGAATGAAAGTATTAGTACTCTTTCCAGAAACTTCAAGGTCTGTAGAGAATTAAGGATTGAACTCAAGTTCTAATCATTCACATAGTTTCATTGATATTGAATAGGTAAAAGGAATGTGCCTAGACCCTAGGATAAGGCGAACTTACACTAATGGGAAGATAAGTGTTAATCTTCTTGTCCAGCTGGAGGGTGACTCCTTGCTCACCATAAATATGGATAACCAATCTGCTTAGCTTGGAGCATAAGCGGCAGATAAATCCAGTGATGACAGCACCATCCAAACTTCCCATTTTGGCGTTTCAATAACGTCTAGTATTTCATATTAAACCAAGTGCTGGATGAGGATTCTTGGTTCTCAAAATATTGTTCAAAAGTTTTAAAAGTTCAGATCAAAATTTGATTGTTGCTCATACGTGACCTGTACTTGAGATGGGTTTTAAAATGAGCTTGCTTTTTTAAGAAAAGGAAAAAACTGTCATTTATGAGAGCTTATTGTGCTTCCTTCTGATTCACTAAACTGACTGAACACGAAAGATTTCGAGAGTTCGAGGATGTCTGTGAGAACCCTGGGAGCCACTGACAAATAAAACTTGATGAAATTTTTGAAAATAAATCACCGCACAGCTTTAGACACAGGAAAAGCAACGAAAATGCAAAATTACTGAGGTAAACAAACGAACTTTCGACTCTCAATCATGGAAGTTGAAGCTTACGTTCAGGTTAGGACTCGTTCAGATTTTCGGTAGGAAATGGAGGGAGGAGGCAGTAATCAGCTGAGGAGTTGAATTCAGTGACGTGTATACTGATAATTCTGATTTACGTCACACAGATACAACGTTCCACGCTGCTTTTGAGCCCAACATAAAGCGGAGCGGCGACGCACTGGCGCCTACAAACCTAACAGGGATACTTCACGCATTGCGCAACGCGTGAAGTATCCCTGTTAGGTTTGTAGGCGCCAATGTGCGTTTCCCGCTAGCTGGCTATATTAGTAATGGCAGGCATCCATCAAAAGTACGGAGCTTTCCTCGCAAAATAAATGAAGATACTACGGCCCAATAAGAGAGCAGTATTCCAAAAACTCACTAAGTCCTAGTCCCCGTAATTAGTAACGTTTAGCACACACTTTATCGCCTGGCTGTTGCTTAATCGCCTCGGCTATAAAAGGCTGTAAGAAATTGTGTAGCCGGCTATAGAAGCTATTGGAAATCTTACAGCCGGCTGTAGGTCTATGGTGTCTTGGAACACAGATTCTACTGCCAATTTTTACCAGGGAAAAGAAAGTGTACAGTTGACGATAAAGTAACGCGGTATTATTTCCTCATGAACAGTCTCCATTTTGATTACATATTCACTATATGGATTTACCTAATACTTTTTGTTTAAATTTGATTAATTACTCACCAACACCAACCCGCCCAATCTGCGGGTAACGACGAAGTATGAGTGCATTGAGTGGAGCTGAATTGACACATTTTGTTTTCACAAGCGGTAAAAGTTGAAGGCGCTACAGCTTTTTCAAGGGCTAGGTCTGGATACAACTATTCGTGTTCTCGGGATGTCAATGTTGCATACACAAATAATTGCAGGCGCTCTGGTTTTCTTAGGCACAACGTATGGCTGCGGTCATAGTTCGCAACGAAATTCTGCGTCACATTTAAATGAGCCATGTTCCATCGTGGCGGCGTCGCCAAATGATGCACATTTTTCCACCAAAAATATTTCCGCAGCATCGCGGATACTGCCGTGCTAAGGGAGAACGCCTTATGAACATTCGAGAGTTGCCAAATTTCCCTAGATAAATATGTATTTTGGACGACATTCATGTACATTTTTATTCGAAATTTTCAGATATTTTAGAGTAAATTGCGTACAAAATTGTCTGAAAGTGTTGGGAGAAAAAATGTTCACAATTTTCCTATAGTGAATACGGTTTTTATCGAAAGAAATTTGGCAACGTCTGAAGACTCATACGGCGTTCTTCCTTAGCACGGCAGGATATCAATCCCGCAAATTGACACCGATACCATTTCCGCCGCAACTTGCACCATTTTACAACAGTGACATTGTGCTACTCGACCCGTCCGAATATCCAGGATTTCGTAAATGAATATTTTTCCATGGAAGTTTTAAACGTTTTAGATCAAATTACGAACAAAATTATTCGAGAAATTGGTAGACCAACATTCAAAAATTTTCCTGAAAATCAGTGATTTGCAAGGGGAAATTTGGCAACCTCTGATGGCTCATACGGCATTTTTCCTTAGGACTCCAGAGCTGGTGGCCACGCAATTGAACTCCACTCCACCCACTCGCCGCGCCGCGCTACGATGGTGAGGCGTGTGACATATTTTGCATGCCGGTAAGGTGAAGGCGTTTTTAGTTCGCTCTTGAATGAACAACTACTTGAACTATATCACGCATATCAGGGCATCACGGCATTTGAAGGCGTTTTCAAATCAGCTTTGCTCCGATACCCGGATCTTCGTTTTGCATAGTTCATATTCTTTTGTTATATTCCGTACCACTCGATTATTTTTAATCCTCGTAAAAAAACCACCCATTTGTAAATATAATTCTAGCTGAAGCGCACTTATGCGCAATCATAACAGCAAAAATGTTAACGGAAATCAAAAAGGCCTGCGTGTATGAAAGCTATTTCAATTGAATCTTCCGTCGCATTTCTAAGGCGCAATGATACAACTATTTGAACTCTCCGGAACGCGTGAGGTATAACGCCACATTTGAAGGCGTTTTCAAAACAGCCAAGTTCCGATATCTGAATAATCGTTTTGCATAGTTCATAGTATTTTGTCTTCATTTCTAACCACTTTTTTATTTATAATCCTCGTAGAAAAACCACCCATTTGAAAATACAAATCTAGCTGAAGCTCACTTATACGCAATCATGACAGGAAAAATGTTAACGGAAATCAAAAAGGCCAGCGTGTATGAAAGCTATTTCAATTGTAATCTTCCGTCGCATTTCTAAGGCGCAATGATACAACTATTTGAACTCTCCGGAACGCGTGAGGTATCACGCCGCATTTCAAGGCGTTTTCAAAACAGCCAAGTTCCGATATCCGGAATATCGTTTTGCATAGTTCATATTATTTTGTTTCCATTTTCAACCACTTGTTCAATTATAATCCTCCTGTAAAAACCACCCACTTGCTACAATTCTAGCTGAATCGCACTTAAGCGCATTCATGTCAGCAAAAATTTCAGAGGAAATTGACAATCCCAGCGTGCATGGAGGCTATCTCCATTTAAATCTTCCGTCACATTCTTACGGCGCAATGATACAACTATTTGAACTCTCCGGAATGTGTGAGGTATCACGCCGCATTTGAAGGCGTTTTCAAAACAGCCGTGTTACCCGTGAAAAACCACTACGAATTCACATGCTTACTTGTTTCGTAAGAAAAAGTGAAAAATTTACCCTAAAAATTTTGCAAAAGGTGAATAGATTTTCAGAAACACGTTGGGGTACTGTAGAATTCTTCTTAAATGTTAAAAGAAGTATACATCTTGGAAAAGTAAAAGTAAAGTAAAGTAGCCGAAAATCTGAGAACATTGTCAGCTGGTGTTTCGAGAATTTATGGCCTTATCAAGCTCCGTAAAGAGGAACACCCACTACGCCCTATTGTTAGCACCATCCATTCTCCTTATTATAAACTGTCGAAATTTTTTAGTAACATTCTGGGTAAAGTAGTTGGCAGATCAGAATTCCACGTAAAGGACTCTTTCCGTTTTTTCCGCGAGATAAATGGTATGGAAATTCCTAAAGACCATCGACTGATTTCTCTCGACGTGATTTCGATGTACATACACGAACATTTCAGCTGACCTGGCCATCGAGTGTGTCAGTGACAGATGGGATGAAATTAAGGCCCACTGCTCAATCCCTAAAAATGAATTTTTGTACTGTTTAAAATTTGCATTTCCTCAAATGTTTTTCAGTTTGAGGAAGAGTATTATCAACAAGTTCAAGGTTTGGCGATGGGAGGTAGTGTCTCTGCCGTTTTAGCCAACCTTGTCATGGAAACATTTGAAACCTCATTGTTCAAAGAAGTATTATTGTTCAGTTTTCATTTTTACCGGCGATTTGTAGATGATCTGTACCTTGTGGTCCATAAGGATGACATTTACAACATTTTCCACATATTCAATTCGTGGTGTCTGTCAATTCAATTTACCTTGGAAGTCGAGCAAAATAATTGCCTCAATTTCTTAGATATGACTGTTACTCGCTCGGGTAACAAATTGTTTTGTAAATGGTACCAAAAGCCTACAGCCTCTGGTAGATATTTAAATTACCTGTCTGTCCAATCCTCAACATACACATAAGAATAATGTTGCATTAAATCTAGCGAGTCGTGTGGTGGGGCTGTCTGACCAACGCTTTAGACAAGAGGCCAGGAAGCGGGGGAAGGAGTTGTTGATACAGAATTGCTACCCCTTAAAGATCATCAACGATGTTTTCTCAAAAGTGTTGCGGGAAGTTTCCACAACACCAAGAGAAATATCCACCTGGATTAAGGGAACTATGGATTTCTCACGCATTGTCTCCTTGCCCTATGTGCCGCTTTTGTCGGAAAATCTAACATCTATCCTCAAGTGTTTTGGTTTTACCGTAGGCCACTCTAACTACAATAGCCTAAAATTTCTGTCTTCACAGCTAAAGTCTAAGTGCCCCCTTGATCAGCGTTGGGGTGTTGTGTACAGGTTACAGTGTAAGGACTGCCTAATTGGCTACGTTGGGCAAACAAAACAGTTTCTACGGAAAAGGATTGCGGGTCATAGGTATAGTCGCGCGGAAAAAACAGCCTTACATTATCACGAGGATAATCATGGCCATCACTTTGATTTTGAAAATCCGAAAGTGTTGGGGGTTGAACCTAGAGACTTCGCCAGGGGTGTGTTAGAAATGATTCATATTGTGAAAGAAAGAGACAAGCTATGCAACTTCCGAGCAGACGTGGAAGGTTTGGGGGCTGCATATCACCAATTTTTTCAATGAAGTGGCCTCAGTAAGTGCGCGTCTGTCATCTGTTCGTATTTCGCGGGCAGATGTGTAGGAGCAGGGGCTGCCTACCCATCTTCCACATTAGTTGGTGTGTAGGTGGCCACTATGTCTGCCTCGGATGTTCGGTACTGAATTCCAGTGGTTACGTGGTAACGGCTGGGGTCAGGTCGCCACTCAATTTTTTACTTGTTTTTAGGTTTTTCGCAGCTGAAAATGAGCTGGTAACAGCTCGAAACGTCCTGTGTTTTAGTGTTTTAATAATCTTTTAGCCTTATTTACCCACATTTTAATTAAATCTCCTCTTTATTCGTATATTCGGGCTATGTTTTTGTGCTTTGTTCTTCTTGGAAAATATCTATCGATTTTCAAGATTTTCAGTACAGAGGGATATTTTTAGTAACTGCGTTTCATTTTCTTCCGTCGTCAGATGCTAAGAGTCTCCAGTCTGGGCATCCTCGACTTCAATGGCTCATGGCTGAACTCTCTTGCCATAGACAAACGAAGGGGGAGTCCAGGGGGGCCTGGCCCTCTTAGAACTGAAAATAGTATCATATGCCCCCCCCCCTAAAAAATAAAAAAATAAAAATTTTCCAGATGTTTTGAATGCAACAATTCGCAAGTATTTTGTGCTGTAAGTAGAAAAAAAAAACATAATTATTCTGCAGAAATTGATGGAAAAATTCTTTATGGAAGCTTCAAAATGCGTCCGATTAGTCGTATAAGTTCTAAAATTTCTCAGGGGATGCCCCTCGGACCCCCCCCCCCTCCGTGCTTGGGGCCCAGACCTTAAAACTGGTACCAGGGCCCGAGATGGGATGTGGCGGGCCTGATAGTATATATATTAATCATTAGCAATAGCATTGCTAAAATAGGGATCTATCGATCAGGATTATTTGATAAACGATTCAACAATCGATCCGCTGACCTTCCCACAGGGGCGGATCTAGCAATTTGGCAACAACGGATTCCTTCCATTTAAACCTATGTTAAATAATCGATTCTTGGCCCCTCCAAGAATCGATACATTTCCATGGGTTTAAATGGAGAAAAACAGTGTTGCCAATTTGCTAGATCCGCCAATGCCTTCCCACGCTTGCTTTTCAGCCGATCAAAGGTCCGACGGTCACTTCTGAATTCCTTATGGGAAATGGACATAGGAGATCGAAACCAGATATGTATTTTTATTTAATTCAACCGATTTTTCGGGAAAAAGATGTCCATGACTGACTTCTTTAGGATGTGGCGTTTCGATTGATGTTTAATACAGCGCACTCTCTCCTCAAAAAAAAAAACAAACAAACAAACAAACAAACAAACAAACAAACAAAAAACACCAAAGTTCTTGACTTTTTAAATTTGAATTTTCATCCACTTGGTTCGAAAGTGGAGGAAAATTTAAATTTCAAAAATCAAAATCTTTGGTTTTTTTTTTGGGAGGGGGGGGGGAGAAAATGGTGTATTTATAAATCGAAACGCCATATCATCGACATTTCCTCCATTTTATTTTCCATAGGGAATTCAAAAGTGATCGTTGGATGTCTAATTGGCTGGAAAGCAAAGGCGGGAAGATCAGGCGGTCACGCACACGGAAAAAAATTAAATGTTGATTTAGCATTTATACTGTTAAAAAGATGTCCGACAAGTTTCAAATGCTGATTTTACAATACAAAAATGCTAACATAACATTTTAATTTGTAAGTTTTGCAGTGGGCGTAGTTACGTTAGCATTTGTTAAAATGTAAAATCAGCATTTGAAACTTGTCGGACATCTTTTTAACATAGTATAGATGCTAAATCAACATTTAATTCCTTTCTGTGCACTTCTGCTATTCAATGCGGACTCTTATTTTCTCTCTGGCTGTTGCTATTACACCCATAATTGTCGGTGAAATATATTTTTTCCAAACAGAGATAGCTTCCTTAAAAATGCATTTTTTTAGCGACGAAAATCATTTTTCTTCTAAGCGTCGCAACATCTGTACAGAAACGTCAGAAGTGTCCTACATTCAGCAGGAATGGACTACGTTTTGCAATTCGGAACTGTAATTTCTGGCTCAACTGAGAAACAACTTATGAACCATTAGTTTCCGTATGCACATAAGTGTTTTTAAAGATGAGCCAGAAATTATACTTCTGAATTGCTTAATGTGGTCCAAATTATGTACAGCGTGTAGTATGCGCAACGGTGTGAATGAATGAGAGTGGTGTGAGACGCATTCTTAACTAGGGGGCTACGCCCCCTGGCCGCTACGCAGCCCAACCCCCTGAAGGCGCCCCGCGCCATCAATGGGCCGCTTCGCGGCCCTATTTTTACCCTCCTATCATTGTTAGTTTTATTTTTCCCCTAAAAAAATACGACATGAGGTATACTTTAATTTTAAACTTTATTTAAAATTACTTTAAAATTAAAAGGACGCGTTTTGGAATGACTGCTTGATGAAATATTGCAGTAAAACAATGAACAATGATAGTCAGGTAATAATTAAGAAATCTTGAGTCGGAGATCGAACCCACACTGTGATCAAGACAGACGCATTTGACGTCTTAGACGACTCGTCCACCGTTCGACATGGTGTCTCGGGTGCGAATCTTGTGAAGATAAGTGTAGAGCTAATGCGCAGGCTACCCAGCTACTGCGCAACCTCCTCGACCATTGCGCATCCTCCCGCGCATATGCCTACCTGCTACTGGGTACTGCTACCGCTATAGCGGTAGCAGTACCGGAGCATTCTGTAAACTCACTCACTTTTATAACGTGATTTTAAAAAAAACCTGGGTCCTTTTTCCAAAATCTGATTGCAGCGGGCTCATCTAGGGCCTATTACCTGTCGATTTACGCAAAAATCATGGAAATCGGCCCGGTAGAACGCTCAAACGAACTATGACAAAAAGTATAAATTTACATTGTTTAAATGGGAGAATTCGCAACTTTACCACGTAATATAAAAAAACCTGGGCCATATTTTGAAAATCTGAAAAAAGTTGGCTTATCTAGAGGCAATTGCCCGTCGATAGCCGCAAAAATCATGAAAATCGGCCCTGTAGAACGCTGGAACTAAGCGTCACCAGTTTCGCAAAATTAGGAGGTCTTGGAGCTTATAGTATAGATAAAAGAGCCAGTCAATGTTGAAAAAATTATTTTTATTCTGTAAAAACGACTAGATTACACATGTTGGGCTGTTAAACACTGTCAATAAATCACATAAAATGTATCTAAATAAGTAGAAAGAATATGATGGGTATCTGTTTTACATGTGCAGTAGGTTTGAATAAATAAAAACCGTCGGCAGGAGCAAATCGCAATGTAGGCATCCGGTCCTGAAAGTTCTGCTTTGATGTCACTTTTTGAATTTCAGGAATTGATTTTCTATGATTTTATGGTCTTTATTAAGCATTCGCAAAGGCAATAAGGAGCATTTTACCGTACACAAGATGTAAACGGTAAAATTGTATTGTATTTTAGTTTGAAGCCAAACAAGAGTCCAAAATGTTGAATTTTTTGATAAACAATAGAGGTTTGATGTGAACTGACGGTAAATTTATTTTGGTTTTTGTCCTTAGTCGTGATGAAGACCAGTAATTAAAGTTGTTAAATTGTCTTGAAAACACACTTTCCAGGGTATTGTGGCATCATTTGGATCGCATCTAGTAAAAAGGAACCAGCGCGATTACAGTGTTGTAAGAATGTTACATTTTTATAATTTTTTAAAAAAATTCCCAGAAGAGCTAATGGCTTTTACGTCCCACAAAAAAAAAATGTTAATTTTAAAGGAAAACAACAGTGAAAATTTTAATACTATACATAATATTAAGTATTTTTAAAAGAAAAAAAGAAGTCGCACAATTGTGACTGCCGTCGTGCTGGTTCCTTTTTGCTAAATGTGATTCATTCAGCGAATCATCCTCTTTGAACGATGTAATCTGGGCAGTGAGACGTGCCCACATAAATTTTCAATTCGGGCATAGAACATTTTCGGGCTCCATAAATGTCCGTGTTGCATACGCGCGTAACAGAAGGCGTTTTGACAGTCCAGGCACTCGTCACTTTACCCACGGCGCACAGTGAATCGAGTCAATGGTAGAGGTGGAACAAAATTTGGAAACTTTAAACGCTTATAATAACTCCGTTTATACAAAACTTTTAGGTTCTAAAAGTGTTTCATTGGTTTCTTCGTAAAAGTTTCTATTAGAAGCACACCTTGAAATTTAAAATGTGACAAAATAAACATTTTTTGTAGTTTAAGTAAACAATTTCATGTCCGACCTGTCTCATTGGCTCGATCCACTGTACGGCGTGGCGCCAACGGCGAGGATCTAAAATGGCAGAGCGCTTTTAAATTTTCGTTTATACTACGAAGATATCTCTTAAGCACGAATTGTTTCGTACGTGGGCGTAGGATGCGAGTATCTTTTATGTTTCAGTTTTGACATCGTCTTCGTCATATGCCGAGCATGATTTGTAGAGCAACAACTCATGCCTTAAGAGATGTCTTCGAAGTATAAATGAGGAATTGAAGGCGCTCTATCATTTTAGATTCCCGTAAAAAAGCCCGACGCACAAATGAAACGAGCCCTTCAGAGAAGTTGGGCATGTAATTTCCGACGGAAAGTGCAAAGTTTGATGTTAATTTTTTCACAATATGAATTGTATAGGGAATCTCTTGAGAGAAATTGTACGAGAAAATGAACGAAACCACTTCTAAAACCTCTACGTTCCGTATTAACATCAATATGAGCTTTAAATGTTTCCGCATTTTTCCGACTCCTTCCATTAACTCACGCCACTGCGCGCTACTGGTGAGGGGATTAGTGTCTGAAGTCAAAACGCCTTCACATCTGTGCATATGCAACACGGACATCCACAGAGCGCGAATAGTTGCATCCAGGCGTTGTAATGAAATTCGTTTAGTATCCGTTGCATGCGATATTATTAACTGTCTCTATAACACCGTAGACTAATTCCAGCGTTGCCTCTTGTGCCGATGAAGTAAGCAATTACTGATTTGTATCGCGACATGGTCAATTTTCTGAGAAATGCATTATTCAAACGAATTGCAACATTGCCGGCCCTCGAAATCGCAAAATAAATAGGTGTCTGAGCATGATAATATGTAGAGTTGCTTTTTGAGTCGTCCTTTCTTTGGACTTTTGTTTTTCTTTTGACCCTCTCATCTCTTACTTCCCTTGCTGTTCGCGGATTGTTCAGTTCTTATTCACCCCATTTCACGGATTGTCAGTTCTCAACTCATTTCACGTTCGGGTTGACCCTTTTCATCAGTTAGTGAACTGGTCTGCCCCGGTTCACAGAATGGTCGATTTTTCACCTCATTTCACGTTTAGGTCAAACCTCTTGACCTAATGAACTTCATGAACTGGTCGAAATTCTGACCTTACCCCGGAGTCGGCCATTGCGTAGATGGAACGTAACACTGATACGATTCATAGGGATACAGATATTATGTATCGGGAAAATTTGAATCACAAACGTGTAAGCAATCAACCCTATTATAATTCCACAAATACATTTTTCCTTCCTTATTTATACATGATTAAGGGTAAAGTATGTGACAGGGCATCGGAAAAGAGAACTTGATCTGATGGGCTGAATATCCCAAGAGAACAAACAACCCAGATTCAGGTCAAAATTTTCGATCTCCCGTTTGTTATGAAAATCAACGTTTAATACTGTCTAGAATATTATATCAACATTCAAGTGTTAAAAAAATGAGCATTTGCGGCAATTGCGCACCGGCGCACAGTGAATCGAGTCGGTCAGAGAGGCTGGACATGAAATTCTTGACTAAAACTGCAATGGACCACTAGACAAGGTACGAATTTAAGCGATCTGATACATGTTTCTTGACCAGAATTTCACGTAGAAAACGATTCACACAACGAAAATTACGGAAACCAACTCCTAACAAAGATATTAACGTTTTTATTTCACATTGGTTACGAGGAATTTGAACTGCCCGCTCACAAGAAACTCAAAACTCTACGTGAGTCAAATCGCCCACTACAACGGTTTCAGCAAGCTTCTCAATCGAGCAATGTTCATTTCCCATCATGTGTTGTTCAAACTATTAGCAATTTGCTATAACTGAGCCAAAGCGTCAAGCTAGAGGTTGCCAGATTTTTATATCGCAAGAGACTGTCATGATAAACGTTTAGCGCGCGATGTGAATCACGCAGAGCATTGTGTTTTCATGAGCGGGTTCAGCGGGTGGTTTGAATTCACACATCAAGAATCATTAAATATCTTCGTAAGGAGTTAATTGCGGTAATTTTTGATGTGCGCATCGTGTTCTACGTGAAATTATAGTTAAGAAACATGTATCAGAATGCTGAAATTCGTACCTTGTCTAGTGGTCCATTTTGATGTTTCTTTTGCCATATTGTAAATTTCAAGGGGTGCTTTCAGAAGAAAATTTTACAAGGAAACCAATTTTAGAACCTCAAAATGTTGCATGAACGGAGTTACGAGCGTTTAAAGTTTCCAAATTTTGTCCGACCTCTCCGATTGACCCGATCCACTGTGCGGCGCAGCAGGATTTTTCTCGAAATTACGAATTTTCCAACTCAGACTCTGAGGCCAGAGTATTCAATTTCCTTCTAATTTTCGGGGGCCCTTTTCGATTAATGGTGCGGAATCGGCCCCTCTAAGCACTGGTATACTTATCTTACTTTTTTTTTTCTTTCTCACCTTAAGCCTCCGTTGCGCATGCTCAGTCACATACGTATGGTCTAATTCAAAAGTACCTAAATTACATAGTCAATAATAATAAATTACCTTAAAATATACACACTGTAGAACAACATCTAACATCACATTCAGAGGTTTGACTGAATTAATTAATATACCTAGTACCTAAAAACAAACAAACTTGAAACGGACGGAGTTTTATCACTATTTCATATCAGAAGACACTTATGATTAGATTGCTACAGTTAAACTTTACACAAGAGGAGAGACAAATTCATCAGAGGAAAACAAGACTAATAACATTGGCTCTCTGAAATCGAGAGGATACTTTTTGGCAAATCAATTTAAAAGCCACTGATCGATGAGTAAGGAGCCATAGATCACCTGGTACCATGCTATATTGTACCAACTTTAGGTACTTAATTGCTTAAAGAAAGTTCAACCCTTTAGTCGACTTTTAAAGCACCCGTCTAGACTTAGTGGATCTCTTTCGATATGAAGTTTTCATCGCCGCTAAAAGGAAGATGGCCTACGAATGAGGTTAGACCACGCATTGGAGGGTGCAATTTTCAAGAAGATAATAAGTCTTTGAATGAAAGTCCGATCTATGAATCAAGACTGCTTCAGAGTCGCACGTTTCATCTTGAAATGCCTTTTTGCGATGTGCATGCGGGAATACATCTTTCAAGGCACTGTCAATATTCTCGGAGGAATATACTTAGGTACCTAGATTTCTCGTATTCGGGGGTCACTTTTCATTTAATGCTTAACCTTCAAGGCTCCTTTTTTTTACATCTCTGCCAATGCTTCATTGCTTCAGGGGTCGTACTAAACGCATTCGAGAAATAATTAGGAAGAAGGTATTACATTCTCTTAAAATTAATGAGTATCAAAACTGTCCAATAACAAATGAGACGAAAAATAGTTAAATAAAATACAATGTTATGAACATAATAAAATGTAAACTGAGACCTGATGCACGTAAGATAAGTTCACCGTGGCTGTCTAAGGAGGCATTATTCTCATCAAAAGGTCGAAGTATCATTCAGTAATTCTTAATCCAAGGAGAGTTTGGATTGCGTATAGTAGGGAGTCTCTAGTTATCAATGAATTGCGCAGTCATTGTTCGTGAGTTAATCACATTTTATTTTTTATTTGAATTTTTCCATTATAATAGTGTCGCTTAATTTTTATTTCATTGCTAGAGGGCGTGTTACCGCATTGCCATTCAAAGTCAGAGGCGGGTCCAGCAATTTGGCAACACCGAATTTTCTCCTTTTAAAGCTATGTTAAATAATCGATTCTTGTCGGAGCACTTGCCCCCTCTAAGAATCGATACATTTCCATGGGTTTAAATGGAGAAAAGCAACGTTGCCATTTTGCTGGATACGCCAATGTTCAAAGTTTATATTGCTTTTCAATTGCGTATTTATTAAGAGTCTGGATGAACTTCTTGTAAATGATGATACTTACAAGGTGAGAAAAATTATTTTCTTTTCGCACTTAGCTTGTACATAAGGTCTTACTGTTCTGCCCCATTCATCAAATTTTGTCTTTCTCCAACAGCTTTGGCCTTCCACCCTCGAAAATTCCCATGACTGAGACCCATAGAATTACCATGGAAATAAAACCTAGGGCGTCTCTAACGTTACTTTGATTACCATCAATTGAAACATCAGTGGCTTCCGTTGAGTTTCTCAACGCACCTGAGACTAAAGACGAATTCTCCTGATCGAATATCACACACTTTTTCAAATGAAATTGAGCTCATACCAACTTTACAAGCAAAGTAGCCAGCGGGAGAGATAAATAGATTGGTCAACGATTGGAACGATTTAGTTTTAAACTCACCTCTGGGATCTGGAGGTCAAATCAAAAATCGAAAATATTATAGAAATTGCTGTCCGTGGGACTGACCCAGCGCCGGATTCAGGGCGGTGGGGCGCCCGCTTCCAAACACAGCCGTAGCTGTACATATTTGGTGACAACCACCCCTGATTCTACACACCGAAGGGAGGTTTGTAGGGTTCTAATACCCCCAGCACGGAGGATGGTCCGGGAGGCTTCCTCAAGAAATTGTTGAAAAGTCACCTTCTTCAGACACAGTTTGAGGCCACCGCGAGTTCGTGACCCACATTTTCATACAAAATTTTGTACCAAAGGCCCCTCTTCAGCCTATTTTCTCTCGTAGTGGTTGAAAATGAAATGAAGGAAAAATTATTATTTGTGCGGACAGCCCGCAAATCTTTTGCACCTCTCTCCAAAAAACATTATATTGTGGTACTCAGGTCTCAGGTGCTCCCCCATCCCTCCCAAAATCCGGCGCTGGACTGGCCAAATCTTCCTCCGGGGTGAATTTTGTTTTGAGGTTTGATCGGTCGGTATTGTCTATGGCATTCGATGGCGAAAATTCGCGGGAAATAGTTTGTGCTCGGGATACGATCCTGTAGGCCGATTATTGAAATTGATAGACAAGACAAAAACGACAAAGGGGATATGGGGGGATCCTATTGGTGGAAACGGGTGGTCGCAATGGACAAATGCGATAGGTAATGGACTTACTAACGGCAACCGACAAGAGACCCTTTAATTTGTCCATCATTTTCTCCCTTAATCTGTAACAACCACCAGTTTTAACTAATGATATAGCTCCACGCTTCGTGACATCGTGTTCGATATCATGACCAAACAGCTTGTCTGGCACAGTCATATCAATAGGATGACGAAAGAGAGGCTGCCAAAAAAGATGCTTGATTGGGTTCCTCCTGGGAGGAGACGAAGGGGACGCCCGGTGGAAGGTTGGCGACAGGGGGTTATGGATGGGGTGAGGGAGTGCCAACTCCCTGATGACCTGTGGGAGGACCGAGTTTTGTGGCGGTTAGGAGTCGCAGAGCGCCAGATAGCGCTGTGAGAGCGACTTTTACGTACGTATGTATCATTGTATCGCTCCATGCTCCCTATGTCTGCCTTGTCCATAGCTTTGTCTATCAACAGGGGCGGACTGGCCATGGGGGCGGGGAGGCGATCGCCTCCTCACAATTCCTCACAGGGGCCCCCGCGGCGAATTTTTTTAGAGTTATTGTTTTTTTTCCCCCGTAATATTGTAATTTTATTTGTATTTTTTCCTGGGTTCCTCCTGGGAGAAGACGCAGAGGGCGCCCAATGAAAGGTTGGAGGGACGGGATTGAAGCAGAAATGTTAAGGTGCTCAATCCCCCAAGATTTGTGGTTTGAAAGAGAGCAGTGGAGGTTAGGAGTCGTAGAGCGCGAGGGAGTGCTGTAAAGCGACTTGTATGTATGTAATATTGTAATTTTCCTATCCTTTGCAGTCACTAAAAGGCCCCAAAATACTTGAAAATCTGTCTCTAAGAGACACGAAAGGTCGCCTAAAGCTTATATGACGAAGGGGCCCCAGAAGACTCCTGAGAATAGGTTATTTTGAAGTTCGTACTGTAGAATTTGACTCCAATAATGCTTAAAATTGCGTTTAAAAAGTGTGAAATTTTCCAAATTTCCCAAATTTCCCGGGGGAGGGCTCACCGAACGACAGGAGGGGCGCCCAAATCTGGGTCGCCTCCTAACTTTTCGACTACCAGTCCGCTCCTGTCTATCAATTTCAATAATCAGCCCGCTGGATGCAGGAGCGTAAAGATGACGGTCAGGACAAGAAACAAGTCTATAGTGAGTCGAGCAAGCTATCTAGGTACTCGAGTTGCGACTCGTCCCAGCCGTTGGAGTTGAAGAGGAGGTTGGTGAGCTCGTCCTCGGGGAGGGTGGCGTTCGGGCCGACGTCCTCGATGGCCATGATGGAGGCCGTGTAGTCCTCCTCCTCGTAGCCGAGACTATTCGCCGAGAAGAAGGTGTCCGTCTTGATGCCGATCATGTCCTCGATCTTGGCACCGTCCAGCTTCAGGTCCGCGGCCTCGGGGCTCTGGAGGGCCTCCATGCTCACGGCGAACTGGGGCTCGTCGTTCTCGTCGATGTAGATCTGGATCCGCTGCTGGGGGTCGTTGGCGGCGAGGGCGGGGGCGGCCGGGAGGGTGCTCTGGTCCAGGGGCTGGTTCAAGTCGGAGAGGGTGGTGTCGTTGTTGTTCTGCGGGGTGACGATGGTGACGGGCGGCGGGGGCTTCTTGCGGGGGTGCGTCGGGGGCAGCCGCGTGCAGCCGAGTCGGCGGCGGTGACGCGCGCCTTCCTCCAGTCGCTCCATGTCCAACCGCCAGAACCCGCCTTTCCCCGGCTCGTCCTTCGTTCGCGGCACTTTCAAGAAGCACTTGTTCAGCGAGAGGTTGTGCCTTATCGAGTTCTGAAACAGGGAACAAAAAGCTTCGATCAATATCGTCGCCCCTCGATAATGGAGATGTTGCATGTGTGAGAAATGCGATTTGACTGTTGATTCTTATGTAAAAGTTCGCAAGAAATACGATAATGCCACTGGTTTTCACAATTATGAGAGGAGATATGACAAAATGACCTAATCTGCTAAAATACGAGCGTTTAAGTGGGAAATGCCGCCAGATGACGTCACAAGGTGATACATTTTCTCACTTTTGAATCTATTTCTAACTAATTCCCATATGAGAGAAAATTATAAAAAAATACTGTGAAATCAGCTCTTTAAGTGCTTTCAGATGGCGCAATAAAACATGTGCATGCATATTCTCTATTGATTGTTAGGAGATGCTGTAGTCCAGTCAATAGAGCACAAATAGGGGCTAAGTAGAGACAATTTCTGAGGAAACTTTCTGATATACTATTCCTATGTATTTTTCATCGCTGAATCCGAATTTCACATTTGCGAACAAATCTGAGGCGAGCCAAAGCCGCCATCTTGAAAAAATGGCCGAAATTTGCGTTTTTCGGCCGAAAAACCGAAATAACTCGTATAAGATTGAAATTACGGCAAAAGTAGTTATTTTCTAAATTAACGGACATAAAATTTCCATTAAAAAAAGTCCAAGATGATTAAGATCGGATGATAACAAATGCCGCTACAGCGTTGCAAAGTTTCAGGCAAGTATTGAGGTTGAGCAATTTTCGTAACATTCCCTGCAAAAAGAGAGCTTTCAAGGTAATTAATCATTAAATCGTAATAAGTGTTAATATGAATTATAAAAGGAGTGCAATTTTGAGTTCTTGACTCTCAAGAACGGCAGTGGATAATGAGGGGGGGGGGGGCCNGGGGGGGGGGTCCGGTATGAGCGCAGCTGCGGGGTCCTCCGTTCCTCCCTCATTTTCATGGCCCGGGTGTGCCCGGTCGGCCTTCGTTCCCCGGTTATCAGTTTTTCTGTCCTCTACAGGCACCTTTTCCGGAGGAAAAAAACTTGATGTGCCTACGTATAGGTATATTCGCTGATAACAACAATAGCTGCCACCAAGCCAAAGAGACAGGCACTGCTAGCTTGTCAAAAATATAATAGTGGGTCTAAATTTTGAGTCCGTTAAGTTTAAGCGCGCCGACCGCTGTAATCCAATCAGCAGTATGAGGAGTTTAATTTGAGTTGAAAACGATGTTGTTCCAATAAACCCTCTCTTATTATTTCGGAGTTATTAAAAAATCAGATGAGGAGCTTCAAAATTTTTAGTCGCACGAACTTCCACCCCATCCACTCTCGCTATTTACCGCAGCAGATGTCATGCGTAAAGTTACTATGTTCACATTTTATAATGCATTTACACCATGTCATGGTTCCCCCTTCGCCTCATGGCCTCTTGTTCCATCCTCGTCAATCTCTTCCTTTCACTGCATGTCATAGTCATTGTCCGAACATTCAGCGTCTTCTGGATCATCTACGTCATCCTCTTCTTCTTCTTCTTAAAAGTGCGGCATATTGACTATTTTCGCACGAGCCATGGCAATACTCGCATATAAGACTGCAATGAAGGCCTTCCTTCCAAAAACCGCGGGCGCCGCGACTTTCTTCAATCCACTTGCACGAGATCTTGCTTAAAATTT